ATTATTTGTAATATCAAAATTTCTTTGAAATATTCTATTCAAGAAATATTCTTTAGATAATCAAAGAAATATTCTTTAATAAATTGACCGAGAAATATTCTTTGGTATATTATTTAAAATATTCCTTGAAATATCAAAGAAGAATTCTTTGAAATATCCAAGAAATATTTTTCATAATATCAAAGAAATACTCTTTGGAATGTCAAAATAATTATTCTTTGAAATCCTCAAAAAATATTTTTCAAAATATTACAAAAATATTTTTCGGAATATCAAAAATTATTATTTTGTAATATCAAAAGCTTATTCGTTAAAATACCCAAGAAATATTCTTTAGAGTTTGAAAGAAATATTTTTTGGAATATTAAAGGAATACTCTTTGAAATTTTTAAAAAATGATTCTGGAAATACCCAAGAAAAATTCTTTAGATAATCAAAGAAATATTCTTTGGAATATTATAACAATATTCTTTGAAATATCCAAGAAGAAATTTTTGGAATATCCAAGAAATGTTCCTAGATAAACTCAAGAAATATTCTTTTTAAATTCTAAAGAAATATTTTTCAGAATATCAAAAAAAAAAACTCTTTAGAATATGAAAAGCATACTCTTTGGAATATTAAAAAAATATTCTTTGAAATACCCAAGAAATATTCTTTCTAATATCAAAAAATATTATTTGGAATATCATAAGCATATTCTTTGAAATACGCAAGAAATATTCTTTAGAGTTTGAAAGAAATACTTTTTGGAATGTCAATGAAATATTTTTTGTAATATCAAAGAAATATTCTTTGAAATACCCAAGAAATATTCTTTCTAATATCAAAAAATATTATTTGGAATATCATAAGCATATTCTTTGAAATACGCAAGAAATATTCTTTAGAGTTTGAAAGAAATACTTTTTGGAATGTCAATGAAATATTTTTTGTAATATCAAAGAAATATTCTTTGAAATACCCAAGAAAAATTCTTTAGATAATCAAAGCAATATATTCTTTAAAATACAAGAGAAATATTTTTATAATATTCCAAAGAATATTCTTTGAAATATCCAAGAAGAATTCTCTGGAATATCAAAGAAATATTCTTTGAAATACCCAAGAAACATTCTTTAGATAATCAAAGCAATATATTCTTTAAAATACAAAAGAAATATTTTTAAAATATTCCAAAGAATATTCTTTGAAATATCCAAGAAGAGTTCTCTGGAATATCAAAGAAATATTCTTTGAAATACTCAAGAAATATTTTTTGGAATTCTCAAGAAAAAGGGCATGTCCCGTTATGTTTCTTAAATAAATAAATAAATATTCTTTGAAATGAACAAAAAATATTTTTCGAAATAATAAAGAAATACTCTTCGGGATACAAAAGTAATATTTTTTTGTATCTTCCAAGAAAGATATAATTTTGGAATATCAAAAAAAAAATGTTAATAATTGGTAATAATGGAATATTCCAATGGAATGTTTCAAAAAGAAATTATCGTTGAATCTTTCGCAGAGATTGACATAAAGCATTTTTGAAATCAATACAAGTACACTTAATGACACGCAAATTGAATCTCTTTGCATAATTAATTTTTATCGATTCACGATACATTTAATGCAGAAATGAATAATGATATAACATATGTCCGAAGGTTCAGTATTTTTAAATAAAAAGTTTATAATAATACATAATATAAAAACAGCAATCATGAATTCTATACTCATTCTTTTGCCTTGAAGAAAGTTTTATTTCAATTTCCCTTTTTTTTGGGAAACAAGAATAAATAATTTACTTTTAGAAAAATTACTATAGAAAATTAATACTTTGGAAGTATATTAATGAGTGCAATAAAAAAGAAACGAACCATGGGAAATAGATACGAAACTATAATAAGATTACTGACGCCCTTCAACCTCATCAACTTTCTTAATTTAATTATCCTTCTTCTCCTTCTAAATAAAAATGATTGATTTTCAAAAGTCGCATTATTTTTATTTGCTAACAAATATAGAATTTAACTACTTGTAAAAAGAAACTATTTTTATGCTTAATTTTTTAAATAAAAAAAAAGTATAGAAAAATAAGAGAAAGATGAATAAAATAAATCAAGTTTTATTGGGGGGAAAAAACGAGCGAGTGTTGGTAACACATGTTTAGGAATACATTAGTGATTTATCTTCAATGATGATAAGAACAGATTCCACAAGGATTGCGTGTAGCTTTTCCCTATTTCAATATATATAAGACGATGAAAATTTATTTTCCACTTCACTTAGCAATTTTTCGTGGAAAAAGAAGAAGTGCTACGTCATATACAAACAGAAAAAAATCGCATTCAATCAAGATCTGATATCTTTATATCTCATCTATAATTTAAAAATACTTTCATATACATTTCATCTAACTCATGATTATTCTATTTAAGGGGTTACAGCACTTTGACCCGACCAAAATATATGCTTTTTTAACTATTTTTATTAAAGAATAGAATTTTTTTTTATGAAATTTAAAACACTTTAGGGTATTATACTACTCTTAAAGTACAAAAAAATAATTTATTTTTAAAATTTTTTTAAAAAATGACGGTCTTTATAAATCTTTAGTATTTTGATCTGGAATCTGTAGATCTATTGATGTATAGATAAGAAGATCTATGAATCGAAGAATCTATGGAATTTAGAACCTATGATATAAAAATTTATGGATCTATATTTTAAATCTGTGAATATAAGGATCTAAGGATCTATGAATCTAAAAATCTGTGTATCTAAGGATCTATGGATCATAAGATCTTTGGATTTAAAAATCTATATGATCTAAGATAGATTTATTTTTTATTTATTTATTTATTTTTATTTTTTATCAAAGATTTTGTTGATCTAAGATCTATAGATCTTTTATTTGAATCTGTCGAACTAAGGATCTAAGGATCTATGAATTTAAAAATCTGTTTATCTAAGGATCTATGGATCTATTATCTCTGAACTTATGGATCTTTTATTTGAATCTGTTGATCTAAAGATCAAAGGATCTTTTAATCTAAAAATCTGTGTATCTAAGGATCCATTCATCAATGGATCTACAGATCTATGAATCTATTAATCTAAGGATCTTTGAATCAAACAATGTATGAATTTCAGAATCTATCATTTAAGAATTTATGGATCTTTTTATTTAGATTTTATTGATCTAAGGATCTGTTAATCTAAATATTTGTGTATCTAAGAACCCATAGATCTGTGGATCTATAGATCTGTGAATCACATGAATTATGAATTAAAGAATCTATGAAATAAATATTTGTGGATCTTCATTTTGAAACTGTCGTTCTAAGGATTTATGAATTTATTAATCTCTGTATCTAATGATCTATGGATCTTAGGATCAATAGATCTAACGATCTATGGATATACGGATTTAAGAATCTATAATATGAGGATCTTAATTTAAATCTGTTGATCTAAGGATCTAAGGATCTATTATTCTAAAACTCTGTGTAACTAAGGATCTAAGGATCTATGGATCTAGGGATCTATGGATTTATGGATCTATGGATCTATGGATCTATGGATCTAAGAATCTATGAGTCAAACGATCTATAAATTAAAGAATCTATCATCTAAGATTTATGGATCTTTATTTAGAATCTGTTGATCTAAGGATCTAAGGATCTATTAATACAAAAATATGTGTAACTAAGTATCTAAGGATATATAGATCTATGGATCTAGGGATCTATGGATCTATAGACTTATGCGAATCTAAGGATCCATGAATCAAAGATAGATGTATATTTTGAATCTGTTGATCTAAGGATCTAAGAATCTAAAAATCTGTGCATCTAAGGATCTATTAATCTAAAGATCCATGGATCTATGGATCTATTAATCTAAGGATCTATGAATCAAACGATCTATGAATTTAAGAATCTATGATCTAAGAATTTATTGATCTTTATTTAGAATCTGTTGATCTAAGGATCTATTAATCAAAATATCTGTGTATCTAAGGACCCATAGATCTATGGATCTATGGATCTATCAATTAAAGAAACATATGATCTATGAATTTAAAAATATATGATATAAATATTTATGGATCTTTATTTTGAATCTGTTGATTTAAGGATCTATGAATTTAAAAATTTGTGCATCTAATGATCTATGGATCAGTGGATCTAAGGATCTATGAATCAAAGAATCAAAGGATCTATAAACTTAAGAATCTATAATCTGAGAATTTATGGATCTTTATTTTGAATCTGTGAATCTAAGGATCTATAGATCTATGAATAAAATAATCAAATGATCTATGAATTTAAGAATCTATTATCTAAGAATTTATGGTACTTTATTTTGAATCTGTTGATCGAAAGATCTAAGGGTCTATAAATCTGATAATCTGTGTATGTAAGGATCTATAAGGATTTACAAATGAATCAAAGAATCAAAGAATCTATGGAGTTAAGAATCTTTTATGTAAGTATTTATGGATCTAAAAATCTTTGTATCTGACGATCTATGGATCTAGGGTTCTATTTATCAGAAGATATAAGAACCTGTCGATTTGTAAATCTATGATCTATGGATCTATGTTTCTTTGAATTTATAGATTTACGATTTACAAGTCTATAGAATATTTTCATCTATAATCTCTAAATCTATAATATACCATCCATGAATTTATGGATCTATAAATCTGTGATCTGTATAGATCAATGATCTATGTCTTGATCAATAATATAAAAATAGGTAGATCGGCGATCTATATAGATGGATTTACTTATAGGCTTATATCTAGAAAATATAGATCCATTATTATTTTGTGGATCCATAGCCTCTAGATCTATGATCTATGTGGATCTTTTGTCTGTAAACTTACGAATTAAATTAAATAAAAAAAAAATTACATCTAATAATTAGTTTGCGTTCCAAGCTATCTATATTTCTCGTTTTTCTTCATTTGTCCACATAACGATAAAATTGATCTATTTGCATAACAGGAACTGGTGTCATCAAATCCAAATCAAAGAAACTGGAGAGGAATTTTAATAGCTTTACTTGTCATTATCGCCGTCCTAGCCCTTATTGTCACATCTGTCGCACTTCTAACACCTCCAGATGATTCCACTCGAATAAAAGGAGATCCTTTAACATTTGGACAGGTAAATGAAGACAAATTCAAAAAAAAAAAGTTTCTCTTCTCCCAATAACTGAAAATTATTAATATTTGTTTTCCTATTACTAAATTATAAATACAAAACTAAAACAATTATAAATTTAGTATTTTCTAAATTATAAATTTGGTATTTTTTAAATTATAATTTTAGTAGTAGGGGAATGTAGTCAAGGTTGGTCTACTGTCTAGGTAGGCCACTCGCGTTTTTTTGTCAAGTTCACTAGCGCCACCTACGCGCATTTTTGTCGAAGCTTGTCTTAGTGAAACCTAACTTTTTGTTCAATTACATTTTCGGAAAATCGAAAATTGTGTTTTCTGTGACGTCGGTACAAAAAAAGCTCAAAAAAAGTTTTGTGCATAATGTGAAAAACCATTAATAAAAGATAAAAAACAAATTGAATCGTCAAGGCAAGTATGCAGAAAATTTGTGGGACTCATGGTTGAAAGGAAAACAAAGTAAAAAATCGAATCCCGAAACGTATTTCTTTATGGTTACAACAATTCGGTAATGTTACTTACTGTTAAGGTCGGCCACTGTGTGTTTAAAATGCGCAAAGCTGAGGACGAGCTACTTCATTTGCAAAAACTGCAATTCTGTATAACTCATAATATAATTGATCGTCTTATTAATATTTTTATTTAATTTTATTAATATTTTAGTGCAAAATTTTTTTTTATTTATATTTATTTTTTTATATTGTTTATTGTTATTATTTTGTTATTTCATTAAGTTACAAACTGTAAACAATAAAGAATCAATTTTCCGTAACTCCAAACATGATATTTTATTTTTTAAAGATTAATGCCCTTTGAATTTTAAACATGGCCGACCTTGACTGTAATGGCCAACCTGGACTACAAAATTTTTTTTTTTTAAATCTTTATAACTTTTTCATTTTTAAACCTGTCAATTTACTTTGTACAGAAAAAATGTTCCTATTAAACAGGACTTTCCAACCATATACTTCAATTGTCCAAATTCATTTTTAAAAAAAAGTTATAAACAAAAGTCAAAGAGGTGGCCGACCTAGACTATGTTCCCCTATAGTATAAATTCTTATAGGTACTAAATTGATATTAAAAATATTTATTTCTTTGAAATAGAAATTTTTCATACTGTAATAAATTTTTTACCGTGTTTAATCCAGTGTTTTTGGGAGAATATAATTTTTTTCTCAGCATCAAAGGAGGGATTTATGAAAGATTAGAAGGGGAGGAAAAATTGACGTTTTAATGGAATAGTTTTTTTTTCTTTCTTGGTGTGAGTGCGAAGACTTTAGTCTACGATTGATCGCCTTAAATATACGTATGAAGGGTAGAAAAGAGTAGCTTCGTCGAACATCTAGATTATAAACGGAACAATAGAAGATAAGAGCATACTTGAGTTCCTGTTCTGAGTACTAGTTTTTCTTTGTCTTTTCATAGTTGGTGAAGGACTACTTATTACCCAAGTTCTTTAACGGCACTTGGATGAGCAATCAACACATATGCTACGGCGATTATTATGGTGGCATCTCGTTAATGGATGTTTCCGATCCTAATAGCACTGCACGAATTTTAATGCCAAAAGAAATAGTCGTACGTACTTTTAAATCGCAATATAATATCTACAGTTGAGACAAAAAAAGGAATTAAAATTGTTGCAAAAGCAAAAGCAACAATTTTGATTCCTTTTTTTGTCTCAATTTGAGATCATTTAGAAAAACTCTCGAAAACTATCTGATTATCTAAAAATTTGATTTCTCAATAAACATTAGGGAAGTTTGAATCCTGCAAAATTCTTTCTCTCGCCGGATCATAGATATTTATTGTTAGCTAAAAACGTGAAGGAATTATTTCGATATTCATATTGGGCTCAATATACAATCTACGATGTCAATACGCAGTGAGTATTCATTAGGTTGTTTGTTTTTCAAATACGAAAATATGAATTTAAACATAGGTGCGTATATATGAAGAAGAAAAACAATTATGGAATTAAATATTTTATGGTGTGGAAAAATATTTAATGACGTTCCTTCCTGTATAGTGATACGATACCATTAACTCCATATCCTGAAAAGGATCCTCATCCTTATTTAATGATGGCAAAATGGACACCCCGTGGTCATGGTATCGTAATGATACAAGATTATGATATTTACTACAAAACTGGTCCTTTAAGCAATATGGCATATCGCGTGACCAACACTGCAGTACCTGGTATTTTATCCAATGGATTACCTGATTGGCTGTATGAAGGTACCGTATATTCAAAACAATTTCATCTCTTTAACCCAAAAGGCATATTTTCTAATATTGAAATATAAAATGCATATTCAATCATTTCATTCATTTTATTTTATAATATTTCGAAGTGTATCATTATTGTCAGCAGGAGAAGAGTTTCTCCTTAATTAAGTGATTCTATATCTTTATTAAATAATTAACAAACGGGTTTTTCTGATTTAATAGATTATTTACTGCAATAAAGTGGTAAGATATCTGCAACCTTGCGACAAGATTACAAATTATTATTTGTAGCAAATTTTGCAAGCTTTGTACTTGAATACTAAAACCTATATATCATTTTATTATTTTTTTTACAATTTGCTACTATTTGGATACTTTTTTTATATTTATAATATTAATATTAATATAATATTAATATAATATAATTATATTAATAATATTAATATAATATAATTATATTAATAATATAAATAATTAATATAATATTTTTATATTTATAGTATATATTTATATTAATTAAATTCTTACAATCTTGTTAGAATAACAAATAATAATAATAATAAATAATAATTCTTGTAAGAAACATTTCAAAAAATTAAAAAAAAATTTCCCAGAATAATTCAATTATTTAAAAAACAAAAAATTTAGTTCTTTGCAACTATTCAATTATTTTCATAATTCATTATTTAAAATACAATTTTCATAAAATTTTTCGAAAAAAATTAATTATTTAAAAAGATTTTTACAAAATTCTTTCACAAGAATTCAACTATTTTTATAAATAATAAAATTCTTCTCAGGAATTCAATTATTGTTAAAATTTTTATCAAACATTCGTTGCAAGAATTCAATTATTTTCAAATATTTTTTAAAATTCAATTATTATCAATATCTACTATTTTAATAAAAAAAATTTCCTATAAGAATTCAATTATTTAAAGAAAAAATTTTTATAAATTTCGTTGCAAACGTTCAATTATTTTTTAAAAATCATATAAAGTTTTCAAACAGGAATTCAATTATTTAAAAAACAATTTTCACAAGATTTTTCAAAAAAAAAATCAATTATTTAAAATATAATTTTTCAAAAATGTTTTGAAAAAATTCAATTATTTCAAAATATTTTTATAAAATTCTTCAAACGAATTCAATTTTGTCTTTATAAAAAATAAAATCTTTCTGAGGAATTCAATTATTTTTTAAAAATTTTATTTAAATTCGTTGCAAGAATTCAACTATTTTTATAAATAATAAAATTCTTCTCAGAAATTCAATTATTGTTAAAATTTTTATCAAACATTCGTTGCAAACATTCAATTATTTTCATGCATAATAAAATTTTCACAGGAATTCAATTACTTAAATTACAATTTACACAAAATTTTTCGAAAAGAATCAATAAATTAAAAAATTTTTACAAAATTCTTCACAAGAATTCAATTATTTTTATAAATAATAAAATTCAGCGCAGAATTTTAATTATTTTTAATAAAATTTTTAATGAATTTCTCGAAAAGATTCAATTATTCTTAAAAATTATATTAATATTCTTCGAAAGAATTAAATTATTTAAAAAAGTTTTGATATAATTTATTTACTAGAATTTTATAATTATTTTCAATACATTTTTAATTAAATTTCTTAAAGAGTTCAATTATTTTCAAAAATTTATGGAAATTCAATTATTTTTATAAATTTTAATAAAATTTGTTGCAAGAATTCAATTATTTTTACAAATAATAAAACTCATCGGAGAGGATTTCATTTATTTTTAATACAATTTTTCAATTTTAAATGAATTCCTTGAATGAAAATGCAATTATTCTTAAAAATTATATTAATATTCATTTAAAGAATTGAATTATTTTTAAAAATTTTGATATAATTTCTTTACTAGAATTCAATAATTATTTTAATGAAATTCTTAGTAACAATTCTAAAAATTGGAATTATATTAAATATCTACTATTTTAATAAAAAAATTCGCAAAAGAATTCAATAAATAAAAAAAATGTAAAAACATTCTTTGCAAAAATTAAATTATTTTTATAAATAATAAAATTTTCACAAGAATTCAAAATTATTTAAAACAAAAAATTTCATAAAATTTTATGAAAAAAAATCAATTATTCAAAAAGATTATTTTATTATTCTTTTCAAGAATTCAATTATTTAAAAAAAATTAAATACAGTTCTTCGCTAGAATTCGCTTATTTTTTTAAATAATAAAATTCTTCTTTAGAATTCAATTATTTTTATAAATTTTAAAAAAATTTGTTGCAAGAATTCAATTATTTTCCTAACTAATAAACCTCATCGCTGAATTTCAATGAATTTTAATACAAGTTTAATTAATTTAAATTCTCAAAAAACGCAATTATTCTTAAAAATTTCATAAAACTTTTTCAAAAGATTTTAATTACTTAAAAAAGTTTTGATATAATTTGTCTACTAGAAGTCAAAAATTATTTCCAATACATTTTAAATTAAATTTCTTAAAAGAATTTCATTATTTTCAAAAAATTATATTAAAATTATTCAAAAGAATTCAAAATTATTATATTTTATTATTATAAAAAATTATTATATATTATATTATATATTATTATATTATATATATATATATATATATATATTTAAATTTATTTAATAATATTTAAATTTAAATTTAATAAAGCTCTTTATAAAAATTCAATTTTAAGGTAAAGAATATTCAATTATTTAATAAATAATTAATTTTTTTATTTAAATAATTAAATTCTCGTAGAACTTTCTAATAAAAATTGATTTAAAATTGGATTTCAGTTAAAATTTTAGATGAACAAAAAATAATTGAATTTCGTTTTCAAAAAAACTTCACTTTGACATCATTTAAAATTTTTTAATACCTTTGGAAAAATAGATAGGTATTTAAATATTTATTTAAAAAAAATTATTCTTTTGTTAAGATTAATTATCGAGTACAAAGCCTGAAATTGCACCAAACTTGTTAAAAAATTATTTGTAGCAAAATTGCAGTAATCTTGCTGCAGATTATTTGTAGCAAGTCTGATACAATCTTCATGTAAGCATATAACGTAAACTTGCATCAAATTTTCTAATTAATCTTGTAACAAGTTGACAAGTATTTACTTGTCAACTCATTGACAGCTTACATTTTTTATTGCAACAAGTTTACACCCAATCAAATATTAATCTATTTGGCAATTTTTCTACTAAAGATACTTCGATGTTTTTTATGAAAATTTCTTCTCATCTCTAAATGATATAATAAAGCTTAATGATATAATCGTTATTAGTTTTTAAGACAGTGGGAATACGGCAATATTTTAACACAACAGAAGTTTCCTACATCGCAATAATATTCCTAATGTCAATTCAATATTTGTTGCGTATTCTTGCAGAAGAAATATTACATAGTGCAGAGGCTGTATGGCTATCCAAAGATGGACATATGATGCTGTATGCCTCGTTTAACGATTCTCTTGTTAAGGAAGTGCATAGTGTTAAATATTTAGATAATCAATATCCCACGATGCGACATTTACGATATCCGAAGGTAAATTATTGACAATATTTATTTTAGAATTCCTTCCGAAAGGAACAGAAATATCGAAAAATTACAAAACCAACATATTTTTACTCTATTTCTGTAAATTCATAATGTTTTCCCCTCTTTTTGCTACATAGCCTGGAACACCCAATCCTACTGTTAATCTTTACGTTGCCGATCTTGCCGATCCAAAGAATATTAATACAAAATTAGTCAGACCACCGACTCTTATTCTCAATCACGCGTAAGTTTAGCTTTTGCTCCAAATTCAAAAATAATCCTAAAAATTTCTAATTTTAAATTCAATGATGATAAATTTTTAGAGATTATTATTTTACCACCGCTTCGTGGATATCACTAACGGAAGTGTGCATTACTTGGACTACGCGGAGGCAAAATATATCCATTGTTTCCGTTTGTAAAAGTCCATTATGGCACTGTCAGGTTTGTGCACAATGTCCCAACAATCCTAATTATCCTGATTTTTTTGAAAATCTGGTTATTCAGTATATCCTAATTTCTGATGAATCCATGAATCTAAATGTTCAGTATTCTAATTTTTGGAGAATCTCGATATTTATTATTTGAATTAATTAGGATAATTATCAGTAAACTAATTTCCAAAAATCGGAAATGTCGTAATGATGCAGAGGAAATTTGAAGAGGGAAATGAATTTTTATTTTTACTCCAGGAAATACAGAGGATAGGAGGTGAAGGTAGAGGTTGGGTGGACACTCCAGCCGAAACACCACTTTTCTCATTTAATGGAAGTAGCTATGTGACAATTGCTCCTGTTCAAAGTGGATCGGCAGGATATTTTAAGCACATTGTATGGGTGAATGTACTAAAAAAACAAGTTGTGCCTTTAACGCATGGAAAATTTGAAGTCGTCAAGATACTCGCCTGGAATCAAAATAATGAAACAATGTGAGTATTGATATTCAAAATATTTTACATATATATATCCAAACTTTTGAAAAAAAAATTACTAGAAATTCCTTAGAACCTAATATTGATTCTACTGATACTGGCTAAACAATTTATTATGTCTACTGCTATTGCAAACATTACTATAAATTCGAAAAAAATTATTTCAAATATTAAAATACTGATAGATTTAATTTTGGTGCCCACTGAAAATTGCAGCAACATTGATCAACTTACCTCAATGTTTACAAATGTTGAGAATATCTTAAGAAAATTGACTACGAGAGTAAAAGTCAAAATTATTTTTTAACATAAAAGTGTCAAACTGCAGAGAATTGATGAAAAAACGAATCAAATTTTCAGTAACAATTTGATTCAATTCGGTAAAAATAATTGAAAACAATTTGGCATCAAATCGATACAATTTGGTATCGACCATTTGGTGTTAATTTGAACCAATTTGATGTCAATTTGGTCCAGTTTGATGTCTATTCTTTGCAATAAAGCATCAATTTAATATAGTTTGATAATAAATTGGTACAACTTGATATTAATTCGTTATAAGAAAATACCAATTTTAATCAATGTGGTAACTATTTGATTCAATATAATCCAATTTGGTATCGAATTAATGCAATTAAGTATCAATTTGATCTAACTTGTTATCAATTGGATCCAGTTTGGTATCAATTCGTTGCAATTAATTATCAAAGAATTCCAATTTGGTATCAATTTCATTCCATTTGGTGTCGATTTGATTCAATTTGATCCAATTTAGTATATCGAATTGATTCAATTAAGAATCAATTTGATCCAGTTTGATAACAAATTGGTACAACTAGACATCAATTCGTGACAATAAAATACCAATTTTATCCAATGTGGTATTTATTTGATTCAATTTCATCCAATTTGGTATCTATATGATTCAATTTGATCCAATTTGGTATCTATTTGATTCAATATCATTTAATTTGGTATCGAATTCATTCAATTAAGTATAAATTTGATTTAACTTGTTAGCAATTTGATCCAGTTTTGTATTAATTCGTTACTACTAAATATCGAAGAATTTCAATTTGGTATCACTTTGATTCAATTTGATCCAATTTGGTATCGAATTGATTCAATAAAGTATCAATTTAATTAAACATATTATCAATTGGATCCAGTTTGGTATCAATTCGTTGCAATTAAGTATCAAAAAATTACAATTTGGTATCAATTTGATTCAATTTGGTCAAATGCAATCTCATCATGATTCTAATTGGTAGCAATTCAAAGAATTTGATAACAATTTGATGCAATGTTGAATACCACATTGAATTGAACTGGTACCAAATTGTAACACGAATTGATAGCAAACTAGATCAAATTGGAACCAATTCATACCAAATTATGCAATTTGGTATAAATTGGTTCCCTTTTGATCTAGTTTGCTATCAACTCGTGTGACAAAATAATGACAAACTATTTAGAGTTAATAACAAATTGAAGAAAATTCCTATTAAATTAAAACGAATTGACACGAAATAGAATCAATTTGCTTCCAAATTGGATCAAATTGTTTTTTACTTTTCCGAAATTCATACCAAATAGAATCAAATTGAACCAAATTTTTATCAATTTGAAACAAATTTAATTAAATTGCAACGAATTAAATGAAATTTGATCAAATCGATATAAAATTGAATGATATACTGAATTGCAGAGAATTGGTAACAAAATGAATCAAATAATACCAAATATGATCAAATTGGAATTTACTTTCAGGGAATTCATATCCAAAAGGAATGGAACTATAATCAAATTGAATTAAATTGCAAAAATTTGAATGCAATTGGTACCAAATTGGTACCAATTTCATCCAATTCATTGTAATTCAATTTAATTTGGTATCAACTTGATTCAATTTGTTACCTAATCGTTGGAATTTGTACCAAATTAGTACCAATTTCATCAAATTCCTTGCAATTTAATTCAATTTGGTATCAATTTGATTCAATTTGTTATCAAATCGTTGCAATTCAGTAACGTTTTGATCCAATTTGATTCAATCTGCAGTTGCAGTTTAATTCAATTAGATTCAATTTGGTATTAATTTGATCCAATTTGATATCAATTTGGTCCAGTTTGATGTCTGTACTTTTGCAATAAAGCATCAATTTAATATAGTTTGATAACAAATTGGTACAACTCGATATTAATTCGTTACAATTGGCATCGATTTGATCCAATTAAGTATCAATATGATTCAACTTGTTATCAATTGGATAAAGTTTGGTATCAATTCGTTGCAATTAAGTATCAAAGAATTACAATTTGGTATCAATTTCATTCCATTTGGTGCCGATTTGATTCAGTTTGGTAACAAATTGGTACAACTTGATATCAATTCGTTACAATAAAATACCAATTTTATCCAATTTGGTATCTATTCGATTAAATATGACCCAATTTGGTATCGAATTGATTCAATTAAGTATCAATTTGATTTAACTTGTTATTTATTTATTTATTTGTAATATCAATTGGATAAAGTTTGGTATCAATTTGTTGCAATTAAGTATCAAAGAATTCCCATTTGGTATCAATTTGATTCCATTTGGTGTCGATTTGATCCAATTTGGTATCGATTTGATTCAATTTGATCCAATTTGGTATCGAATTGATTCAATTAAGAAGCAATTTGATCCAGTTTGGTAACAAATTGGTACAACTTGATTTCAATTCGTTACAGTAAAATACAAATTTTATAAAATGTGGTATCTATTTGATTCAATTTGATCTAATTTGGTATCTATTTGATTCAATATGATCCAATATAGCATCGAATTGATTTAATTATAATTATCAATTTGATTTAACTTGTTATCAATTGGATCCAGTTTGGTATCAATTCGTTGCAATTAAGTATCAAAGAATTCCAATTTGGTATCAATTTGATTGAATTTGATCAAATTTAATCTCATTGAAAAATTGCTATCAATTCAAAGAATTTGGTAACAATTCGGTGCAATGTTGCAAATTGTTAGCAATTTTCCGTAATTTTTTATCAACTCGTTGCCACTTGATATGATTCAATTTGATTTCATTTTGTTTTAATTGAATCCTATTTGGTATCAAATCGTTGCGATTAAATATCAATAGAATCCAATTTGATATTAACTAGAAGCAATTTAGTACCAATTTGTTTAAATTTGGAAACGACTTTCTACAGTTTGGTTGCAATTTTATTCAATTTGTTACAAATTCGTTTAAGTTCGATATCAATTTAATTCAATGTGTTTCAAGTAGGTTTTGATTTTATCCAATTTGATGTAATTCGTTGCAATTTAATTTATTTATTTCTGTTTTGCATCAATTTAATCCAATTTGATTCTACTTTGCATTAATTCCTTGAAAACGAATATCAATTTGATTCAACGTAGTTCCAACTTGATACAATTTAGTATCAATTCGTTTAAATCGTTTAAATTAATTATCAATTTAATAAAATTTAGCATCAATTCGATGTCAATTAAAACACAATTTAATCCGATTTGGTATTCATTTGATACTATTTAGTATTAATTCGAACCAACTTGGCATCAATTTGGTCCAAACTGGTATCAATTCTCTGCAATTAAGCATCAATTTGATCCAGTTTGGTAACAAATCGGTACAATTTGATATCAATTCATTACAATGAAATACAAATTTTATCCAATGTGGTATCGAATTAATTAAATTTGATCGAATTTGGTATCGAATTGATTCAATTAAGTATGAATTTGATTTAACTTCTTATCAACTGGATCCACTTTGGTATCAATTTTTTGCATTTAAATAGTAAATTAATTTAATTTGGTATTAATTTAATCAATTGAGTGCAATTAATTATCAATTTGATCCAATTTGGAATCAATTTGATTCTATTTGGTATAAATTCGTTTCAATTAAGTATGTTTTTTGTTTAATTTGGTATAAATTGGATCCAGTTTGGTATCAATTTTTTGCGATTCCTTTTGATATCAATTCCCTGGAAAGTAAATAGCCATTTGATCAAATTTGGTATCAGTTTGATTCATTTTGTTATCAATTCGCTGCAATTCAGTATCATTCAATTTTATATCGATTTGATCCAATTTCATTCAATTCGTTTCAATTTAATTAAATTTGTCTCAAATTGATAAAAATTTGGTTTATTTTAATTCTATTCGGTATCAATTCCTGGAAAGTAAATAACAATGTGTTACAATTTGGTAGCAATTTTATTTTCTATTTGGTATCAATTCGTTTTAATTTAATAGCAATTTTCTTCAATTTCTTATCAACTTTGAATATTTCTCATCATTTTGTCACACGAATTGATAGCAAAAAGCAAACTAGATCAAATTGGACCCAATTGATACCAAATTGCATAATTTGGTATGAATTGGTTCCAATTTGATCTAGTTTGCTATCAACTCGTGTGACAATTTGGTATACCAGTTTGATTCAATGTGGTACCAATTGCACACCTTGAAGAAAAGAATATCGCTGCAAATTTCGCTCCCGTGCTTGGGCACAATAATTAATTTGATTTCCAGAGAGAATTTATAAATATAAGACAAAAGTATCGTGAACCAGTTTTGGCAATGTTTCAGATATTTTATTGGCATACCGCCTTCACATCCAGGGCAACGACATCTCTATCGTGTGAGTTCAGTGCCACAGCAAGGTGGCAAGGTGCATTCAGCAGTTTGTATCACTTGCACCGATTCATCCAAAGTGGAGAATCGTTACGCACTCGCTGAGGGACAAAATAATATTCATCATCCGGAAATAAATGACGATTGGGTTAATAAAAATGACTGGAATCATCAGACAATTAATTTAGTCAAAAAGGAAGAACATACCTTGCGCAATGAACGTAATAATGATTTAGAGAATAAGACGAATCATCAAAATGAATCAAGTTAGTTTCAGCGAATTTAACTTCTATTTCTTTTATATTTACTGAATTTGCTTGTATTTTGCATATTAGTATTATTTATTTTACTGATTGCAGGCTTCGTACACTATAATTAATTTTAAAAAAAAGTAGCTATCGAGAAATTAATATTGATGACTCAATTTTTTCATAATTTCAAAATTTAATTATATTCAGAAGTAGAATAATTTTTTTTTCAAATAAATATTTAAGTCTACATATTTATTTTACCACAGAAATTAGAATATATTTTAAATGATTTCAATATAAAGCTTTTTTGAAATTTAACTATTTCTAAAAATTAGAACTTTAATTCTTCCAAAATTCAATTATTTTTTTACTGAAATTTTATCGAATAAAATTATTCAAAACTTTAATTATTTTGCATCAAAATAAATATTTAATTATATATTTCAGATTTCCAACAATTAACATTTTCAAACATTTCAATTTGAAAATCTTTTGAAATTTAATTATTTCCAAAAATTCACACTATAACGCTTCTAATATTCAATTATTATCTACAATTTTACATAAATTCTTATTAGAAAGTTTTACGAGAATTCAATTATTTAAATAAAAACATATAACTAAATTGAATTATTATAAAGAGCTTTTTATAATTGAATATAAATTATTCAATTAATTGAAAATTGTATTAAAAATAATTAAAATCTTGGGATGAGTTTCATTATTTATGAAAATAATTGAATTCTTGCAACGAATTTTATTTAAGCTTAAAAAAATAATTGAATTCTTGAGAAAAATTTTATTATTTATAAAAATAATTGAATTCTTGCAAAGTACTTGATTCAATTTTTTTTAATAATAATTGAATTCTTGTGAAAAATTTTATAAAAATGTTTTGAAATAATAATTGACTTTATTCGGAAAATTTTATTATTTAAGAAAATAATTGAATGTTTGCAAAGAATTTTATAACATTTTTTTAAATAATTGAATTCTTGTATAAATTCTTTATTAAAATAGTAGACATTGAAAATAATTGATTTTCAAAAAATTTTTGAGAATAATTAAATTGTTTCAAGAAATTTAATTAAAAATGTATTGAGAATAATTTGTAAATTTTATTATAAACAAATTATATCAAAATTTTTTAAAATAATTCAATTTTTTCAGAGAATATTAATTTCTTGCAACTAAGTTTATTAAGTTTTTTAAAAATAATTGAATTCCTAAGATGAATTTTATTTATAAAAAATAATTGAATTCTGATAAAGAAATTAATTCAATTTTTTTTAATAATTAAATTCTTGCGAAGAATTTTATTATTTATAAAAAAAATTGAATTTTTACAATGAATTTCTTTCTTTCTATGAATTTTATTAAAATTTTTGAGAATAATTAAATTATTTCAAGAAATTTAATTGAAAATTTATTAAAAAATAGCTTATAAATTCTAATAAACAAATTATACTAAAATTTTTTTAAATAATTTTATTCTTTCGAAGAATATTAATAAAATTTTTAAAAATAACTATATTCCTGAGAAGAATTTTATTATTTATAAAAATAATTGAATTCTTACAATAAACTTTAACATTTTTTTTTTAATATATAAGTGAATTTTTTCGAAGAAATTTCTAAAAAATCTTTTTAAATAATTGAATTTTATTCCAAAAATAATATGCAAATTGTGTTTTAAATAATTAAATTCCAGTGAAAATTTTGTGAGAATAATTAAATTCTTTAATGAAATTTAATTAAAAATGTATTGAGAATAATTTTTAAATTTTAATATAAACAAATTATATCAACATTTTTAAAAAGAATTCAATTTTTTTAAAGAATATTAATTTCTTGCAACAAAGTTTATTAAAATTTTTAAAAATAATTGATTTCTTGTGGAAATTTTATTATTTGTGAAAATAATTCAATTTTATATCCAAATTTGTATGAATTCTTGTGGAAAATTTTTTTTTAAACTAGTATCTAACTATTGAAAATAATTAAATTTCGAAAAAATTTTGAAAATAATTGAATCGTTTGAAAGAATTTTATTAAAATTTTTTAAATCGTTTCTAAGAATTTTATTAAAGTTTTTAAGAATAATTAAATTATTTCAAGAAATTTAATTGAAAATGTATTGAAAAATAGTTTATAAATTCTAATGAACAAATGATAATAAATTTTTTTTAAATAATTCTATTCTTTCGAAAAATATTAATAAAATTTTTAAAAATAATTGAATTCATGAGAAGAATTTTATTATATTTATAAAAATAATTGTATTCTTGCAATGAACTTAAAAATTTTTTTTTTTAAATATAATTGAATTTTTGCGAAGAAGTTTATAAAAATCTGTTTTAAATAATTGATTTTTTTCCCAAAAAGTAATATGAAAATTGAATTCTTATATAATTGAATTCCTTTAAAAATTTTATTATTTATGAAAATAATTGAATATTTTACAAAGAATTTTATATAAAATTTTTAAAAATAATTGAATTCTTTTGGAAAGTTTTTTATTAAAATACTAGGTAAAAAAATAATTGACTTCCAAATTATTTTTGAAAATAACTAAATCGTTTAAAAGAATTTTATTAAAATTTTTTGAATTGTTTCTAAGATAATTAAAAAATAAAATAAAATTTTTTTAATTTTCTTTTTTGAAAATAATTTGTTTATTCCAAGTATTAGCGAATTTAAAATAGTGCAAACTCTCAATAAAATGGTGAAAGTAGCTTTTAGTGTCACAAATCTAAAAAAAAATATCCAAATAGTAGAAAATTTAAAAAAAAAGTAATAAATAGGAGATTTTATAGTACATATGAGTTCGAAGCCTGTGATTATTGATTAGAATAACGAATAAGAAACGAAATTCTTTGTCGAAAAAAATAGAATTTAAGATATAGAATTTTGTAAATTGAAAATTTGTATTCATAAATATTTTTTTTTTTCTATAGAATTTAAATTGTTTGGAATTTGTTTTATTTAATCAGATTGTTGAAAATTTCCTTATGTTATTCTTTATACACATTCCTTTAAAGAAATACCGCAAAGACGTTTCCACTGGATTTCCATATAGGTTTCTACAAAGGAGCATTTCACAATTGTCTTTGAAAAACGCCATTTGTATACCATTTTCAGCACATATATATATATATATATATATATATATATATATATAATTATAATGCGATTTAAAAATGCTTATTCAGTAAAGGTCATTTATTTCGAAAAAAAATTTTAAAAACTTGATAATATTTCTATTATAGAAAAATCAATATTCTTCTTCCATTTAGAAATATAAAAATTTTTCCAATATTCTATTTTACTATTAACATAAAATATATTACGATGTTTCGTATTTTTAGAAAATTGACATTGAGTTCGAATTTTTATTTCATTTTGATTTATGTTTCATTGTGTTTATATATGCAGAAAAAAATTTACTTATTAACAGTTTATTAAGAGAGAATTTTGATTTTTTTTGCAGTTTGTTATAAAGAATAATTCGCTTCTTGATCAGTTTATGTTAGAAAAAAGTATTTTCATTTTAGCGATTTGTTATAAAAAAGGAGGATCAATTTGCTTATTTGTCGTTCGTTAATAATAAAAACTATAAATTGCTTCATATTGTAAATTTGTTTTTTTTATGAAAGTTGATGTCTTTTCAGAAAATCAAGTAGCTTGTCAATATCACAGTGCAATATTTTCGCCAAGTTATGAATACTTTGTGTTGGAATGTCATGGACCCTGCATTCCTTCAGTGTCTTTGTATAAAACAGAAATGCCAGCGCCTCGATTTATTGCTTTACTTCAAAATAATTCCTTACTTCATGTGAGTATGAATTAAAAATTAAAAATTAATTTACTGAAGATTGCGATCGGTCAGTAAGGATAAACTATCCAAGTTGTTTCTTTCAATGATTTTTTAAATGAAGACTTTAATTTTGACTCTGACTTAAATTTCAAACTTAACTTTGACTTGAAATTTGACTTTGATTTTTGATTCGTATTTGACTTCGACATTGACTTTTTGATTTTGACTTTAACTCTGACTTTCACTTTGATTTCAAAATTTGCCTTTGCCTTTAACTCTGATTTTCACTTTGAGTTCAAATTTGACTTTGACTTTAACTCTGATTTTTACTTTGAGTTGAAATTTGACTTTGATTTTCACTTTATGTTCAAATTTGATTTTTAATTTAACTCTGACTTTCACTTTGATTTTAAATTTAACTTTAACTCTGATTTTCACTTTGACTTTAAATTTGACTTTCACATTCACTTTATGTTCAAATTTGATTTTGACTTTAACTCTGACTTTTACTCTGAATTCATATTTGACTTTAACTCGTAATTTGACTTTGATTTTTTATTCGTTTTTGACATTGATTTTAAAGTTTGACTCTCACTTTGATTTCAAATTTGACTTTTACTTTCACTTTAAGTTCAAATTTGACTTTGAATTTAACTCTGACTTTAACTTTGAATTAATATTCGACTTTCACTTTAACTATGACTTTCACTTTGAGTTCAAACTTGACTTTCACTTTCAAAATAAAAGTCAAAGTAAATACTTTGACTTTCACTTGGAATTCAAATTTGACTTGGAATTAAACTCTGACATTCACTTTAACTTCAAATTTGACTTTGACTTTCACTTTATGTTCAAAATTGACTTTGACTATAACTCTGACTTTCACTTTGATTTAAAATTTGACTTTGACTTTAACTATGACTTTCTTTGTAAGTTCACTTTAATTCTGATTTTCCATTTAACTTTGAATTTGACTTTAATTTTTACTTTGAGTTCAAATTTGACTTTGACTTTAACTCAAATTTTCACTTTGAGTTCAAATTTGACTTTGACTTTCACTTTATGTTCAAATTTAATTTTAACTTCAACTCTGACTTTCACTTTGAGTTCATATTTGATTTTAACTGGTAATTTGATTTTGACATTGACTTTTAAGTCTGACTTTCACTTTATATTCAAATTTGACTTTGACTAGAACTCTGACTTTCACTTTGATTTTAAATTTGACTTTAACTCTGATTTTCACTTTGACTTTAAATATGACTTTGACTTTGAGTTCAAATTTGACTTTCACTTTTACTTTATGTTCAAATTTGACTTGGAATTTAACTCTTACTTTCAATTTGATTTCAAATTTGAGTTTAACATTAACTATGACTTTCAGTTTGAGCTAAAATTTGACTTTGACTATAACTCTGACTTTCATTTTGATTTCAAATTTGACTTTAACTCTGATTTTCACTTTAAGCTAAAACTTGACTTTGACTTTGAGTTCAAATTTGACTTTCACTTTCACTTTATGTTCAAATTTGACTTGAAATTTAACTTTGACTTTCACTTTAACTATGTCTTTCACTTTCAAAATGAACTTCAAAGTGTATACTTTGACTTTCACTTTGAATTAAAATTTGACTTTGAATTTAACTCTGACTTTCACTTTGAATTCATATTTGACTTTAAATGGTAATTTAACTTTGATTTTTTATTCTTTTTTGACATTGATTTTAAGTTCAAATTTGACTTTTACTTTGAAATTGAAAGTATAAGAGTGTATATTTTGACTTTCACTTTGAAATCACGTTTGACTTAAAATTTAACTCTGACTTTTACTTTGAGTTCATATTGGACTTTGACTTTCACTTTATGTTCAAAATTGACTTTGACTATAACTCTGACTTTCACTTTGATTTCAAATTTGACTTTGAATTTGTCTATGACTTTCACTTTGAGTTCAAATTTGACTTTAAATTTAACTCTGACATTTACTTTAAATTCAAATTTAACTTTGAATTTAACTCTGACTTTCACTTTGAGTTCAAATTTCACTTTTACTTTCACTTTGAGTTTAAATTTGACTTTTGCTCTGATTTTCAATTTTATTTCAAATTTGTCTTTAGCTTTGACTTTGATTTTCAAAATGAAAGTGACAGTCAAAGTATTTACATCAATTTTAGAATTAATTAATATTAATCGAACTATTAAATATTAATAACTAAAGTTATGTAATTATTTCTAAATATCTAAAATCTGAATTATGTTTGCAATTTACGCAGGAAAGACTTGCTAAAGTAGCTCTTCCACAAATAAAAACATTTCCCGTTCAGATAAGCGGCGGCTATGATGCTCAGGTGAAGCTTCATTTGCCGCCAGGTTTGCGGGACGAAGAAATCACTCGCTACCCAATGGTTATCCAAGTGTACGTAGATATATCATGTCTATAATATATACAGTCTATAATACGCAATTTATAATATTAAATCCAAAATATAGAAAATTAAATAAATAATAAAGATATTCCCTACTTCTTTTGAATCCATTTGTGTGTTAAAATAAATTCAATAAGAAATTTCTACATGAAATTTCCCACATAGCAGAGAAAGTTTCATTAAGCTTGCGGCAAGCTTACGGTGCAATATTTCCGAGCTTACAGCGCAAGATTGTCGCAAGATTGCAAAAAACTTGCAATATTTCGTACTAAGCTTGCAATAATCGTTCCTTGCAATTATTCAATTTTGTAGCAATTATTCATCAATTATTCGTGCCAAAATTGCAGGAACATTTCATGGCAAGCTTGCAATTTTTGTTTTTACCGCACGAGAAATAAAATTTAAAAAATTTCAATTTAAAACTTTCTGAAATTTAATAATTTCTAAAAAAAAAAAAAATTTTGACAATTATTAACTAAACTTGATCTCTAAATCAATATTTTTTTTAATAAATTTACGAAACTTCTTTGAGAATTCAGTTATTTTAATATACAAATTTTCATTCGAATTTTTGAGAATTCAATTATTTTCAATATTTGCAAGTAAAAATTCTTCAACAGTTGATTTTTAAAAATTATAACAAAATACTTGAAAAAAAATTAAATCATATTTTGAATTAAATTTTATAAAATTGCAATTATTCAAAAAAAATTTTTAATTGTTTCGAAAAAAATCAAAAATTTAACTAAACTTTATTAAAAATGCCTTTTGATTATATTTTTTTTATAGAAATGGCGCACCAGGGGCACAATCAGTGAATGAAATGTTTAAAATCGACTGGGGAACAGTGTTGGCAAGTGAAAAAAATATGATTGTCGTGGAAATTGACGGCAGAGGAAGTGGTGGACAAGGTTATCAATTGATGCACGAAGTGTACCATCGATTGGGCACCGTTGAAGTCGCCGATCAACTTGAAGTCACAGAGTATTTATTTTGAATTTACAAATTTCCATAAATAATATTAATAACACGTAATAAAAACAAAAAAATAAAAATCACACATTTTTTCTTGAAAGTAATAAATTTATACCAAAACGGTTCAAGTTGGTACCAAAAAATTAGGATCAATTTGTGATTGATGAGCATTTTCTTTGGTATGAATTTTTTTTTAATTTGGTATCAATTCATTGCAAAAAAGTTTGGATCAAAATTTATAGTTTGATTCACATTTTTTGATTTCAATTTCTTGCAAAAAAGTTTGGGTCAAATTAATCCGCATTTTTGGTATCAATTCGTAAAAATTTGCTACTTTCAAGTTAACAGTTTAATAATAACTATTATTTGATAATTTATTGCAAAATAAAATTGTATTATGCAATAAATTGTTAATTAATTATTAATAATTAAATTTTAGATATTTACGCGACTCCCTACATTTTGTCGACAAACGTCGAGTTGCAATTTGGGGTTGGAGTTACGGTGGTTTTGTGGCAGCTCACGCTTTAGCCGTTCCTGATCAAGATGTCTTCAATTGTGGCATCAGTGTCGCTCCCATTGTCAATTGGGAATTATACAGTAAGTTTTTAATTTAGAAAAAAAATTTTCAACCAAAGAAAGATTTTGAAAAAAAATTTTAATGAAAGAAATCACACTTTTTTCAAAGATATCAAATTGAGACAAAACAGGGATCAAAATTGTTGCTTAGCAACAATTTTAATCCCTTTTTTGTCTCAATTTGATATTTAAAAAAAAACACCGAAGTTTTTGAATTTTGAAACAGTTTTAAAAAGTCTTAAAAAAACTTTTTTTTAATAAACACATTTTTTCAAAAAAAAAAATTTCAGATTCGGTTTACACCGAGAGATACCTAGGATTATTGAATAAATCCGAGGCCAATTATAAGGGCTATCAAGACGCAAACCTGTGTAATAAATTCAATTCCCTGAGCGAACAGGAGCAGGAGAAGCCAAGGGATACCGAAAAGCCGAAAAAAAAGAAACAAAAGAAAATGTTTTATTTGGTGCACGGAACAAGTGACAATAATGTTCAATTTCAACATTCAATGACTCTTGCTAGGCATCTGGCCAAAAAGGATATATTATTTCAACAACAGGTAAAAAAAATATTAGACACTATATTTTTTCCATGATGCAAGTCGAATACAATTTTCTAGCCTTCTTGTAAATTGAAAACAATGGAAAATAATTATCTCTTCATAATATATGAATCAAAACTTTTGCGAATATAAAACTTTTGAGTTTTTGTGTGGATTCATTGGAAATATTTGACAAATGCGAGCAAAAGGTTTAGAAAAAAATATTTCGGTGAAGAAAGAACACCTGTTCTTTCTTCACCGAAATATTATTTTTATAAACTTTTGTTAGGCCATAAAATTTTGAAATATTCGTATTTGGTTGTATGAGAGCATAATAATTCTTTGTTCCAAAAGCCAAAAGGTCCAATAATTCTTATTTCCAAATACAAAAAGGTCCAAAATTTAATTCAAAATCAAACTTCAAATCTAGAAACTTTTTCTTGATGTACTTCGTCACTTCTGAGAATTTCGAAAAACAAAATGGCGGCGGACAAATAAAACAGCTGATCCACTTGAAATTTTATAATCTAAAAACGTAAACGTAAACGTTTCATTAATTTTTTACTCATTGAAAACAACAGTAACTTCATTTTTAAATATAAATATTTAATCATTATTATTTTTCCATACGAATTAAAATTCTTCAAAAGATTCAAATTCCAACCTTTTTGAAATTTAATTATAAGAATACTATTACAAAACATGAAGAAATCAATCATCAACTCGGAGTAATCGATTTCCTCATGTTTTTATAATAATTAACGATAATCCAGGGATAAAATTAATATTTTATATAAGAATATTGATACTTTAACTTCTTTGAAATTATTTTCATCAATATAATTTAAATTCAATTATTATTTTCTAGAATTTTTAACAAAAATTCTTCTCTACATCAATATTATTACTGAAAAGTACGAAAAATTTATATTTCCAAAGATTTTAATTTGAAACCTTTTCAAAATTCAATTATTTCTAAAAAAATTCATGCTACAATGTCAATGCTTTTAATATTAAATTATTATCTAAAATATTAACCGAAATTCATTTTTAACTCAATTTTTATTAGAAAATACTACGAAAATTTAATTATTTCAATACAAAACTAAATAATTTATTCAATAAAATTGAATGTTTTTTAAAATTTAATTTTTACGAAGAATTTTATTAACAGTTTTTTTTTAAGTAGTTAATTTCTTTTAAAGAATTTAATTAAAATTTTACTGAAATTTATTATATTAAAGAGTTTTATAAAAAATTGTTTGAAAATAATTGATAACTTTTTGAAGAATTTTATTAACATTTTTAAAAATAATTAAATTCCTGAGAAGAATTTAAATAATAATTTATGAAAATATTTAAATTTATGCGAAGGATTTTATTCAATTTTATTGAAATAAATGAAATTTTGACAAGAATTTCATTAAAATTTTTGACAATAATTTAATTCTTGAGAAGAATTTCGCTATCTATTTATAAAGATAATTTAATTCTAGTCGAGAATTTAAAGAATTTTTAAAATAATATATAATTTCTGCAAAGTATTTTATTACTTTCAAAAGAATTGAATTCTTCTGATTGATTATCAAAATTAATAATTGTACTTTGGAAAAGAATTTTATTAAAATTCCTCAAAATAATTGATTTTTTGTGAAGAATTTTGTTGTTTTCCCAAGATAATTGGAAATCTTTTGCAGAATTACTTCAAAATTTTTGAAAATAATTCATTTTCTGCGACGAATTAAAATTTATTTATAAAAATAATTGAAATATTGCAATTAATTTTATTATTTTATTGAGTAATTTAATGTTTCTAAAAATTGAATTCTTTCATCAATTTTTGCTACTTATAAAGATAATTGAATTCTAAACGAGGTATTTGTTAAAATTTTTTAAAATAATTGAATTTCTTCAAAGAATTTTATTGCTCTTGAAGATAATTGAATTCTTTTGATAAATTTTGATATTTATCAAAATAATTGAACTTTGGAATAGAATTTTATAAAAATTCCTTATAAAATAATTGATTTTATGTGAAAAATTTTCTTGATTTTCAAGATAATTGAAATTTTTTGCAGAATTACTTAAAAATTTTTGAAAATAATTGATTTTCTGCGACGAATTAAAAGTTATTTATAAAAATAATTGAATAATTGCAGCGAATTTCATTATTTTATTGAATAATTGAATGTTTCTTAAAATAGAATTCTATCGTCGAGTTTTAATAAAAATTTTATGATAAGAATCTATTTAAAATTTATTGTATTAAAAATATTTAAAATTCTGCGATGAAAATAATTGAATTCCTAAATGAATTTTTATTAATTATGAAAATAATTGAATGTTTTCGTAGAATTGGATCAAATTTTTTTTCAATAATGAAATGTTTTGATAAATTTTATGAAAATCATTAAAAAATAATTGAATTGAAAAAAACTTTTGAAAATAATTGAAATTTTACAAAGAATTGTATTTAAATTTTTGAAAATAATTGAATTTTTGGCGACAATTTTTGCTATTTATAAAGATAATTGAATTCTTGACGAGATATTCGTTAAAATTTTTTTTAAAAAATTAAATTTCTTCGAAGAATTTTATTACTTTTGAAAATAATTGAATTCTTGTGATGAATATTGTTATTTATGAAAAGAATTGAATTTTGCAAAGAATTTTATTAAAATTCCTAAAAATAATTGAATGTCCATGAATAATTTTGTTATTTATCAAGATAATTGGGTTAAAAACTTTTTAAATAATTTAATAATATTACAAAAATTCATTCTCGTCAGAAATAGAAAAATACCTATGAGTGATAAATTCAAATTAATAATAATATAAAAATATTAATTATTATATTAATTATTATTCAGGTGTATCCAGACAGTGGGCATCATTTATCAACATACAAGAAACATTTATATGAATCAATGGCGAATTTCTTGAATGAATGTTTTCAGAAACAAGTACCTGTAGAAACAAAGTCTGGTTTAAGTAGCGGTGGCTCTGTTCTCGATGACGATGATGAAAATGATAATAAGGCACTCTGAAAGAAAAAGGCTTAAAATCAATAAAATGTACAGTACATAACGTGCAATCTTAAATAACGTCTCCGAACTGTGTTCCGTTCAAATATATAGGAAAATAACAAAAATGAAAAAAAGTAAGAGAAGAAAATAGGTGCGTAATTTTTTTCAATTTTCTCTCTCTCTCTCTCTTTCTCTCTCTTTTTCGTGAGAAAAATTTCCAATAATACCAATTCTAAATTGTAAATATTAATAATCGCGCTAATTGGTTTGCTTTTAAAATCAATTATAAGATAAAACTAATTATATATCTAGATAATATGAAAAAAAATTGCCTTCGAGCTGAAGTAGAATTTTTTTTTTATTTTTTTCGAATCAGATATAAAGAAGTGCGAACAATATTATCGTGATTAACAATCATAAAAATTTTCGAATTTCTCGAAAATTTGTTTGCTGTAAAAATTTCTTGAAGAACAGTATTTAAGAGATGTTCCTTTAAGCGCAGTAGATATTAGGTGAACTTGTAATTTACTAAATATGATTGTTATAGATTTTTTTCTAATAACATTTTTCCCGCTTTAAATAGAAAAAGTAAAAATAGAATTCGCAATCGAAAAAAAAGAACTTTTTAATCGTACAACTCTCTAAGTTTGAATTAGTTAAAATTTTTACTAACTTGAATTAGGAACTGACCTTTTGCTTTTGAATTAGTAAATTTTACTAACAAATTAGTAAATTTAACTAATAAATTAGTAAAAATTACTAATTCAAAAGCAAAAAATGTCAGTCACTAATTTAAATAGTATTTAAATAGTAGATTTTTTACCAAAAAATAGTAAATCTATTAATTTATTTGTGAAATTTACTAATTCAAGAGCAAAATATCAGTCACTAATTGAAATCGTAATTAAATAGTAAATTTTAATAATAAATAGTATTTTCTACTAATTTATCAGTAAATGTTACTAATCCAATAGCTATTCAATATTTAAATAGTATTTAAAAAGTAAATTTTACTAATAATTATTAAATCTACAAATTTATTAGTAAAACTTACTAATTCAAGAGCAAAAAACCAGTCACTAATTTAAATAGTAATTAAGTAGTAAATTTTACTAATGAATAGTATTTTTTACTAATTTATCAGTAAATTTTACTAATTCAATAGCAAAATGTCAGTTACTAATTAAAATAGTATTTAAATAGTAAATTTTACCAATAAATATTAAATCTACTAATTAAATAGTATCACTGCAAAAAATGGCGTCTAAAAATAAGACGTTTAGACGTTTATAAACGTCTTATGTAAATAAGCGTCTTATTTGAGCGTCTTAAATGAAAAACATAACCTCCAAATACATGCATTTTAGAAGGCAAATAAGACGCTTATAAACGTCTAAAATGTGACCACGTAAACGTCTTAAACCAAGACGCTCTTTTTTTACAGTGTAAAATTTACTAATTCAAGAGCAAAAAAAACCAGTCACTAATTTAAATAGTAATTAAATATTTCAAACTTACATTAAACAAATGTATTAAACTTATAATTTATTAGTAATTAAATTGTAAATTTTACTAATAAATAGTATTTTCTACTAATTTATCAGTAAATTTTACTAATTAAAAAGCAAAAAGTCAGTCACTAATTTAAATAGTATTTAAATAGTAAATTTTACTAATAAATATTAAATTTACTAATTTATTAGTAAAATTTACTAATTCAAAGGCAAAAAGTCACAAAATCAAATTAGTAAATATATTAATTAATTCGAATTTAAAGAAAATTTTTATTCAAATAAATATATGATTAGCCTTAAGAACCATAACTTGTATGTACCTATAAATGACTTTTATAGACTATTTTCTGTAAGAAAGTTGCTTTAGTAGAAAAAGTTATTTAAACCAAAAAAAAATTTATACAGTTTTCTTCTGTATAGTGCAAGAAGCAAAGAAAAAAAAAATTGTTTCAAAGTTAAAGAACAAGATCTTTAACGAAAAAAAAATTTTCTATTTTAATAACAGACTTTTAAGGGTAAATTTCATGACAATTATTTTATATATATACTCTTTAAAAAAATATATTTTTTGTAAAAATCATTTAAGAGATGAAAGATAAAAATTATTCAACTTTTTGACAGATTTCAAAAACTTTTTAATTTAATTTATCCTTTAATACAAAAAATCCGTTATTTTATTATATTTTATTAAATTTAAGCTCTTTGGTATTGAATTTTTATTTCCATTAGGCTTCTTACAAAATTCAGAAAGAAATTGTATTTAAAATGAATGCATGTGGTACTTTTAAGTTTGTATCACTGAAATGCATTGAGAATTATTAATTTTTTCAAATTATTATTTATATCTACAGAAAAATTGTTAACTTGTCATTTTATCATAATTTGTCTATTTGTCCTTTAAAAATTAATGAACCACAAATAGATATCTAAATAGATATCTATACAAGTAAATTGTAGATACGGATGCAATAACCACCTCTATTCGGCCCTTACATTTGTAATTTACTTTTTTCTAAATTATAATTTCATTCACAACTTTAATCGAATTTTCAAAAACAAATTTTTACTATAAACAGTGAAAGGATGTAAAAAAATATAAAAGTTGGATTGAAAAAAATGTATATAAATTGTAAAATATGCGTGATTCTAAAAAAATTTTTCAAATATTAACAAATTATTGTTTATTATAAAATTATTATTTATTATGTAATTTTTAATTATTAAAAAATTATTATTATAAAATTATTAATTATTCTAAAATTACTTTTTACTATAAAATTATCATTTATTACAATATAAAATTCATTATTTCAAAGAACAATAATTTCAAGTTCAATTTTAAAAATAGAACTTAAAAATAGATTTAAAAAAAAATATAATTTATAATTATTTCAAGAGAAGGAAAATTAAATATATTTTACTTCTTTAAAATCAGGAAAATTGCATTCAAATTAACCACCGAAATTTAGTCAACTGAACTAGTTAAATTTGAAAAAAAAAATTTTTTTCCGATTCTAAAAATAAAGAACGTTGCAAATAATTAAATAACACGAGAGAGAATATTTAAATGTTTCAATGTTTTTTCTATAAAAAATGGATTTTTATAAATCTATAGACTAATATAAATGTAATTATTACACCACTGCTTGTAATCAATTTAAAAAATTGACTACTTCGTTACAAATTTACTCTGGATTATATAATACTGTCACCAGTAATCGATATTTTTATCTGCATAAATTATATATATATATATATATATATATATATATATATATATATATACAGATCAAAGTTACTATTATGTCCGTTAAATGTATGCTTTCTTTCATTATTTTATTAATTAATTAATATTTTAATTTAATTATTATTAACTAATTAATTAAATAACTATTATCAATTGATTAATATTAATAATTAATTAGTTGTATTAATTAATTATTATTACTAATTAGGTAATTACTAATTAATTAATTAATTATTATTACTAATTAGGTAATTGCTAATTAATTAATTAATTATTAATTAGTATTTACCTAATTAGTAATAATAATTAATTAATTAATAATATTAACGTTATTAATTATATATTCTATAGTAATTAATTCTATAGCAAAAAAATAATTATTCAAAGTAAAGATCATAATTCGGAGAAGAAAAAGAAATGAAAAATATTCATTTATGACTGCTAGTGTGTATTTAATTTAATAATTAAGTGAAAACTGCAAATTCTTTTGTTATAATTATAACTAATTAAATCACGATGAAAGTAATTGTTAATCAGTATTCAATAATATGATTTACGATTTCTAATGGTTGACTCAATTCGAGCCTTACAATCGAAACGCCGAATGGAGTTAGTTATTGCATCCTTGTAATGAATTCGTAATCATATTATTATATCTTCTTTTCTTAGAATTATTTAATTGTAATTTGTTATCTAGTTGTTAATTAACTTCAATTGTTGATCTATTTATTTTGATGAAAATACGAGAGTGAAAGGAATTGTAAAAATATTTTTTTTTATTTTCGAATCACTCATAAACCCGAAGGAGAAATGTGAATAAACTCACTGTATTGATGTTCGTCTCAAAAAAGAAAAAAAAAGATAATAACGATATGTATGAAAAAAAAAATGTTGTTCATACATAGAATGCTGTATGTCTGAAGTCAGTTTTTATACTTAAAAAAATGCACAGCTGAAAAAGAAAATCAACTTTTTTTCTCTGTATATAAATATTTATGTGCACTAAAACTTTATTTATAACATTAGAACCATAAAAGACCATCGAGAGACTTATAATTATGCGTTAATCCCATACAATCTGTGATAGTACAGTATTTTTCTCCCAAAAGAAAAAAAAATGGCACTTGTTTCTTTGAAATTTGTACCTATTCGCGCTTCAAAAATTTTAATTTTAATTTAATTTGTATTCTTTAATTTTAAGATCCCTTTTAAGAGAAGAGGTTTCTATTGGTTTATTTTTCGATTCTATTGGAATAGACCAATCAAAATGACTCTAGTAACTACGCGCATGCGCAGTTTCAAACTTCCTTGGGAGTTCCCCTGATCATGAAAAATATACTAGATTTTATCATTTAAAGCGCAAACAAAAAAATAAATGTACATTTCTCAAGAGCACTAAAAGTTGCTTTATTATTATATATCGCTCACAAAATTACTCTATAATTTATAATCAAACTAAAATCTAAATTTGATATATAAATATAAAAAAATACTCTTTAAGTTCGAATTTCGCCATGAACAACTAATTTCGAATAAAAATTCTTTTAAATGGAAAACTATAAATCATCTTTTCGATATGTAACCATATTTGAATGTTGATATAAACTTTTGACTAAGAGACAAATTCAAAATATTTAAAAAATATTTTTCAAGATTTTATGAAAATTCAAATAGAGAAACTATTAATAAAAAAAATTCAATAAAAAGCTAGTTTATTTTTTAGTGCCACAATCATGTTGTACTTAAAAGAAAAAAATATATATATATAGTCTACAAAGAAACAAATTCATATATATATAGAAATTTCTGCACAACTATTTTTAAAAATCTAGAAAACATGTAGAAAATGTTAAAAACGTAGTTTATTACTAAGGACTAGAGTCTTTTTTTGTTTCCATGTCCTCTTTAATAAGTGGGAGTGGTAATTTTACCTCCTGCTCCAATTTTACTTCTTATAAAAAATTCTACAAATTTTCGGACTTATTTTTCAAATAAAAGAAAAAATGTTAGGAATTCGCTAACACTAATTAACTTTAGTGGAATTGACAAAAGAAAAAAAAATTGTTTCCAAAGTCTTTAATGAATTCTAGAAAATTTTAGTAAATTTAGTAAATTTAGTAAATTCAATCAGTGTGATGAAAAGAACAGTATATTAAAATTACTGAGAATGGAAATTAAAATTAAAAAATTTATGAAAAGAAATTAGAAAATTTTATTAAAGTCAGTTAGTAAACGAATTCCAAATAAAATAATATAATAAAAAATTCCAAAGTTTTAAAACTGAAAAGTAGTTAAATTTATCCGAAGACAATGTATTTTTATCTTGTGCAAGTATCAATCATGTTAAATTGAAAAATAATTACAAAACTACTGGAAAAAATTTTTATTATTATTATACTATATAATATGTTTTGAATATTGTGAATAAATTTATTATTTCAATTCAATTGAGAATGTTTTTTCTTATAAATCCTGTAAATACTTTTTTATGAAGTGAGAACTTTGAGCAGAATGCTATAGGAGAAGCGGCCCCCCAGAATGCGTACACTACTCCCACTCCACAAGTCCATTTCTTCAAGTAGTGGGGGGACGCTTCTCTTAGCATAGCGTTAGGATCCAGTCTTTCCTTTATTATTATTATTTATTTTTTATTATTATTATTACTATTATTATAATTATTTTTTATTATTATTATTATCTATTTTACTATTTCTCTACATTTTACTATGCACATAAAATTAATAAATGGGAATAAATAAAAGTAATATACACAAGAAAATTTTTTATTAATATAACATTTATTTCAACTTTTATCATTAAAAAAAAATAATAAAAAATTCTTCACGTCACCACGCCGTAGATTGAAAATCAGTCAAAAATATATTTTTTTTTACAATCATTCGCAGTATTACAGTATTAAAAGCATCATTGCTGGAACAATATTTCTTGTAAATAAAAATTTCATTCCTATTTTAGCATTAAGTAAGAGATGTAAATAGATTTTATTATATTTCAAATATAAAAATATAAAATTTTAACATTTAAATGTCAATTTTTTTATCATTTAAATTTTAAATTTTTTATCATTCAAATATTAAATTGTTTAATGTTAAAATGTTTTAACTTTCAAATCTTAAAATATTTTAACATTCAAGTGTTTAATGTTTTACTGTATTTAATATGCGAACCTAAAATGTTTTAATATTAAAATGATTTAGCATTTTAATGTTAAATGTTTTAATGTTAAAATGTTTATAAATCTTAAAAATATTTTAACATTAAAGTGTTACACGTTTTACTGTTTTTAACAGGTATTCGAATATTAAATGTTTTAATATTAAAATAATTTAACATTTTAATGATAAAATGTTTTCAAACCTTCAAATATTTTAACATCCAAGTGTGTTTAATGTTTTACTGTTTTTACATTCTCATCACATGAGAAAGTATTAGTTTTATTTAATATACGAATATTAAATGATTTATAATTAATAATTTATTAATGATTTATCATTCGTATATGTTTAATATACGAATATTAAATGTTTTAATATTAAAATGATTTATCATTTTAATGTTAAATGTTTGAACATTCGAATGTTAAATGTTTGAATATTTGAATGTTACATATTTTAATGTTAAAATGTTTTAACATTTTAATGCTAAATGTTTTAAAGTTAAAATGTTTAAACATTTTAATGTTTTAAATGTTTTAATGTTAAAACGGTTTAACATTTAAATATAAAAAGTTTTAACATTTTAATGTTAAAATGTTTTAGCTTTGAAATCTTAAAATATTTCAACATTTAAGTGTTAAATGTTTCACTGTTTTTTAATATTCAAATATTAAATGCATTAATAATAAAATATTTTAATATTTTAATGTTAAAGTTTTTAATGTTAAAATGTTTTCAAATCTTAAAATATTTTAACATTCAAGTGTTTAATGTTTTACTGTTTCTTAATATTCGAATATTAAATGTTTTAATATTAAAATGTTTTAACATTTGAATGTTAAATGTTGAAACATTTTAATGTTAAATGTTTTAACACTTTAATGTTAAAATGTTTTAACATTTTAATGTTAAATGTTGTAATGTTAAAATATTTAAATGTTAAAATGTTCGAACTTTTGAATGTTAAATGTCTCAATGTTAAAACGTTTTAACATTCAAATTAAAAATGTTTTAACGTTAAAATGTTAAATCTTAAAGCATTTCGAAAATTTAAATTTCTTGTTGATTTCTTTTCTTTTTCGTTACAAATCGGGAAGGGTTTTGATAAATTTCTTATTAGCACACCTACCAAGATGTAGGAGCATATGATTTTTAAGATTAGTAGGTTTACTAAAACCACGACTACAAATATGGCACCTAAATGGCCATAGTCCGTTGTGTACGTACATGTGACTCTTGAGATCCCCGGGGGTTGGAAACGATTTTGAACACTGGGAGCACTTGTGCGGTTTCTCCTGTAACAAATTGGTAATTGATATTCCATCAAAAATTATTATTTATTATATATTGAACAATTTACATAAATTACACTTTTCATATAATATATATATGACGTGTCGTCCTTTAATGCAACGCAACGCCGTAAGAGAGAATTCATCGGCAGAGATGATAGAAAGAGAAGGAGCGATTAAATATTCGTGAAAAGTAAAACCGGTATGCACACCTCTCATTAGGTGTAGGTCGTATATGCATTTATATGAGTGAATGTTTTACGTATATGGATATACACACGATAACATAATTGAAGATAAACCCCGTGATAAGGACACACGTTACATGTTAGAAACAGGATCGGATTAAAAACGTCTCACTTGATATTTTCAGCCTTCAACTTTTATTTTTTGTTTTAACACTATTTTTCGTTTCGAGTTTTTCTTTTTAAGAATTAAAGAAATTTTGTTTAAAATTACAATATCATAACCTCGAATCACAACAAAATTTTCACTTTTTCCCTGACTCTGAGAAACACCAATAACTTCTTTTTTAAATAAATATTTGATCATTATTTTTTTTTATTTCAAAGAATTTAATTTGAACCCTTTTCAAAATTTTATTTCTAAAAATTTACACAATAACTCTTCTAATATTGAATTATTATTGAAAATTTTACCTGAAATTCGTTTTTTAATAAATTTTTATTAGAAAATTTTTAGAGAATTCTATTATTTACATAGAAAAATAAATAATTTATTCAATAATTGAATATTTCTTAAAATTTAATTTTTATGACCAATTTTATCAAAATTTTTAAAAATAATTGAATTCTTTCGGTGAATTCTAAAAAAAAATTTTAAGAATAAATGCAATTTTCTATCATTGTATTTAAAATAGTAAAAAAAATAATTTAAATTCTGAGATAAGTTTTGTTATTTATGCGAAAATAATTGAATTCTTGCAACGAATTTAATAAAAAAAATTTTTAAAGAATTAAATTCCTGCGAAGAATTTTATTTGTGAAAATAATTTAATTCCGGGGAAAAATATTATTATTAAAGTTCCTGAAAATAATTAAAATTGGGCAAAGAATTTTGTTATTTATAAAGATAATTGAAATGTTGACTAAAATGTTTTTTTTAGATTTTTTGAAAATAATTAAATTTTTACAAAGAATTTTATTAATTTTCAAAATAATTAAATTCTTGTAAAGAATATTGTTATTTAGGAAAATAATTGAATTTTGCAATGAATTTTTTTAAAATTCCTGAAAATAATTGAAATTGGGCAAAGAATTTTGTTATTTATAAAAATAATTAAAATGTTGACTACAATGTTTTTTTTAGATTTTTTGAAAATAATTGTATTTTTACAAAGAATTCTATTAATTTTAAAAATAATTGAATTCTTGTGAAGAATATTGTTATTTATGAAAATAATTGAAATTCGCAATGAATTTTATTAAAATTCGTGAATATAATTGAATATCGGCGAAAAATTTTGCTATTTATAAAGATAATTGAAATGTTGACTAAAATTTTTTTGATTTTTTGAAAATAATTGAATTTCTACAAAAAATGTTATTAATCTTAAAAATAATTGAATATGCTTGTGAGTAATATTGTTATTCTGGAAAATAATTGAAGTTTGCAATGAATTTTATTAATAATTAATAATATAATATAATAATATAAAATAAAAATATAAAAAATTTAAAAATTTAAATATTTATTAAAATTATTATTATTATTATTATTATTCATTTAAAAATTTATTTAAATTATTTAAAATTTTCTATAAAAAATATATAATATAATATTAATAATTGAATAATATTGTTACTTATAAAAATAATTGAATTTTGCAATGAATTTTATTAAAATTCCTGAATATAATTGAATTTCGTGAGAAGAATTTTGCTATTTATAAAGATAATTGAATTATAAAGATAATTATTTTGAAAATAATTCAATACTTGTGAGTAATATTGTTATTTTGCAAAATAATTGAATTTTGCAATGAATTTTATTAAAAATCCTGAATATAATTGAATTTCGGCGAAGAATTTTGCTATTTATAAAGACAGTTGAAATGTTGACTACAATGTTTTTTTCATATTTTTTGAAAATAATTTAATTCCTACAAAGAATTTTATTAATTTTAAAAATAATTGAATTCTTGTAAATAATATTGTTATTTATAAAAATAATTGAAATTTTGACAAGAATTTTATTAAATTTTTTGAAAATAATTGAATTTTGGAGAAGAATTTTAGTATTTTTGAAGATAATTGAAATTTTGACGAGAGTTTTAAAAAATTTTTGAACATTATTGAATTTACGCAAAGAAGTTCATCACTTTTAAAAATTATTGAATTTCTGTAATCAGTTCTTAAAATTTCTATTTAAATTAATTAAAAATTGATATTTTCTAAAATTTCAAATTAAAACTTTTGAAGTTTATCTATTTATGAAGATTGTAAACGCAACTCTATTGAAATCCAATTAATTTAAAAATTTTTAAGTATAAAATTATTTATTGAATAATTTATAAGTAATAATTTTATGATAGTTCTTCAAGAATTAAGTTATTTAAAAAGAAATTATTGTCAGAAATAGAAAAAATTGAAGAATTTTTATTAGAACTCTTCTCAATTTCATATAGTTTATGAGGCAAACATATAAAAAAAACACAAAAATTCAGAATTTTCTTAAAAATTTTAAAAATTTAATTTTTTTCAGTTCATTTTAATAAAATATTTTTTGTTTTTTCCCTGATTTCCCTGACAAATTCTAATTTCCCTGACTTTTCCCTGGATTCCATGACTTCCATGAATTAAAATAATTTTTGTTTTACAGAAATATTTTTAAATTGTGAAAAAAACTGCAGTTGTTTATATCAGATAATTTAGACTCAAATATGTAATAATTAGGGAGAAGGGGGTAAATTTTTGCATTTGAAAAAGTATCTCGAAAGAAATAATTGTAGAGGAAGAAAAAATTGTACCAACATAGAGGGTAATTTTGTGGTCCAATGTAAGTAATTTAGTAGGGAGGGAGTTTTCAGGTAAGATATATATATATATATAGTATATATGTCGGAAATGTGTGTGTTTACATGTGGTATGGAAGAGGAGCAGAAGACATAGTGTTTGGTGTGGCGCGGCAGTAGCGAAGAAGTGCCTCGGGATACATACGTTCTCTGTCTCTCTAATTGGATTGCATTCCAAGCGGTAGCAAGTAATGGGCCAATTACAGTAGCTGATGGCAGACCAACCTATATGACTCCAGAGATATCATTACTTCGAGGGATTAGAGAAACTCATACGGTTTCCGTTCCAATAAATAAAAACTTCTATATAAACCCCCCCCCCCCCGCCTATCTTCCTCTTTACCTCTATATACACCATAGGCCATCACCATTCGCATCGTTACCACTTATGATTTCTACTTGAAGTTCTACCAGGCTTACGCAGAAACACGAGAAAAGAGAGCAAACGAAAAAAATGAAACTGCACCCGTATATAAACCCAATAAGAGTAGACGCAATAAACTCTTCGAGCATCACCCAGGACTTTATTATTGCTCTTCTGCACGCACTATCAGACACAGAGTTAAATTCTTAATTGGCCAGACTGCCTTAATCTCTTAACATTTCTTTTTTCAGATATCGCATTTTTCCTTTTCATTCCTTCACCCAATATTGAGAATCCTAGGGGTAATTTCCACTCCTTTATACCACAAACTCTTCTTAAAATAACTTTCCAAAAAAAAATGTTTTTTTAATAAAGATAAATCGTAACAAAAAAAAGTGACAACCATAGTAGCAATGTTGACTCAAAGTTATACATTTCTTTTTTCAGATCAAATTTTTCCTTTCCTATCTTTAAACCAATATTAATAATTCTAGGAGAATTTTCCTTTCTACCACTTTCCTTAAAAACCTTTCCAAAAAAAGGAATGTAATAAAGATAAATCGTAAAAAAAATTGCCGAGAATTACCAACAAGGTTGACTTGAAATTATGCATTTCTTTTTCCAGATAAAATTTTCCTTTCGTATCCTTAACCCAAAATGTTAACAATAATCCTAGGATACTTTTACACTCCTTTATATCACTTTCCTTAAATACCTTTCAAAAAAAAAGGATTCTAATAAAGATAAATCGTAAAAAAATTGCCATTAGGTTGACTCAAAATTATACATTTCATTTTTCAGATCAAATTTTTCCTATTCTTCCCTTCAGCTAATATTAAAAATCATAGGGGTAATTTCTACTCCTTTATACCACAAACTCTCCTTAAATTCCTTTCCAAAAAAAGGTGATTTTTAATAAAGATAAATCGTATAACAAAAAAAATTTGACAACCAGTTTTAAGCTTGACTTATAAGTTATAATTACAAATACATTTTTTCAGAAAATTATAAATCATTTAATGAAGTAATTTTCTCGAAAATTTTCATTTCAATTCTATTGAAATTAGTTTCAATTAAAAAATTTTAACCCAATTATTTGAAAAAATCCAATTATCTTAATAAATAACAAAATTCTTCGCACGAAATTTAATTATTATTTAAAAATTTTTTAAAAGTTCTCGTCAACATTTCAATTATCTTTATAAATAGCAAAATTCTTCGCCAAATTTCAATTATTTTCAGTAATTTTAATAAATTGCAAAATTCAATTATTTTCATAAATAACAATATTATTCACAAAAATTTTCAATTATTTTCAAAATTAATAAAATTCTTTGTAGAAATTCAATTATTTTCCAGAAATCTAAAAAATTGTAGTAAACATTTCAATTATCTTTATAAATAGCAAAATTCTTCGCCGAAATTCAATTATATTCAGGAATTTTAATAAAATTATTTGCAAAATTCAATTAAATTTATAAATAACAATAATCTTCACAAGAATTCAATTATTATTTTCAAAATTAATAAAATTCTTTGTAGAAATTCAATTATTTTCAAAAAATCAAAAAAACATTTTACTCAAGATTTCAATTATCTTTATAAATAGCAAAGTTCTACGCCGAAATTCAATTATATTCAGGAATTTTAATAAAATTCATTGCGAATTTCAATTATTTTCATAAATAACAATATTATTCACAAAAGTTTTCAATTATTTTCAAAATTAATAAAATTCTTTGTAGAAATTCAATTATTTTCAAAAAATCAAAAAAACATTTTACTCAAGATTTTAATTATCTTTATAAATAGCAAAGTTCTACGCCGAAATTCAATTATATTCAGGAATTTTAATAAAATTCATTGCGAATTTCAATTATTTTCATAAATAACAATATTATTCACAAAAGTTTTCAATTATTTTCAAAATTAATAAAATTCTTTGTAGAAATTCAATTATTTTCAAAAAATCAAAAAAACATTTTACTCAAGATTTTAATTATCTTTATAAATAGCAAAGTTCTACGCCGAAATTCAATTGTATTCAGGAATTTTAATAAAATTCATTACAAAATTCAATTATTTTTATTAATAACAATATTATTCACAAGAACTTAATTATTTTCAAGATTAATAAAATTCTTTGTAGAAATTCAATTTTTTTCAAAAAATTTAAAAAAGCATTGTAGTCAACACTTCAATTATCTTTATAAATAGCAAAATTCTTCGCCGAAATTCAATTTTATTTAGGAATTTTAATAAAATTCACTGCGAATTTCAATTATTTTCATAAATAACAATATTATTCTTCACAAGAATTCAATTAGTTTCAAAATTAATTAAATTCTTTGTAGAAATTCAATTATTTTTAAAAAATGTAAAAAAAATTGTAGTCAACATTTCAATTATCTTTATAAATAGCAAAATTCTTCGCCGAAATTCAATTACATTCAGGAATTTTAATAAAATTCATGGCAAAGTTTCACTTTTTTTAACAAATATTTCTTTATTCAATGATTTTCAATATTCTACAGAATATTTTAATAAAATTTCCCAAAATAATTCAATTATTAAACAAAAATTTTGATAAAATTCAACACGAATATTTTAATTATATTTTTCAAAAATATAAAAATTCCACAGGAATTCAATTATTAAAAATAAAATTTGCATAAATTTTTTCAAAAAAAAATCAATTGTTTCAAACTTTTTTTAAAAAATTCTTCGCAAAAATTCAATTATTTTCATAAACAATAAAACTTATTGCAGAATTTCAACTTTTTTTAAAATACAATTTTAAGAAACAATTAACTATTCAATAAATTATCCATGTTTTTTATTTAAATAATTGAATTCTCGTATAGAATGTTCTAATAAAAATTCGTTTAAAAATTAATTTCAGTTAAAGTTTTAGATAATAATTGAATTTTTAGAGAATTTACTAATAATAATTGCAATTTTTAGAAATAATTAAATTTTGTAAAGGTTTTGAAATTAAAATCAAAAGTGTGTTAATAAAATTTTTAATGGACTTTTATGAAACTTGCTGTTTTAAGGTTTCCGGGATCGCTCATTACGAATTTGACATCAGCTTTTCGAAATTCAAAATGTCGGATCCAATATGGAGGAAATTTTTTCAAAATCTGTCAAATTCGATTGAAAATAGCTGTTACTTTGGGGTTTTCAGGGTCACTGATTACGAATCTGACATTAGTTTTTCAAAATAGCTGATCCAATATGGCGCCATATTGGATCAGCCATTTTGAATTTTCAAAAACTGATTTCAGATTTGTAATGAGCGACCCTGAAAACCCCCGAGTATTCAGTTTCAAGCCATTGTAATCAATTTTTTATTTTGTCGTCCGACATATTGGATCCGCCATTTTGAATTTTGGGAAACTAATGTCAGATTCGTAAATCACAGAGTAATCAGTTTCAGGAATATTTAAGAACTTTCTAATCACTAATCTAATAACAATAGTCTTATAATATAAAATAATGATTTTATCACTCAGTAATCTTTAATTATGATAAAACATGAAGAAATGGAGTGCTCGATTTCATCATAATATTTTTATTATTTCTTCAATAATATTTTTATCAATTATTGAATTTTTAAAAGGTTTGAATTTGAATGTTTTGAAGAATTTCAATTTCTATGGAAGGATAATAAGGATTAAAGATTTATTTAAAATTAAAGTCAGGGAAAAGTCAGGGAAAAACAAAATTAAATTTTTGTGTCAACCCTGATTATTATACATTTCTTTTTCAGATCAAATGTTTCCTCTTTCCTTTCACCCAATATTCACAATCCTAGGGGAATTTTCAACTCCTTTAGGTACCACAAACTCTCATTAAATATCTTTCCAAACATAAGGATTGTAATAAAGATAAATCGTAAAAAAAACATTGCCAACAATTTGATTGACTGAAAATGATACATTTTCAACAAAATACAGTAGGGGTACTTATTAGTTGGTTTAAAAAAATTGATAGTAATTTTATAATAAAAGTAGATCTCTCACCTTTATATGTGTCATGCGATGGTAGTAAAGATTTGAGGATGCCGTGAACTTTTTACCGCAGACCAAACACTGATGGGGTTTTTCTCCGCTATGTATACGCTTATGCGTATTTAACGAGCTCGAGGTTGAGAAACCCTTGTTGCAGACCATACAGACATGTGGTTTCTCCCCTTCAATTTAATTCCACTTGAATTACTGTCAGTTCTCCATTTTGCGTAATTTGTGAACCGATTTATATGCGTGAGTAAGAAAGGCAAAAGATGCAACTCTCTGAGCTTGAAGCGTGCATATTTATCGCGCACGGACATTCTGATCCAAATTGTAATTTTCATACATGTTATAATATACCATTCGCACTGATATGATGGCAGTTTTACGTATTCGTTTGTAAATTTTCAAACACTGAATAATTTTTTGAAAAAGTTTTGCTAAATTTTAAAAAGGAAATAGTTTGCAAAAATTTTGAAGAAGAAAAAGTTTGCAAACAATTTGTTTTACAGAGAGAAACAAATCAGAGAGTTGCGTTTTTGATGAGGAAAGAAGGGAAATGTATTCACCTGTATGAGTCCTCATGTGTCTTTTTAGAAGCGACGGTCGATCGAAGGACTTTCCGCAGACCTCACACGGAAGGAGAACTCTCTCTCCTCTTTTAATGGTTGTCAGAATACTGCAGTCGAGATTATCGCCAACAAATGAGAGGGTTGATGATGACGATTCCTCTGACGTTGACTCGTACTCGTCGACCTCGTAAAACGAATTCCGGCTCGACGATGAGGAATGCTGCGACAGCAATGCCATTGACAGATCCAAGGGCGACTCTTAACATATAAAATTCGTATTATCGATAAATAACAAAAATGTTTTTAAATTTTTTGCTAGATTGTGGATATAATTTTTTCACTTTATCAAAAAGGAAGGAGGTGTACACGCCTCTAAGAAACTTGTAGCTGCTTTTCTATATAACATAACATTGAGAGCAAAGTAATCGCGTGCGATCGGAAAGAAAATAATAAGACCGCCTTGAACAAATCTGAAATGCAAATACGAGGCGGAATTTTTGTCGGTCTGCTATAAAGGTGGCCGCATGTGATTCAAATGTGCAGCCCTCTCACAAGGAATAAAAGACAGTACAATGGGCGGTGGCAGCTAGACGGGTCCTTAAGCTCCTCTCTCATGGCATTTCTTATGAACTTTCAGTTCACATATAAGAAGAGAGGAGCACAAGAAATAAGGTGAAGATAAAGTGGGGTAAGAAGTTGGAAAAGAAATGAAAAGACGGAAAGGCCGCCAAATGGAAATGGAAAGAAGAGAGAAATGTCCCTTTTTGCCTTGAGAATCATCAAACAGGTAACCCAACATTTTGCGGAAGGGGATCACAGCTGTCCTTTATTTTCCGAAAAAAATCAACAAGCTACACGAATACGTTATTATCAGATTCTCCACTCGCCTCTCTTGTCCTCGCCAAATCTGGATCGATCGAAATCTACCCGAATAAAACTTGATTTTTATACTTAACCGCAAGTTCCTTATAGTCCACAATTCCATTTCCTTATTGTCCACAATGATTCGAAACTCTTCTGATTGTCAACTCTTCTGATTCTGATAAGAAGAGTTTCGACTCTGTTAATTGTGGATTATAAGGAAATCGAATTGTGGACTATTATGAAAGTAATATGTTTGTATTAAGATAGCCAATAAGGACCCCGAACAGACAATCGTCAGCAGCTTCTGATTATCGGTATCATAATTAGATGGTAATTGTTAGGCGTCAATATATTTGTGACAGTCAAATATCAACAGAAGTTTTATTAGACTCCAGAATAGAACACTCAGGGTAAGTAATTAAATAATCAAGATTCGCGGTAGAGAATCGCCGCCAAGTTAACGCTTTAATTTGTAAAACAAGTTAAACTAATCTGGTGGTAAACAATACGTTCTATTCGTTGACTTTAAGAGTGCCTTCCCCTCCTTAAATAACAATGACTTAGTAAAACCTTGATTTTGGTAACATTTTTTGCAAATAATGATGTGAACCCAAACTTTTGACCGGTAGTGTATACAGAATGGGATGCGATTCTAAGTTTATTAACATCCTAAAAGTCTTTTATAGTAAAGCAAACTTTTCTGTTAAATGTGAGAAACGCTTCACTAAACCAATTAAGATTATTCAAGGGGTTATGCAAGGAGATTCACTTACAGCTTTGCAAAAAATACTCAAATATCTCCATGAATATTGTTAAACAAATGATCCAATGCTAGCGAAATGAAAATATAACTTACCATCCAAAATTGAGTCAATCGTGCATCTGTATATTGCACTTCTCGAACAGACATTGTGGGAGATGAAGAGGAAATCTTGTTCACTAGCTGGTAGAAACCAAGCGACTAATTCAGCATCTGGTTGTACGTCCTTTATCACTTCGAATATCGGTTCACCTAGAAGCAAATTAGAATTCTTAGTTCTCGCACATCATCAAAAGTAAGAACTAAAGAATTAGTTCTTTAGAAGAATTAGAATAGCTTGATAGCTACTTTTTTTAGCTTCTTCGTATACTAAAGAATAAAAAAAAATAAGAAACCAATTCCAAATACCTTTGACTTTTGTACCAATGAGGTTCACTTGATCGCTGTAGTGCTGAACGATCCTTAAAAATCGTATCCAATTGCACTGTCGTTTATTAAGATTGTAATTGGAGAATGATACCTCATCATAACATCCATACTCTCGCCTAATCTAAACAAAACAAACATGATTGTTAACAATGAAATATTTCTGAATTAATAAGAATTAAGATGGTACTAGTAAGGCATAGTAAAAGTTTCTTTCAAAAATCTCGACTAGTTTCGAACTTTATCGAAAGTTAAAGATAAGTAAAAACCCAAAAATTTAAGAGAAACATAGAATTCAGAAAGGGTTAAAAGTACACATTTCCCTTCGGAATTAATTTTTAAGACTAAAACTTCGGTAATAGTATTAAGAAACAGAAAAATATCGAGTTATTTATTAAACTACTTTTAAGTACTTCCGAAGAAATAAAAAAACAGTTTGAAAAATTAATTGATTACTAGATTGAAATTATCGAATAGACAATTATAGACGAGTCTTAATTAAAAACTTATAAAAATGATTCGGAGAATTATACTTACATCATTGTCGTCGAGAAGGGAATACAAGTCAATCTTGTCGAACCTGATTGAGCCTTGAAATGGATAAATAAGAGTTCCCGCTGGAATGAAGACGTTAGACCAAACTGATATTCTCACATCGGTCACTATCGTATTGGATTCATTTTTAATGTGATTCTTACAGGACTTTTGATCGTTGGCAAGAACAAGGGAAAATTCTCTAGGAATCAAAACGCAAGTTTCCATAACAAAAAAACTTTAACCCCAAAAATTCTTTCTACTTCTATATATCACCGAATTATTGGTATTGAAAGTAACTTCTTCCGAAAGAATCAAATTATTGCAGACAATCGATGATGATGATGATCTTTTCTAAAGTTATCATCAAGGTCTCCCATTAGGAGTTCACCGTGCCGAAACTTTATTAAACTGTTCCTTTTCGTAAAAGATAATTATTTCCCTAACGTGTCATGAATTTTAGTAATTTAGTAATTTAGCAATTTAGATTTTTTACCGATTTCGGTGTTCTGTAAATTTTCAAAAAATTCGCGAACTTGTCATACGTCGTGGAAGGTGCAAGGCCCTCGGCTGACTGGATGGGATTAACCGACTGATCTTGACCTTGCGACGGGTTACCAGCATTTGCTACCGAATGGGTAGCCGGGACCCCACCTTTCTCTCTTGGCCACTCATCCTCCGGACCATTCTACCGCCCCACTATATTTACTTCCAACGAGAAGTTGATATTCGCGAGGTATATCTATAGATAGAATTATATATAGGAGAGGCAAGTCAGCCGCCACATCTCGCAAGGAAGTCGGCGCTCCTCGTCCTCTCCTTTCGTCCTTCTTGTCCTTCTCTTGGATCTGGTCTGCCGCCGTGAAGAACCCACGTGGGCGACTCGGCACCTGTCGTTCTCCACCCGATTCCAGCTCCTCATCCCTCTTTTCGATGCCCGCATCACGTTGGACACGAATTTCTATCTTCCTCTCTTTCCACTTCTTTATTTTTCTTCTTCATCCTCTCCTCGCTCTTTATGTACATATTCGACTTCTCCCCGTGTGTCACTTGACATTTTTTAACGACCTAATAAAAAAAAAATTGTAAATAAAGATCAGGGTAAAGGATTAAAATCTCTATTTTTAATTCAGGAGATATAAAAATGTTTAGTCTACCTTAACTATTCTGTTTTTAAAAATACCTATGGTATAGTTTCAATGGATTTTTCAGGACATCTTATGGACTTACGTCCATAAGATGTCCTGAAAAATCCATTGCTATTAGGAAAAGTATTTATAACAGAACACTTTAGTTTCTTTTAGAATTAGCAATTGTTAACACTACATGCTCAGTGTTTCAATTCGTTTAGCAAAGGGGTGATAAAGCAGACTCATTAAATGTCGTAAAAAAAGCAGGAATACGAATAACTATGTAGTGGATTTTTCCATTCATATTTTATTGCATCCGCTGTTATACTAGCAGCATATATAACCATCATATAAATACACTAACATCGGATCATAATGCCACCATTTCGACCCTACATATCTTTCGCCAACTTGTTTCTGGAATGGGATTTGCATCTATCGAATGAATATACTCGATCCACTCCCCTATGTCTTTCGGAGCAATTTCATTCGCATTTGCTCCTCTTCATGTGAGAACACACATATGGAAGTTTGTATGTGTCCTTGATTTGTGTATTCCATCTCATGCATAAACAACTATATAAATGATGCATGCGGTTTTGTTGATTACATATTCAAAAAGTACTGTAGAAATTTTTCTTTTTAGTGTTAGCATTCACCGTTTATTGACTTCCTTCTCTCGTATACAAACAAACTAATCTTTCACATTGTACAAAAGTTTCTAAATCATTTCAAAGATGAGCATTAAAGTTAGGTTTAAGAGATTTGCGGAATCTTTAAGATCGCTCACGGAAGGTAAAGTTAATGCTACCAGTTCGTTAATTAAACGAAACAGTTATCAATATCAGTTTTAAAGTAACATAAACTTATTTAGTAACTAGAATATTTTTTTTAGAACTTTAGAAATATGAACGCTCTTTCAAATATTAATATATTATTGAAGAAGGCGACGATTTTCATCATCGGAAATTCCACTTTCGTCTGTTATTTTATCGGAAGTCTCCTCCGTTAGTTCTGAGTTTTCGGACACACCTTCTTCTTTAACTTTTCTAACTGCTTTTATTCTTAAACTTGCTCGAAATCTGTAAGTGTAATAATAAAGTTAAAAAAAAATTTAACATTATTTTTAGGAATGCACTAGTTTCCTTAGTTCAAAGCCCAACGCTTTGTAAATAAATCAGGCAAATAATTAAAATACCAGTACTGGTCTCCTTCTGCCGTAACACTATTAAGGAAGTCATTTGCAGATTACATGTCTATAGATGCATCGACTCAGAAAGTTTTATAAAGCCCGTAGAACTCAACATAGTTCTTATAATTAACATTTGCAATAATTTTCTTTAAAAAATACTTGTTATCAAAATTTTAATTACGGGAAATAGGTCAGAATTTCTTTATCAAAATAGAAGCTAATTCATATATTTTTACCAAAAGCTACTAAGAATATTTCTGTTCCCACGCAAAATTAGTGAAATTCGTCGTAACAATAAAACCCGGAATTTCTATTTCTATTCCACCTCTCTTAGTTTTAGCAAAAATTTCCCACCTTATTATCTAATAATCCTTCGAAAAAGAAATCGCATCGCGTGTATTTGAAATTCGTGCAGTAGACGTAAAATCGTTTAGAAAATGTTAAGACTTTTGTTTGCGGGTCGAAAACCAATTTCGATCTCCATAAACTGGGTTGTTAGTAAAATTGAGCCGACGCGAATATATTTACATTCTTTCATTCGGCAAAGTCCTAACAAGATGCAATTGTATCCTCAAGTTTAAAAAAAAAGTTTTATTTTTTTCAGATAATAAATAAAAATACAATTTTTCGGTATTATAATTTCATGAAAAATAGTTTTGTTTTATAATAGAAAAACTTCGTAAAAGCCGACTAGACTAGAAAAAAAAGACTATTGGTAATAACAATGAAGCATAAATTTATCATTATACCTTATGAACCAAGCAGTTCCTGCTATTATACATGTTGTAAATCCTAAAAATAAAAATATTGCCGATGCAGCAACAAAAGTTTCATTTGGCATCCATCCAAAAATAGGTTTCGTCAATTTATCCTCCATTAAATGTGTTCGCCAATTAGGTGCTCCTAAAACTGAGGTGGTGTTTATTTTAGAAATTTTTATTTTCTCTTCCTTTTTGGAATATAAATACCTTTAACAACGAGCATATTAGTTGTCCATTGAAAATTTAAATCTTCCTGTTTTACTATACACTGCCAGAGGCCATTATGAGATTTATTTACTGCTTTGACAAAATCGACATTTATCTATTCATTATAATTAACATTAATTTGAAGAAAATTTAATTATACAGGTAAAAAAATCATTGTTTGAAATATACTCTTTTACCGTCAGGGGAAGAGTTGTACCATAATTTTTCCAAACGGTTTTTCCAATCATCCAAATTACTTTCAAATCTGAATAAAAATAACCCAAAGTGGCGCAATTGCAAATTAGTGACATTGGAAGTGTTTCGCGAATTGATAGAATAGTTCTAACAGGACGGACAGCCAAACTGATCATTTTTATAATTAGATAGGATTCATCTACTCGTCGTAATGTTAGGGTGTATATTCCAGAATCGTCAGGTATTGCTTGCCTAATTACTATAGAGACACCATTTCAGAATTAAGTATACTAAAAATATGTCGCTTTTCAACTGATTCCTAATTTACCGATTTGATTATTTTCTATAGTAATTCGGCTTTTGTCGATCTTTAGATGCATTCCATTTAGAGACCATCTCATGACGGATTTTGGGGATTCAGAAACAATACGATCGATGATGTCTTTATCCGTTGATATCCTCACAGGCAGACCTTCCTTTGAAATTAGAGATGTTTGATTCATTTTGCTTCGTCGTTTTATTAATTTCTCGGTACCTATATTTAGAAATGTTGGAATGAGTGAACTTTTTGGAAATAAAACACGCGATTAATTAATTTCGATAGATGATTCTAGCAACTAATGAAGTCTCGCGGTCATAACTTATAACAGGTATGCATGAGAGGTTTTTAAGATGGACTATGGTTATTGATTGGAATTGTCCGGGGAATATGTTGAGAGAAGAATTAGAAAGGATAGATGATGTTGAGGCAGAAAGAGAAAAACTGTACCCTGTGTTTGAAGAGACAGTAATACACTACCTTCTAGCAGATCTCCACAAATAATTGTATTACAACGTCCAGTCATTGTACTAGGACCCAAACATGGTTCACCTTTCACATTTGGTTCCGGATTGTTACAATAACGTCTTCGAGTTCCAATTCCACCGTTACAACTGACACTACATGTCCAATCACCCCAATCTGACCATCCTCCATCCCGTGGATCTCCGTCAACATCTGCCAAAGTGATTTTCGGTACATTAACGATAAGGAAAAAATAGAAAAAGAATTACTATTTCTTGGATCTCCGACAACATCAGCCAAAGTGATTTTCGGTCATCAGTAATAAGGAAAACAGAGAAAGAATTAATATTTCCACCTGATGGTAAACAATTAGCCGTCCAGGTAGCCCAACTTCCTGCATCAACTACCACGGTAAAGAAGTAGAAAATCAGAGTATTTGTGTGCTCGTAATGGAAGACTTGTGTCTCGTTACAGAAGACTGATATCGTTCTATTGACCCACCTGTAAAAATAGTTGGTTGCTCAAAAAGTTTTTGGTGCTGGAAGTTGCTTGAAAGAAGTTCAGATAAATTTCAATATCTTTAAAACTGATAGAGAGAAATTTTTTTACTTGATTGTAACATTTGTCCAGGAATCATTTGTGAATATTAAACCGGGAGCTTTTTGTTTGTGATAAATTCTTACGTTTGGATATTCATTCTTTGAGAAATGTATCCATTGACCTTCTTTGCCCAAGGTAATGGCGTAATATCTAGAAACAATTTTATACTTTAACGTAAAAATCAGTGAGACTATTAACGTCGAAATTGTAGTTCTGTTAAGTTAAGGTCAACCAAAAAAATAAGACCTTAAATAAGTGCAGTCCCAGCATAATTAGTAAAACTTTGCATCTAGGATTACAGACCTTGTTTAACTTTCATCAGATCGTAGAATAGGCTAGATTATTAAAATAAAGTAAGTAAAATGTTGAGTACCCGGGTGTAGCAGGCATTAACAAAAGTGGAACCAATACGACGCCTGTACCGCGTATCATCAGTTGCACTCTTTCAGGTTTTGGTATTGCATGAAGACTCCAAGTAGAAAGAGGAATTATTCTCGACAGTCGATCGGTCTTTGTGTTCTCAATATGACATTCTGGTAAAGTCGTTAAAATGATATCGAAGGGATTGATCTTAACTATTTTTAAGATTATTTTTAAACCCTAGAAAATACATACTTGAGTTACAATCGAATGCAACACCAATAGCATTTCCATATTCGCTTTTGTAATAATAATAAACAGGAGAGAAGGAACTGGCTAAATCTGGATGCTCCCATTCGAATAGAGGATTTACTCCTCCTTCGTAATACAATTGTACTTTTCCTCTTGGAATTCGGATTGTAAATTCGCTCCATTTTCCAAAATGTAATAAATGATACAGAGTCTTCTGTTTTACTAATTTCAAGTCTGGTATAAACATTTCAATTATTTAGAGAATAAATTTATTTTAATAATCCAGATAATAGTGAGGGCATGTGTCTGCAAAATATATGACTCATGGCATGCTACTAAATTTCAATTGGTGTAGGCAAAGAACAGTCAAAATTGTCATCCATGTGAGCGCATATTTTTTGGTATAATGTTTCATCTAATAGACATAGTCCTAAGGATTTACTTTTTCATATTTGGCTAATACCTTACCTTCCTCTTCAGACTGATAATAGAGAATTACTTCTTCATTTAAATTAGCCCCAATTTGAAGCACATATTGTGATTTTAAACCATCATCTGCCGTGAATACAAATGATATCGAATCAGGTTTGTCCGGTTCCCAGATTTTTACCGAAAAATGCAAACCCTCCGATCGATATTCTGGTAAAACGTAAAATCGTCTATCTATCACGTGACCTTGTATTAGAAAAGTACATTCCTCTGCAAGAGATTATCATCCGAAATCATAATTATCGATTATAGACTTTCAAGCAAAATAAATCCTCACCTGGTTTATCACAATCTTGTATGTCGCATAAATCTTGAGGTACTTCAGGGTCTGTGGTATAACACCATGCTCCTGCAATATTTCTCGAAGGATCTCTGCAATAATTACTGGCATTATAAGCACTGTGTTCGGGATAGAGACTGTCATTAAGATAAGCTGGATTAATTTTAGGAGTATAAGACTTTTCTGAAACAATTTCAGTGGTACTGGAAGGAATCGTTTCTGTTGTCGTAATGTCAAAAAAAGTTGTTGGATTTAAAGTGGTAGTAACAGTAGAAACAGTAGTGAAAGTAGTGCCAGTACTAGTAAAGACAGTACTAGTATTTGATACATCTTTTATTGATCCATTCTTTGATTTTTTAATTTTCTTCTTTTTCTTAATCTTCCACTTAGCACAAGTTCTGCCAGATCGTGTTGTTGATAAGGTACCCACATAATCATTAGCAGTGCCTGCGTTTCGACATTCTATGCGGAAGAAATAATCGAAACTTAAATAAAAGATTCGGAAGAGTATAAAAATTCCCAAATAGAAACAAATACCGAAAGATCTGCAGGTGCGAATGTGGCAATAACTCTTGGAGGCGAAGAAAGTTAATTCCTGGGAGAGAGTATAACAGTAAGGACCTAGAGGATCCTTCAAGGGATTTCGACACTTATTTAATGCCTTTATGATGGATCCATCAATAAACAGATCCTCTTTCCTTTCTTCGGTTGGTATCTACAAATTATTCGAAACATTAAAGTTCGAAAGAGTTATAAGTCCACACGGTTTTTGGTTGTGAAAAAATAATTCCAATCATTTATTTTTCATAGGCGTACTTCATTGGATGTCCAGGGAATACAGGGTAATTCACTTCCTCCAGTCCATTGAGAGCCACGATATTGGTAATCCGTTAAAGACGATATACAATTAGGAGACGATGGTGCTTCAACAGCGTCTAATTCTTATTCAGTAGGGGGTAATAAAATTATTCCTAAAACTGTTGATCTAAACAACAGTTTATACAATTTTAACAGTAAAAAATGTTTAACAGATTTTAACTGAAAATACCATCAGGAGTGCAAAATATTGTCCAATGTGCAATTGTCCGATGACTACCAATACTAAACCATCTTAAGGAACTAAAAAAATTGTTATGATAATAGAAAACTTCTTCATTTCCGTATTTCTTCTTTGCAAATAATCTCATATGTGGTCCAAAGACACTAGAAATAGCAAAACAAAAATTGTCTCCCAAATTTCTGCTCTTAAAGACTTAGAAAAATCAAAACACCTTATTGTAAATTCATTCCAGGTCCAAAAGTTTATTAACCCATGACTAGGAGAAGCTTTTAGATAACGTTTCGTGGAATTTTCCGATTCTTGATAAATTATTGATAGCGTATCATCACTCTCTCCTATTGTCAACTACAGAAAAAATTCACAGTCTCATAAAAAGATGGAATACTTAACCTTTAGGAAAAAAAAGATGAACCTACTATGATACAAGGGAACCGAACAGCAGGTGTTTCATAAAGTTTTATAGAAATATGATGACTCGATCGTACATTAAAAACAATATCATTCGTTCCATTAGTTTGTCGCAAAGGCCAGACTTTAATAAAATCACTACCATACGTTGTATGAACTTCACAATCTAAAATAATTGATAGATATTACATCAAATTCTGCAAAAATTTCTCATCGTTCTTTTTAATTACCGTTTAGACAGAAGTCAGAACTCCAAAGAACATCAGTACCAATTACACCGTAATAGAGAAAGTTTTCTGGATATAAACTCAAAATGGTATTCTTTTGTCTATAGTTCTCCAAAAATAGAGCTTTTGTTGAACCAACGAGACCAGCTGATATAAAACCACCTCCCCAAGTGATCCATAAACCAGTCCATTTAGAACCTTGCAGAACATTTGGAGAGTCTTCAAAATCATGATCTTCGAGTTTTGGAAATGTTTGTCCACTCTTTGAATTTGATATTTTTAATTCAACTCCTGCTTTCCATTCTTCAGCAATAATTTTCGCAGATGTGGGAATAGGAAGTACTGTTAATAAAATTTTTACTTCTGCCTGAAAAGGAGTTTTTTTGTAATTGATTTTTGGATCATCAAAAGTAGTAAGACATAATAGTTAGTTAGTGACCTTCCTCACGTTCGATGGATTCCACAATTTCATCCAAAAAGTTACATTACCAGTAGCATTTAATTTTGTTAACGTGGAATAAATTGACGCATTTCTTACAAAAACTAAACAATCTATAAAATAGTAAAAGCTTTATAAAGGGTCTTTTCTCTATTCTTAAATTTTTTCGTATAACAAAAATAACCAAAAGTTTAAGGGTCTTTTTATTAAGACCTTCGACTTTTTCGTATAACAAAAATATGTTTACCTCTGTCGTCACAAAATGGAACATCACAGAATTCCTTTTTAACATACTCAAAATTATCTTCTTCAACATAACACCATGGACCTCCAAGACTATTGTCCGGATTTCGGCAGTATTTTTTTGCTTTATTACGCGAATTGTCGGCAAATTGTTTGGATACGAATTTTTGGGTCTAGAAAGAAGAATATTTTTTTTCTTACTTCCAGTGTCTTACTGCCAGTGTTGTTTTGTACCTTTTTTATTGAATTAAGTTTGTACTGTCGTGTCCAGGACTGGCATTTTCTTCCTGAAGAACTAACGGATTTACTGCCTCCATATTCTGCGCCTATGCCTGATATTCGACATTCTACAAAAGAAATTAATTCACTCAAACTAGATGAATCTGTAACTGGTATCAGATTTTAAAAATTCAAAATGGCGGATCCAATATGGCGGTCGAAAATTTCAGAAGTTGTGTTAAGCCTCTGGAAACATATTGGATCCGCAATTTTGAAAATCTGATGCCAGATTCGTAATCAGCGACCCCGAAAACCCCCGATTTTCAAATCTTATATTGGTTAAAACCAATATAAGATTTTAAAAAATTAACTTGGTGCCAGTTTTAGCATCATAAAAGCTAGTAGAAATTTTTTTAACCTCCATAATTGCAAAGTGGTACACCACAATCATCAGATATAAGTGACGGATCCATTGTATAACACCAAGGACCCCTAAGATCTTTAGTTGGATTCCTACAATAATTTTTAGCTCTTCTCATAGACATTTCAGGAAAATCTTTATCTTTTATTGAAGTATCAACCTATTAATTAAATTTTCATAATTTACGTTTCTTCAAATGTTCAACAAAATTAAATTTAATTAGAAAATCAAAAATACTTCGTCGGTTTTATTTAATCAAAACTAAATTAGTTGCCGCTAGATCTAGATGAATTATCTCAACTCTGACTAATTTTATCTAAAATTTTTACCTCATGTAACGGATATTTTGAAATCCATGCTTGGCATCTGACACCTCCCGATGTCGTACTCTTAAATCCTGTATATTCAGTACCCAAATGTGTAAGTTTACAAGTCAAACTATCAAATACGGTTGAGTTCTCAGCTAAAATTTTTAATTAATAATTATAATTTTTATAACCTGTTTTTGAAATAAAATTTTTTTCTAGATTTCTAGAATTTCTAGATTGTGTTAGAAAAATACTCAATGAGGTTATAATTTTCAAACTCTTACTTCTACATTTTATGATATTCGGAGCGAATACAATTAGAATAAAATACAAACGTAACATTTTTCAGAATTATCAGACAAGGTAAATAATCCTCTATTTACATAAAACATTAAATATCACTTCCATTTTTATTTAGAGTAAAAAATAGCCTCTGATAGTTACTTCACACGCTAAATGCTCTGAAGGTTCATTCAGTTGACATTCAGAAACATTCGCATTTATATTCGTTAATAAAAATGTTAATAATGAATAAAAAGTCAAATAAAAAAATTTTAAAGCATTTACTTTAACGGGTAATAATTGTCTGAAGTCGCCATCTAGCAATATAAACATTCCTCCAAAGGAAAGTAAATAAAAAAAATAAATCAATATTCATATCACGCAACGTTCGGTCGGGGAAAAATGCACTAATTTAAAGACATTTTCAATACATATTGTCATTTTTATTATATACTTATTTTTACTTTTTACAAGTTAAAATTAACATTACCTCAATAAAGTAAACTGAATTATAATTTACATTACTATACAAAAGTATTGACCTTAAGCAAAATTCTTTTCTTGCCTTATTGTTTTTAAAATAATTTTTCTTATCGTAAATACTTTTGAGAGTAATTAACATGTAATTTTAATGAATGGAGGTAACAATTAATTATCACTTAACAATTTTTTATGAAACATTCTAAACTAAATTCACATCTCACAATGTCCTTTTTGCATAAGAGCTAACAATCTTCACAGTAAAAAAATACGATACAATAAAAAAATATCTCGCCGCTAAATGTAATTTCAAAATTGTTAATTGCTTTTGATTTCTTAGAGAAAATTGAACGTATTTAATTTTTTATAAAAGTAGTAAAGAACAAAAAATTGCGATATTCGAAGAACGTAAAGTACTATTTTTGAATTTTAGTCGGTGATTTTATGATGTTGTTCTTGGCTTCATTTCGTCGTATGAAGACCTCAAGAAAATGTGATTTTTCTTTGCTGGATTGTAGAATTCGTGTCCCTAAAAGAAAAGTAAATTTTATAAATTTTGTAAATGAAATAAAAACTGTAAATATCTAAAAAAAAAGGTCTTAAATTATTTAAACTATATGTTTTAAAAATTTAACAAATTTTAAAGGTACCTTAGACCAATCGTAGGATACTGCGTAAGCGAAAATTTGACCATTGTGATTGAAGCAACAACGAGTAATGGGCTGCTCCATAGGCTCTGATGGTTTCAATTTTGTACGGGCGTCCTTGTCCCAAAAACTAAATGTACCATCACTGCCAACTGTTGCCAAAGTTCCATGAACTGGATGAAACGCTATGTCATTGACCTTTCAAAAAAAAATAATTACCAATTTTAACAAATTCTGATTTTTGGTATAAAATTCAAAAAATTAATTTCCGATAATTGGAAAAATTAAATATATTTTAGACAGAAAATTTTAAATGCATACCGCATAAATGTCTTGGTAACCATTTGGTGTTCCGTTAGATCGATGACACTTGAATGTAAAGTTTTCTTTTGGATTTGTAGGATTGACGTACTGAATTGCTACTCTTCCTTCAACGCTACCTAAAGCAAAACCAGTCGGTTCCTTTTTCTTGTCACGAAAAATAGCGAGACAACGATGCTGATATTTCAAGGGCGAATCGACCCTCTTATATTCGTGTGGTGTGCCTTCCAATTGATAAATAATTAAACCCCTATTTGCTGTTCCCACAACTGCCATCGGATAATCCTAAAAATTATTCTTTTATTTACTCTCCTCGATCTTCAGTTTAATTAATTTCTAATTTTCAAAAAGAATTTCGCTGAGATAACAGTTAGTTTTCTTTTTTACCTAATCCATTTTACTTCTCTTTTATCCCCTTTAAATTAATAAAATCTCCTAAAACACCCAAAATCATGTACCTATAATCTCTTTTTCCTAATTTTTAAAACAAATTTACAAATAACTTCTTTTTTAATCTAAATGCTCTTTTAACCCTCGGAGAACTTATCATTTATCAAAAAATACTATTTTAAAATTTCTCAAAAGAATTTGCTTATTTAAAAAAAATTTAATAAAATTCGTTGCTTGAATTCAATTATTTTCATAAATAATAAAATTCCTTACAGGATTTCAAATATTTAAAAGAAATTTAATAAAATTCGTTGCAAAAATTCAATTATTTAAAAAAAATGTAATAAAAATTCGTTACAAAACTTCAATTATTTTCCCCAAATAATAAAATTATTCACAGGATTTCAATTATTTTTAATACAATTTTAAGTAAATTCTTCGAAAAATGTAATTAATTTCAACAATTTTATTAAAATTCTTCGAAAGAAATAAATTATCAATTATTTTTAATATTTTTTTTCAAAGGTTTCTAGTGAATTTTCAAATCCATTTCTTTACAATTCAAATTTACGAAATTTTCATTATTCGGACATTTTTCAATTAAATATAATAAGAAAATAAAAACTTGAAATAATTTCATTAAAAAAATTCAATTAAACTTTTTCAAAATGCAATTATTTCTAAAAATTCACGCAATAATGCTTCTAATATTTCATTATTATCTAAAATTTTAACTGAAATTGATTTTTAAAACAATTTTTATTGGAAAATTCTACGAGAATTCAATTATAAATACATAAATAAAAAAATTATTGAACATAAGAATGTTTCTCAACATTGAATTTTCATAAAGAATTTTATCAACAAATTTCTTAAATAATCGAATTTTAATAAAATTTTTTAAGAATAATTACATTTTTCGAGGAATTCGGTTAAAATTGTATTAAAAATAATTAAAATTCTATTATGGGTTTTATTATTCATAAAAATAATTGAATCACTGTAAAAATTTTAATATTTATAAAAATAATTGAATTATTGCGAAAAAATTTGTAAATAAGTAGTTGAATTCCTGTGAAATTTTTACTATTTATGAAAATAATTGGATTTTTGAGAAGAATTTTATTATTTTTAAAGATAATTGAAATTTTGACAAGAATTTTTTAAAATTTCCTTTTCTTAGTATTTTTATGGAAAAAAAACTGTGACCCACGCAAATGTGACATTAACTCGTTACTTTTTTTATACTCGATTTTCTTAGGAAAATCTTTGTCAGACATTAATGTAATATCGTCTGCATATTTCATAACTCATCAGTGACCATACTAACACATCAAACAACCACAATCTCCTTCTCCAATCTCCATTAATTCGTACGTTACTTTTTGTATACTCGATTTTCTTAGGAAAATCTTTGTCAGACATTAATGTAATAAATATCGTCTGCAGATTTCATAACTCATCAGTGACCATACTAACACATCAAACAACCACAATCTCCTTCTCCAATCTCCATACTTACCTACTTGTACACAATTTTTTAATTTAAAATTACGTACCGCATCAGCACAATAACACCTTTCCGGTAAATTGATTGTCAGCATTGGATTGGGACTGCGAGTATCCCAAAACTATAAAATAGTAAAATATATCAATATGGAAAATCGAATAAAAATTAATAAAATATTTCTAAAAAATATTAAAAGAACCTTTAAAGTTTTATCCCATGAACCAGTCATTAAACAGGAGTAATTGGTCCCTTTGATCCAGTGACAAGTCATAACTGGTGCGTCGTGAGCAGCAACCTGAATACTTTGATTTGAACCTAAATCCCAGCATTTTACCATTTTATCACAAGCGGCCATGAATACCTTTGTTCCATCCTGAAAATTAATATTTGCATTAAATCCAATATTAGCTAATATTTTGTTTTTAAGCTATAAACATAAAAACATACATCACTCCAGCATACATCGAGAACTGGTCCTCCCATCGTTTGCATTGATTTTGGAATTGTTTTACCTGTTTGTTCGACCTCCCAACAACGAACATTATAGTCCCATGAACCAGCGACAAGAAAATTTTGCGGCAATGTCGCAGGACTGAAAGCTAAACTCGACACAGAATCATCCGGTGGGGAAACAACTTCGAAATCCTTCATTGGATTCGAAGACGACGTTGTCGTATTTCCTAATGCTGTACTTTGTGGAAACATTTTACCTAATTTATCTGTAAAAGAGAAAATAGAGTTAGACGTACATATAAAAATTCTAAAAAAAACTATTCAAATAGAATAAATTTGTATAAAGTAATTAAAAATGTTTTTACTTTAATAGTTATTTTATTAATTTAATAGTGGAGAGTTAAAAAATTAAATTAACAAAATTACAATAAATATATTTTTTGTAGAATTAAATTTTGTTTATAGAATTTTCTGATGTAGTTTCGGGTTAGAATTAAACAGGTTAAATTGATGTTACTATCTATAATTCTAATCTAGATTTTTTTATTTTCACATTGTTTTTATAGAATGAACACCTCTTGTTTAAATCTAATGTGTAGATTATTTATCACAGATTTCAATTGCGTAGAATCACTATCATTTTCTATTTAAAAAATATAAATTGTTGAAATTATAAATTTTGAGGTTATGTTTCCACTTTGTAATGTCTAGATTCAACGTTAATAGGAAATACAAATGTAAGTCAAAGAAGAAATTAAAATATTACTAGTAGAAATAATAGTGAACATAAAATTACTTACCTTAATTCAAGGTACTTTGACAGTTAACTTTATAATGTTTTTATCTACACAATTTTAAAAATATACACTTTCAATTACGAGGGAAATTATACCGACTACGGTTGGGAATGAAAAAACTCAAAAAACGTTGAATTATAATTCTAGGTAGAGAAGTTAATTCCCGGTAAAGTGCGCATCACGTACTAATATAGTGGGGGGGAGGAATATTTTGAAGTCAAGACTGTTTCTCTAATTCACTACCGCAGGGAAGCACTGCCAGCGCTATGAACGAAAGTGTGAAAATTGAGAGTCAATTTACTACTCAACCCTGGTTGACGGCAATTTGTTTCCTTCCAATCACTTCCTATATTGTTGATCACAACTGTGATAGGAGAAAAAAGTAGTGTATTTTAATAAGCCACAGTGTTCAATTAATTATTACGATTTACTTTTCTAAAACAGACACTTTATTTTGTTGATGATTTGAACAGCATCTAAAACGGGAAAAAAGAAATTTAGTCTCGTTTTTCTTATTTTACTGCAACTTGTTGCTATATACACAAAACACAAACGGCTGTTTCAAACTCTTAATCTGTATCAAGAAAATTTCTCACTTTTTGCCAATTTGTAATTAACTTCCAGTTTATCTGAATCGATGGAATTTAACTGATTTAAAGATTATCATTTGAAAATCAGTCAAATTTCACTGATTTAGGTCTAAACTAGATGTCGATTACTGATTGGAATAGTAAAAAATATTCACTGATTTTAATTAAGAACGGAAGGAAAAGCCAACACTTTTTGTCGCAGATAAGGGATTATATCAACAATGAAATGTTGATATCTTAGTTGTAAAACTTATTTTGGTAACAATATTTCAAATGAATTTTTTTCTCTTTCGAAACAATGTTTTGACAGTGTTACAGTAAAGAAAGAAAACGTTAAGAGTGATTATAATTTTTTCTTTCTTTCGTTAAAAATACTGTAGAAAAATCATCAACAAAAAAGATTTAGTTTAAAAGAACTAAAACAAATATTTTGTTCGATCTTCCCTTTAAACGTGATCTTCCAAAGTGGCCCAAGTGACAGTATTTTGGTAAAGTAAAATAAGAGGTTAACTAATTTTTTCTCTCCCTTTTTTGTTTCAGATGCTGCAGAAGAATTATCAACAAAAGTGGGGTTATTTCTTTAGAAAACTAAATCGTAATAATATTTCGACTGCATTTTCATTCCTTCGGGAAGTTTAATTCAAACTGTCGATAGTCGGTTGTTTGGTTATAGCTACTACGCCACACACGACAATTCTTAGAATTACAAGAATTTCCGACAGGAATCGACACGTTTTGTGCAGCAGACTACTTTAGTATAGTCTATTATACATTCCATTCCCCATGCAGTATACAGTCTGCAGTGACAACTGACAACTCTGAAAAATTCTTTAGTTGTAGTCAGTTGTAGTTGTGTGCAGAGAGATTGTCAATTAAAAGACTAACTCCACATATATTTAAAATAAGAAAAAGAATCCTTCTGTCTGATGCAATATTTTGAATTATGTGATTCTTCAGAATTTCCCCAAATTCCAGAAGTATACTCCGAATAGTGATTTAATAAATAATTTAACATTTTCATGAAAAAGTGATATTTATTAAAATTTCTCCGTTGTTTTTTTTTCTATTTTCGTACATTTAGTAATATTCACAATGACATGATTAAATAATGTGAAGTTAACGGTTTAAAGTAACAATGGTTTCAATAAATTGGAGGGAAATTTTTCCCGGAAAATGGAGTCTTATTATTTTTATATTATACATGAGTTTGTTTGTTAATCAAGGTAAATATTTTACATTTATTATAAACATGATAATTTTAATTACAATGCATTTGAAAAAAATTATTTGTCTTTTTTGTCTATCTAAGTAGTTTGAAATTTTATTTAAATTGTAAATTACTATTTATCATAATTGTGAATAAACTAATTTTTCTTTATTATCTGTGTAAAGTTAATTATCAACTTGAGTTCATTTGAATATATAATTACAAAATAATAAATATTCAATGTTATTGTAAATTTTTATTTTTTAAATTTAAATTCTTTTGAAGTAATAGTAAAAACTTTGAAATAATTTTACAGGGATTCTAGTCACTTGGTCACAACATGAGAAAGAATATGATTACAATACTGTATTAGTAGTATTAATGACTGAAGTATTAAAATTAATTATCTCAACGCTCTTATATTTAAAAGAGTAAGTCTCTAATTACTTTTTAAGTAATAACTAATTTATTTTATTGATTAATTTTTGAAATTGGTATACTTCCATGCTATTTTAAAAAGTATTTACAAATAATTATTTTCAATTTTTAGTAACCAGGTGTCTTCACTTTTAAAAGAAATAAGTAAACATCGAAAAGGTACGTACAGCAGTTTATTTAAAAAAGGAAAATTATATAATTTTCAGAGAAAAAAAAGAAATTGAGTAATTTTTTTTTCAGTTCTACTACTGTACATGGTGCCGTCTTCTTTGTACTGTTTATACAACAATTTAACTTTTCTAAATTTATCGAAATTCGATCCTACGACTTATTTTCTACTTCTGCAAATTCGTGTTGTTATAACTGGACTCATATTTCAGGTATTCACATTTATTTCTATTTTTTAGTTTTAAGAGAATTATTATTATAGTATTAGTATTATCGTTATCAGAAAGATAATGTATTTCCTGAGAATTTGTTACTTCCGGAATAAGAATTCAATTGGAGATTCATAACTTCTTTTTGGTTTTCTAAACTAAGTTACTATTAGTAACTTAGTCGTTTTTTTAAATATACTTAAAATGAAATATTTAAAAATTTTACAATTTTTTAAAATATTTATTAAAATAAAAAAATTGTAAGCCACTATCTTCTAAGGATCTAATTTTCAATGCTTTATTTTTCAGGTCGTTTTCAAGAAAAAATTATCCGTTAAACAATGGATTTCACTGATTATTTTAACTATCGGGTGCATGGTAAAGCACTTAAATTTGAGTTTTGATAATAGCATAGTAGACACAAGTTTCAAGTTTAACATTGATGTGATACTTATATTTGTTCAAGTAAGTGTTTCTTTCTTTTCAAATTTTATCTTTATTCTAATATCGTAAAACTTTTGCACCGTAAGAAATATTTTTAGAAACTTTCCAGAATCTCTATTTAGAATATGAAATTATTTTTATATAAACAATTTCTTTGAATGAAAATATTTATAAATATTTTTTTTATAAATTTTTTTTAAAATATTTTTTTTGTTTTATATGTACATTGTTGAAAATATGGTAGGTTTTTTTTATTAGGAAAAAAAAAGTTTTAGAAAAACTGTACCCCAACCGAAAATATGAATTTTTATAATTGAACCCCTTGATGCAAGAACCAGACATAGACCATTGAGATTCAATGGACTGCGATTGGTTCTTGTATCCAAGTGGTTACATTAATTGCCGATAGGTGAAAAAAATCAAACTTTATTAAGACATTAACTCAGTTATGAAATATGAGATATTAATCAATAAACTCATATTACGTTTCACGAGTTACAATTGCTGATAAAAATTATACAACGTATTTTAATGATTATCGAATGGAAAATTTATGGAAAAATCGAAAAACGAATTTAATATTTGAAAATCAACATAGTTAATTTTCGAAAAAAATGACTTTTTTCTTGTATTTTTTCACGTTGAAAAAAATGTTTCTTCATAAGTTCATACTTGTAGATTATTATGTTGTAGATTAGATTATTCAGCCACTGAGTTTAAAGAAGAAAATGATAAATATAAAATGAAAATGAAAATATTTTTTGTTCATTTTTACAAGGTGAATATTATCGTTAATTTTTCTCTTTTAGACAATCTGCTCGTGCTTAGCTGGAGTTTACAACGAATATCTTTTAAAAGGCGAAGGAGCAAATGTTGATATGTTCTTGCAAAATATGTTTATGTATTTCGATAGTATTCTCTGTAATGTGGCATTCCTCTTTTTAAAAGGTGATTTTGCGCACGTATTTGATAATGCCGTTAGCAGTATCTTTTTCGAGCCAAAGGTTATATTAGTTATGTTCAATAATGCGAGTATAGGTATAGTGACGAGTTTTTTCCTCAAGAATTTAAATTCAATTGTAAAAAGTTTTGCCAGTGCCTTAGAATTAGTTTTTACGGCAATTCTTTGTTGGTTACTTTTTAATATTCCAATTCACTTAAATACCATTCTTGCCATTGCCATTGTAAGCTACGCGATTATTTTATATTCACAGAATCCCATTCAAAATGGTAAAACCAGATTACATGAGGGATCGAGTGAGGAGAAATGTAATTTAAAAGATAATGTCGTGTAAAGGGGTAGTTTCTTTAATTGAAACATTTATATTTTCCAAAATCAAAATTTCAATTCCTAAATTTGTATTTAGATGAATTCCTAATATCTACAAGATTTTCGAGTAGTTTAAATTTGCCGCTCAATCTACTTTACCGACAGAACACAGATCGGAACTCAATCTAAAATCCAAAGTAGATCCTAACACATTTTTTTCGAACTTTTGAAAAAACAACGAAATAAGAAATGATAAGTTAATATTTTTAATATTAAATATTATTTTATTGTTAAAATTAAATATTTGATTAAGTATGTAATTAAAAGTATCTATAAGAATAATATAAGTATAAGTGATTAATCGACATGAAATCGACAATTTTCAAAGGGATTATATAATTACTAAGGAATGTAATTATAGTCGAAAAAAAAGTTAAACACTGAAATATGTTTATTGTGATACAATTCGAGCTTCGATGACACCTAAAAGCTTCGTTATTTTTACAAAATGTAAATACTAAAATCTATATACGACATTCGTAAAAAGAAACTTCGTTAGCGTTAATGTTTATTAGATTTTAAGTTTTATTATTTATTATACCGAGATTATTTTAATATTGACAGAGATACCTTTATGTGTGTCAGATTTAAAGAAAAGAATTTTTTTAAACAAAAAAAATGTGAAACATTTTTAATGCTCTTAATCAAAAAGGAAATATATTTATATTCAAGTTTGATAATAATAATTATACAGACAACGGCTATTTTTCATCATTAAAAATTTACATTCTACATTTTTTATGCAATCATTAAAGAGAATTGTATTAAATATTATAATTGTTTAAAAATGTAGTTTGAAAAATATTTCTTCACTGCAAAAATAAGTGTCTTATTTGATATCTTAAATTAAGATGTAAGATGGAAAAATGGTATCTTACATCTTAAAATAAGATGTTTTCTAAAGTATCTTACTGATTTTTAAGATGTTTTATACGTCTTAGATATTTCTTCTATCTTAAAAAAGTAAGATACTTCTGTAAGTTTTTTAAAGTATCTTAAATTAAGATGTTTCTGTCTCAACAAGATGTTTAGCGATAAGATACTCGTGAATTGTAAGATGCGAAAAAAATTTAAGTTACTAAAAACTAAGATGCATAAAATGTCTTACATATAAGCCCATAGTTAACCTCAAAACTTTTTTCCCGAAAAATATGCTGAAAATATGTACGAAGATGCTTTTAGTATCTTAAATTAAGATATTTTAAATGACTAAAAAGTGACTACAATAACATCTTAGAAATGACTACCAAAACATCTTAAATAAGATACTTCTTTTTGCAGTGTTATTCTCTGGAATGTAAATTTTTATATTTTGAAATAATTTGAATTTCTTAAAAATATAATTATAATATCAGAGGCACTCATGTGACAAATGGTCTAGGTATAATCTTTTGATAGAAACATGTCATTAGTTATAGCGTATGAAAAATGTTTTTTAATTTTGTGATACTTCTAAACTACCATGACTGATAGATATTATAAATGAAAATGTTATAATGTTGAATTTGTTTCTCTTCCAAAGATTTAGAAATCTTTTCTGCTTTTAAAATTAATAATACTGAAATTAGTGATTTTAAAATTAGTAATTTCATTAGTAATCTTAAAATTTATAATTTAATTAGTAATCTTAAAATCATTGATTCTACAATTAGCGATTTTAAAATTAGTGATTCTATAATTAGCGATTTTTAAATTAGAGATTCTTTAATTAGTAATTTTAAAATTAGTAATTCTACAATTAATTTTAAAACTAATGATTTTATAATTAATAATTTTTAAATTAGACATTCTATAATTAGTAATTCTAAAAGAAGCGATTTTTAAAATTAGTTATTTGAATATTAGTAATTAGTAATTTTTAAACAATAATAACAATTTATTTGGACACAAGGAATCGTTTGATTGTAATTTTTATTTAACGTTATATGTATATTTTTTATAGTAATACAATAAACCTTGTGCCAAATTTATTGCAAAGCCTCTGAAAATGCCAATTTGTGAAAAATATCCTTTACATCTTTTCATAAAATATTAAGTACTATACAATACGAGTTTAATGTTTGATAATTATAATCACAGAAAGGCAATATTTGAATAATGTTAGTGAGTTTGTTATTGGATTTCAGAATGCATAGCAAAATGTTGATTTTTTTATGTTGATCATTTTATCTACTTTAAATATTGAACTACAACGACTGAAATGTAATTTCACATTTAGAAATATTTGAATTCATATGTTTTTTTGTACAAATTAGTTTTTACTTACTTGATTCAAAGACAAATATAGAGCAATTTATAGCTTTTACATTTTTTGTGATTTTAATTCTTTTTGCTAATATAACCCTATTTTCTATAGTTCTTATCGCATAATCGTGGTCTTTAATAAATTTTCGCGCATGCGTACTCAAGGGTCGACAGAATTCTCAGAAGGAGCCCCCACTCAACTCGACGGCGACCAATGGCGTGCGTTCTTCTCCCCCTCCAGGGCGCGCATATAAGAGCAGAACATCCAACGGTTAGAGGCATTCAATCTCTAGCAGCTTTCAGAGTTTTATCTCTTTCTCAGATCTTAGAAATGATGAATTAAAAACAAATTGTAGTAGTTGAAAATTTTTAAATTATTTGTTTCGTTAAAACATTACATTTGACTGATTTAATGACTTTTTCGCGCATTTAAATCAAATAATATCGATCGAAAAATTAAATTTCATGATAAGAAATAACGATATATACGTTGACAACTCAGTGAATAAGGTGATTAATGCTTAAAGATTGTACTAAACAAGTGGGTCACCGTTAGTCACAAGAACACACTATTTCCTTATATATACCTTTAAAGGACTTGAACTTTATTTGCATTTTTCACGGCACGATGGAGTTTAACGACCTATCCCTACTTATTCTTAAGAAACAAATTTTTTTTTCTCTCGCATGAAGTTAATGATTCTCGGATGTATTATAACTTTTTATTTCCTCCATACTAGTAAACCTATATTTATCTATTGTAGTCCTAAGAAAATTCGATCTTAAAATGAGGTTTGATGTATATAAAGTATATAAAGTTAGAAATAAAAATATCCTGGAAAATTTATCAACACATATATACATATAAACAGCAAACTAAAAATTATGCGCAATTTGAAAGGAACGATAGTTTGAAATAATTAACGAGCATTTATTTATAAACAGTCGATTTAATCATTTTTTATGTGAAATTAACGTCATTAGGATTAAATTTAAATATAGGGTATAGGTAAGTATAAAATTTTTGGAATTAATTTCTCCAACCGATATAGAGGTTTACTTATATAATCTTGGGTGTGAATCAGCTACAAGTTGGAAGCTCGCTAAGAAATTGCTGTTGGTTCTTAATTGATTTGCATATCAACTTGATAAATTCTTCTTCCGCGACTAAAAAGAAAGGACTGAAATTAATTAATGAAATTGTTTTAGCTTTAGTTTGATTAATTTCTAATTGGTGGGGGGGGGTGGAAATATGTAAGACCTAATTTGTAAGCTTGCAGGAAACTTACATGCTATAAAGTTATGAGGACATATTTTACTATTTGCAGCAATCTTGTACTGCAAGTTTCGAAAACTTGCTGCAAGCTTGCTGTAAAGTTACATATGTAACTTTGGTAAACAGCATTTAACAGAAAACTTTGATAAATTAAAATTATAATCCATTTAGCTATGTACAAAATTGGTTTTTATTCAGAAAGTAGGTCGGAAATCAAATCAATATTTAGTGCAGATATAGTGTGAAGAGCAGAGATGATTATGCTTAAATAATATATCACCTATCAATCAAGACGTTATACAGTCATGGTTTAAGTACTGACTTAATAATTACACAACCTCAATTTTCAACCTAATCCTCAAGTCATTGATATTCTGTCAAACTCATCTTTACCATCCTAATAGTTTATTTCACTGAAAATTAATTAATTTTTTTCTGTTTTCTTAATTCAGAAGAAAAAAAAGCCAAATAGTAAAACAAATAATATGGGGTTTAAGTTTCAGACTTTCAGACAGTAATATTAAATGTTTATGAAAATTTGAAAAAAAATAATAAAATAGTAAATAATCTTAATGTCAGGTAAATTGATAAACTGAATCTTAATTGTGACCACCCTGCTTTCGAAAATTTAAAATTAAAAATAATTTTTTTTCACGTAGTTTTAAAACATCAAAAAAATATATGATACCCTTATGGTAAGAAATATGCGCATTAATTTGAATATTAAAAGGTAATATTAGAAAAGCAAGTTTTCTTTCTACACTTTTTGTGCGAATATACTTTCGCAGTTAGTAATTTAGAGTCAGTTGCTTATCTCAACTATAAACGCAAAATGTGCAGATTTAGAGGTGTATACCCCAAATAGTAAACTTTCAGTGTTTATGGTGCATCGAGTTAGAAAACCAATTGTAGGTTATTATCCTCAGGCAAGCTTTATGAGAAACTTGGAAAATGATTGCTTATTCAGAAGTACGGCAAACGAATACGGGAAAACATTGTTTATCAATATTGCATGTGACGTTTTGCGCTAAAATATTTTCTAAATTGAGAGTTCTCAATAGAAAATTTTTGCGCAAAATTCCTTTTGTTCTAAAACAAAATGCCTCGAATTTGATGAAATTGATGATTTTCTTAAAAAATTCTGATGTTGTTTGGGATTTAATATGCATTAGTAATTAGTAGATAAATAAATGAAATAGGCTCAATTGAATTAGAACTTATACAAAAAGCTTAACTATAATTCTCGCAAGTCATAATTTCCTATAAATGTGCATAACATCTTTGATATAATAATAGTAGAGAATTTTCTAATAGATTTCAAAAATATGTACAAAATAAAAAAATTGGGTACAAAAAAAAATTATAGAATTCATTACAAAGAAAATTTATTCATACAAAGGAATGTTTTCTTTGCTTATTATTAAAATATAAAGATTGCATTGAAACTTTGAACAAAACACTATCTTATACGATATCATATACCCTCTAAATCAAAGTATTGCAAATGCCTTTTATCAGTCTAACAGAAAGTTATTAAATAGATTTTAAAAAATCTTTTAAAGTTACTGTTAAAAATACTGATCGCAATAATTAAATAGTAATTAGACAATATTACTAATACTGACCACAATTATACTTAAATAAATGTCAGACTGTGTCTCATAAAATAATTAATTAATTTTTCAGAAAAGGTGAGTTTATTATTCATCCAAGTTATATTTCAATAATATTCAAACTGAAATGCATTTTTAATGCAAATATTTTTTTTTATCTTTCAACTATAAAGAAAATTTATTTCTTCCAACTAACATATGGTAAACCTGTAGTGTTCTTATTGGCTCGAAGCTAATAAACTCTATATAGATAATTGAAACGAATTTTATGTATTTTTAAAAATGTAGAAATATTTAAAATAAAAAATTATTCATACGTGGCACTTTGTTAATTCTTAAACGTCTGATGAAGTTTCCTAAAATTATTGGTGAACAGAAAATGATTAACGCCTGTATTTTGCTTTGTGCATTCACTGTACCATTCGCATACACAGTAAAGGTAGATATTTGTTATTTTAAATCATAATTTGACAATATGTGACATTCGACATTGAAATAAGTACCCTACGCAGCAAACAATTTTTATCTATATTTATGACCATTTGCCATTGATAATTAAGGGTCAATCTCTAGAAAGGAACAAATTCAGAATTGAAATTTCATTTTAAAAAAAGTTGAAAATTCACTTTTATTATTAGTTCTTTGGCAAAAGGGGGATCCTAATAAGCCTATAAAATACGTGGTTACAATCTTTATCAACATTATTATTAAAAATTAATGTTTTTTAATCAGAATTTTTGTTGAAAATTTCTCGCAGCTAAATGGGTTTCAAAATTGATGAAAATTAATTAAAACTCGTTACTCAGGGGTTTTAGGGGTCGCCGATTACGAATCCGATGTCAGTTTCTCAAAATCCAAAATGGTGGATCCAATATGGCAGACACTTTCTTCAAAAATTTAACGGATTTGCTTGAAACTCGTTACTCGGGGGTTTTCGGGGTCGCTGATTATGAATTTCAAGATAGTTTTTGAAAATTGAAAATGGCGGATCCAATATGGTGGACACTTTTTTCAAAAATTCATCGGGTATGCTTGAAACTCGTTATTCGGGAGTTTTCGGGGTTGCTGATTACGAATCCGATGTCAGTTTTTGAAAATTCAAAATCCCGAAATCCCCAGAGCGACAAGTTTTAAGCCAATCTAATTAATTATTCATACTAGATCAGCCATTTGCAATTTTCAAAAACAAACATCAAATTCGAATTCAGCGACCCCAAAAACCCCTGAGGAACGAATTTCTATCGAATAGCATCAATCTTCAAATTATCCGCCATATTGGATCCGCCATTTAAAATTTTTTAAAACTGACTCAAAATTCGTAATCAGCGACCCCGAAAACCCCCTAATAACAAGTTTCAAGCAAATCCGATGAATTTTTCAAAAAGTGTCCGCCATGATGGATCCGCCATTTTGAATTTTTAAAAACTAATAACAGATTCGTAATCAGCGACCCCGAAAACCACCAAGTAACAAATTTTATGCAAATCTGAGCAGTTTTGAAAAAAAATGTCGGCCATATTGGATCCGCCATTTTGAATTTTCAAAAACTGACATGAGATTCGTAATCAGCAACCCCGAAAACCCCCGAGTAACGAGTTTCAAGCAAATCCGATGAATGTTTTAAAAAATTGTCCGCCATGTTGGATCCGCCATTTTGAATTTTCAAAAATTATTATCATATTTGTAATCAGCAACTCTAAAAACCCCCGAGTAACGATTTTCAGGCGAATCCGATGATTAATAAAGTCTGTAATTTACGTGCTGTGTAATGGAAATATACCATATGGGTAACGGAGGGGAGTTTTCTTCCATTATACAGCTTCAAAATGTTATGATTCTAATATAAAAAAAATAAATATTATAAATAAATTAATGACAGCATTTGTTTTCTTTGTTTTTAAATAAAACAATGTTTTAAAGATTATTAAAAATTATTATTATTTACGTCCTAAAAACTAAATTTACTGCGGTAACGGAGGGGAGTTTTTATTGTGTCGATAAACACTGACAAACTAAAGATTCTTTTAAAACTAATTGTTTTCATTTTGTTTCATCATTTTATGCAATAACCATAACTATACTGACACTACAAAGAGTTTTGATGTATTTATTTCTATTTTATCGTTTTTGTTTATATTTTATAATTATATTTGTGAGCGGTAACGGAGGGGAGTTTTATTTCTGCACAAGACTAATTTAATTCTATGTAAAAATAACTAACAAATATTTTACTTTATTTTTCATGATTGAATTAGAAATAGAAAAATAATTAGATATTACCGGGCAAAAGATTTTTTTGTATTACAGAATTAATATAATACCTTTTCTATAAATGAAACTTACTTCATGAACGGTAACGGAGGGGAGTTTTTATGCTATATAAACACGTGTATCTTTAAATATTTCAAATTTTCGATTTATTTTTCATAGGATCCGATTAAATCATGATGAATGCTATTATTAGGACGTAAAGATTTTGAAAAATTATTATTATTTATTTTTAAAAATCTAATGTACGTGTCATGTGTCCCGATTGTGAGAATGACCCTTAAACAATTTTTATAGTTTGTAGAACCAAAAGTGAGTCTTCTTTAATATTCTAGATTAATATAATTATACACTTTAATATCATTGTAGTTTGCACTAAAACTTTATTCTTGAAAATTACTACTTGAAATTACAACATGAAAATTAATAATCCTATTCTAAAATTTTGTTCGCATTCGATTAACTAATATAGCAACATTTTTCTACCAATGTAATCAGTAGTAATTAATAATTACCATTGTTGGTTCAAAAAGTAATCAGAAAATGATTTCCATTAGGCCCAACAATATTTTACGGATCATGAATTCAATGAAGGTATACATAAGTATTTTTTAAAGCAGTCACACTATATAAAGAAACGATAGAAAATTGATTTTGCAGTCATCAGAAGGATTTTTTGCTGGTAAAAAGACAAAAGTTTGGATAGCTAAATACTATGGCATACATTTTATATATGTTCGACAATACGATGTAAGTTAGATATATGCTTTTTCCGGTCTTAAATTTTAATATTCCAAATTGTATTTTAAATAATTATTAAAATTTAATTCATAACATTATATAGATTATGGAGAAATTGAACCTTACATTTTATCATGACCGAAAAACTAGGTCTGTAATAGCTCATACAGTAAATGAAAAAGGTGTTTCAGAATTCGTAAGTAAAATAAATTTAACTCCCGTTATGGTATTTCTTAAAGCTACAGGTGTCTAAAAAAAATTATCTTTTTAGAATGGTATTATTGATTCTGACAAAGTAATACGTTCGTTAAATAATGTCAAACGCATTCGTCGTGATGTTCCATCAAAATCACCGTACGAATCAGAAAACAATAGTTTGAAGAATTATCACGTACTTTACAAACGAGAAGTATCTCCAACAAATATCAGGAATACTAATTATTCTCCAAATCCCACACCTGATTATCATGATTTTAGAAATATTGACGAAACTCCAAAAATAGTATATCCAGAAATATTAATTTATGTAGATACAACGATTTTTCTGTAAGTTTCACTTTAATTATTTAAATTTTATTATATATTTAACTTTCAATTAGAATTAATAATAGAAATTTTATCTCTTTTCAGACACTTTAATCGCAGTATCGAAAAAACTGTTGCTTATGTTTTAACATTTTGGAACACAGTAGATCTTTATTTTAGAGAAATGGATGATCCTTCAGTTCGTTTAAGTATAGCTGGAATTGTTGTGTGTGAGGTATTTTATTTTTATAACAGAAATAATTATTGACAAAAATTATCTATATCTCTTCCATGGTAATTTATAAAATTTTCTTTCTAACCAAAGGATCCAATAGAACCGATGGATGAATACATAATTAGTTTCCAGAATTTGATCCGTTTTTCATTTTTTATGTTCAATCAAAGAAATTTTTATTTGACTCTTGATTACGATATTGTTGTGTTTTTCGTTAAACCAAGAATATTTCAGAAAGTAATAGGTAAAATTTTTAAAATTATTTAAAATGATACTTAAGTACAGAATATTTGTATTAATACAACTTAACATAAACTTTAAAAACTTTAAAGGTATTTCATATGAAAGAGGTGTTTGTAGAATAGAAGCACTACTAGTAAAGTCAACAGCAATTATTAGTGATTCAGGAAACTTTGACGGAATATTGACTGCTGTACATGAAATAGGTCATGTGTAAGCAGCATTGAAATTAATAATAATAACTAAATAAATAAATCAATTTATTATTGCTTCAAAAAATATGGTTTACTTTTAAGAGAATAATTTTTCATATTATAATTTAATTTTATTAGATTGGGATCTCCTCATGATGATAACAAAGATATGAGTAAAGAAGAGATAGAAAGATGTACTTTTAAGAACGGTTTTGTTATGAGTTATCATGGAGGAACTGAAAATCAATTTTACTTTTCTCCATGTTCCAAAGAAAAAATGAAATTAACATTAAGGTTAAATTATTTTTATTCATCTACGTAACGAAATATGTGATACAAATGAATTGTTTTTTTAAATAACATATTCACATTGCAAACTAGTTCAGAGGCATCTGAGTGCGTTCGGAATAATCCAGCTGTTGGTAGAACTGATGATCAAATGCTATCAACTTTTTCTGGACAATACATGTCAGCAGATGAACAATGCATATCTCGAGATTATGAGAGAGCGTTTGTAAGTTAATATTGCTATAAGCGAATTTCATTTTAAGAAAAATGTAATAATTCAAATTTATTTTTAACAAGGTGTCTCCAAGAATTTGTGCAGAATTAGAATGCGTCAAATATCATGAAAGAGTTTCTCAAATTATACCAGCACTTGAAGGAACTCCTTGTGACGTGGAAAGCGTAAGAAATTTATAAATATCAATTAGTGTTTTTCTTCATTTATTAATAGTTTAAACCAATTTATCCTATTTTTATACTGAATCTAAAATATTTTATTCATCTCATAGGTCTGCTTAATGGGAAAGTGTGTAAAAATAGAATCTGACAGAAGTGATATCAATTCAGATCTAAATGTATTATTCCCAAACCATTTTCAACCGTATAAAACTAATAAATCTCTCGAAGAGCAATGTAAAGAAAGAGAATTATTTTCAATCTTTGAAAGTGTTAGTAGAAATTTATTACAAATTTTCGTAAATTTTAAAATTGTTATATGAATTCAACAAAATATGTTACACACTTGTGAATATTTATTGAAAATTTATTCCAGGCTACTTTAAGTTTTTGTGAACTTACCTGTACTTTTAAAACTTACTTATCTGGATACCGTAGAAACAGGAAATTTATAGCCGATGATGGAACTGTGTGTAATAGTAACGGAGTAAGACATGTGAATTTAAATTTTTTAAAAATGATGTTGTTAATATTGACTTAATAAAATATTTTTAATTCTATAGTATTGTCTAAATGGAACATGTTACGATGAAATTTACAAATCAGCTGAAAAGCAGTGTATAAATTATGGAGCATCAAGCTTTTTAGGAGTTAGTATTCCACAAATAATAAAAATATATTTTTTTTCTTTATGTCATTTGAGGATCTATTATGTAATTTATTTTAAATCTTCACTTTTATTTTCATTTTCAATTTCACAGATTTGCTATTTTATTTTCACTTTAGAAATATCGAATCACTTTGTACATTAAAATTTATTTAGATTCGTCTAAAATCAATATTTTTTTTGAAAATAATTTAAATAATAGCTATTCAATTGTTAATATTTCAGAAGACTTTAAGGTCATGTTATTCAGTAGTCACGTGTTCCCATAGTAAAGTATATGGAGCACGTGACCACTAAATAACATGACCTTAAGAGAATGTAACTTATTCTGCAATAAAATAGTTTATGTATTTGCTGATACTTTCCTTAACCAAACTTATAGAAGGTATGAAACAATAGTAAGAATATTAGCTCCAGATGGATTTCCGTGCAATAATAATGGAGTAAGACTTATGATAAATATAATTATAAAATTTGTTTCTGCATTGCATAAAAAGTATAAGTAAAATAAAAAAAGATACAATTTTCATATTTTTTTTTCTTCTTCAGTACTGTAATAACGGAAAATGTGTCAATATAACAATTACGTCAACTACTGTCAGCACTATTGAAACAACTACTCCCTTAGATAAATATAAATCTCCCAAAGAACGATGTAAAGATATTTCAATGGCTTGGATGTATGACGTTAGTATTAAAACAAATGTGGATTTATTTACATTTTCATTTATTTAATTTTATATTTTCATATTGTAAATTTCTTTCATTAGAACTTTTCTAAGTATTTAAAAGCAATAAACAAAAATTTATGCTCCCAAGTTTATTTTTTTTTTATTTTTATAGTTTAACGATGGATGCATCACTTATTGCAAAAATGAAGAAAATAAGGGAATCGATGAAAATTTAGTTGCTGAAGAAGGATATCCATGTGATAATAATGGAGTAAGGAACATTTTAACAAATATACATAAATTTGGTCACTGAAAATTTCATTTGTCTTCTTCTTTAGACCTGTGAAGATGGGAACTGTGTGAATATGACAATAGTGTCAGATAAATGGCCTATTTTTAAATCTCCCAGTGAACGATATAAAATAATTGGAATGACTCTGGCAAAAAATGTTAGTAGTGGAAGATAAAAAAATTCAACTTTGTGTGTTTAATTGAATATTTTCACTTTTTTTCTCTACTTTTTAGTATAATGACGGATGTATAGCAATACATGAATAAGGACAATACATTTCATATATATATATAATATTTATTTTCAAATAAACCCTTAATTTATTTTTACTTTATGACATTTTTAGCACAATACAACTAACTGTACAATCACGTGTGCTAGTGAAAATGCGTTAAGTATCAGAGGAATATTTAAAATAGATGAAAAAATTGTCTTTCAAAATTTAACCGCAGAAGATGGATATCCTTGCAAACCTGCTCGAGTAACTAAAATTTCTTAATATTTTAATCTTGCGAATTTGAAAAATTTTTACTTTTTACACCACTGTTCCCAAAAATTATAATTTAATATAATTTTCTTGATGAGTATTTCGAATTCAATTCAGTAACTGTTACTTGTCAATTTTGAATTTCATTTTTAAGTAAAATTAGTTAATTAAATAAAAATAATTATTTTTGATAAGCTGTAAAATTTTTCTATCTTTGCTCTGCTTTCATATGTTATATAAAAATAATAATCAACCACGTAATATTTTTCTTTTATTACTTTACAATTTTTCAGTTTTGCCTAACTGGGAAATGTGTTGATATAAAAATTTCTGACAATGTTAATAATAGGGAATCCACTAATTGGAATACTGATGAACTGAGAGGAAAGTATAATTAAATTAATGCATATATTATGATTTTTAAAATATTATAATTAAATAATTTTCAAAAATAGTTTTAATAATCTATATCCCGCGTGAAAAGATTCACGACAATACTTGAAGAAATTTTATACAATAATTCCATATTATTTCTGCAAATATTAGTATCAAATCTTTACAGGCAGAAATTTATTAAAAGTTTATATCAATATATTTACAGTTTATCCAAAAAAGAGAATTGAAATTAAGAAAAAGGTTTTCGACTCGATAAGTGAAGATGACAATGTTGCTGAAGGTTAGAAATTAATTCTTAAAATTTGCAATATTTCGTGAAAAGAGCATAAGTTGATTTATTTTCATCTTTAGATTTCTCCAATGATGATGAAGATGAAAAAAATTTGGCGAGTGACCTGGGAATTGAATTTTAGAATCGACTTTTTGCTATATAAATTTATAATTGTTTTCCTTTTAAATGATATTACATGTAAATGATGATTTGTTAAAGAATACAAAGTTCAGTTTGTGTTTTAATAAATGAACAGTTACTAAAGTTGCGATGTTTTATTTTTCACACTTTTCTCTTCACTAAATTTTATCCAATAACTTTAATAGGTATGCTATATGCATATCTTTATTTTTTAAAATTAAAATTTTCGTAAACACAGTCATCATAATATGAAATTTCGTTAAATGATGAAATTGATTTATCGTAAATGACCATATAAAATTAGGATAGCACAAAATCTTGCAGTAATCTTGCAGCAAACTTCAAATGTCCCACCTATTAATAATGTGCCATGTAAGCCAAATGTTTCGCTATTTGGAATAATTGTAACATAATTATATAAATATTATAATATAATTTTAATTTTACATTATAATTATAATATAATTATTAATATAATTTTAGTATAATTAATTTTAAAATAAAATAAAGTGATTAAAATAATAACTAATAATTAATTGTATTAGTGGTACTAATTATTAGTATTAATTTAAAAAAAAATTGTTCTCTTAAATACTTCGTTCGATGCTTTTCTGTCTCGCCGATAATTATACATCTGGATTGAGATCGATTTTTCACACGGTCGTTTTTAATTGAACAAACGCAATAAAGCATCACCGAAAATCTTCGAAGTTACAAATCCTTTGCACCTGTTAAAACTTTACTTGAACTAAAGTGGGGATGGGGTGGTCGATATTGAAAGCATTTCGCTTTGCTTAGAGAAAAGGGGCAACAGTCACATGCTAACCGCGGTATAGTGAGTTCAAACCTCACTTCTATTAAAAAAAAACATACCGCGCTTTAATTACATTCAAAAATCACCTAAACTAAAATTAAAAATCTTTCAGAAAATTGCAATTTTTTAATTTATTGAAAAATTCCTTAAAAGTAGCCCGAATTGGGATAATTTTTAAAAAGTGAATACCAAGCTCAGTGGTAAAATTAATTATACATATTTATTCTACATTTAATAATTATTAATTTCGACTAATTTTTTTAAAATTTAAAATTTAAAATAGATTTATGGTGTTTTGGAAAAAGGGTTTAAAACTGAAGAAAGGGGGTTGAAATTAAAAAAGGGTTTTTTTGTTGTAGAAGAAAAGAATTTGGAAAATTTTTCTCACTTTATTTATAACAAAGGAAGTTTACAAATAATAAAAATATGTCTTATCGGTTATACAAAAAAAAACGCACGATGTCTTTAGACTATCCAATGACTTTTCGTGCGATCTACTTTCAAGGGGTGTTCGTGTCGCAAGATTTATAGAGATAAACTTCTTATTTCCGCGTACCATGTCGCGATTCCTGGTATCGTAGATTTCAAAATTCATCGTGAAACTAATCTAATTAATCTACATTTGACATAAAATTGCAAATTCAAATTCCTACGGAAAATATTTATTTATTTACAATAAACTTATTCTCTAAAAAGAAATTAATGAATTTACTAATTCATTCATTAATTACTTCAATACTTTATTGCTTCAATAGTTTCTTTATTACCCAAATAGAATCAAAAATAAATTTCAATTCAAGAATAGAAAATGTCTTTCAAAAATATAATAGAAATTATCTATCACCCTTCCTATTATTCTTCAATAGTTTCTTCATTACCAAAAATATCAAGTGTACCTAATCAATTACCATTCAATAGAATTGAAAAATGTCATTTATATCCTTCTGACATTAATTCTTGTCCTGTCATTGAAATACATATTTTTTATTATTAAATTCCTCTAATGCTTTTTAGTTTCCCTAATCTTAATTTTGAAAAGCAAATTTTAGAAAAGCACTTCAAGGGGCGAATTGAATTAAATTAAAAAGTACAATATTGTATTTTCTGACAAATTACATTTAATAATACAATGTAGTTCAAGAGTCATCTATATAAAAGTCTTTACACTTGCCACAACCGTGACTTTCGATTCAAATGGATATCGAACTTATTTTACCTTGACAGTGCACCTCGTGCCTCTTTGCACTTTTATTAGCAAAGGTGCGGGGGTGAAAAAAAATTATAACATAGTTTGATGAATATTATTATTATACATCAATTCTTATACATCATCTGTTTCATACGTACAAATTTTCAAATTCTAGGAAGTACTTTGCAGCTGGAAATGATATGCAAAATACTTTTTTTTTCTAAATTACATACCATAGTTGAGAAAGTAAACATATTTTTGAAATTTAAAAATCCATATATAATAGAGTTGAAAAATATTAACATAATATTCTTCAGGTGTTGTAAAAACTTTTGTAACAAATGTTTCTGAATATTGACAATAATTTGAATAATGATGTGAAATGTGAGTGTCGTTTTGCGACTATGTATTATTTAAAGTGACAATGAGAGAATGTTTATTTGAAACATCGAGAGATGAAACGTAGGAAGACATGGAAGAGTGGTGTTCTCAACATCCATGACGGGAATGATAATTTTGGGGCATTTAGAGCCCCGGAGGAACTTTGATAATCCATTTGTGCAATCTTTGACGAATAACAGTGATTCTGATAATTGTTCTGTTCAATATCGGAAGACCTGGGAGAAAATGACATCTGCTTCTCAGCAAGGACAACCCATTCAGTTGACACCACTTTGGGAATATGTGGTTTGTATTTTTTAATTAGAAACAGAATTTGTTTCTATCATCTTTAAATATTTTATTTTCTTTTAATGGTGCATTTAATTCTAGGTACGAACTCGAAAGTTTCCATCGAACATCGATATTCAGATGACGTTCGAAGAGATTTCGGATAGATTAAACGATCCTGAATGGGAGGTTCGCCAGCACGCTCTTCGGGTTCTAATTGATGTGCTACCAACCCTGGAAGGTGATACAGTGGATCAATGCATGAAATCCGTAATACCAGAGTTGGTGAACAATTTGGGAAATTCTGCACCAGCAGTAAGGAAAGGATCTCTAGATGCTTTGAGAGTTTTCCTTCTGCACAGTACCGACAGGGACAAAATGATCAAAATAGTAAGATACCTAATAATTAACCATTAACCATTTACTATTAACCATTTCAATCACCATCACCAAAGAATACTTCCAATTCAAACCCCAAATGTTCTCCATTTCAGATTTTACAGGAAGGATTAAATCGTCCGAATACTTTGGACAATTTCCAAACGAACGTCACAATCGGAGTACTTTTGAGCATACCATTATTGCTATTCCCATCGAAAGGAATTTCCAGACCATCAACACAAACTCTGAAGGAAGCGACCCATTCCCTCCTTTCTCATTTGATCCAAGTAACACATCAAGAAGCAGCACTTAAATCATTAATAAAAATCCGCGAATTCGTTGGAACGCAAGAATTCGATTTCTACCTTGAAGGAATCGATAACCAAGTGAAAAATGATTTCGAAACACTTTGCGATATCTACCGGATAAAATTGAACGGAACTAGTAAAAGTGATGAGGATATTAGGAATACGTCAAATAATAGGGCAATTTATAACAATTCACATGTTGATTTTAAGGATTTGAATAACGACAACAATCCGTATTCTATGAAAGAAATATGTGAAAGTGGTAGCGATACTTCTGGAATTGTCGAAGAGGATGATGAAACCCTATCTGGAGCAATACCCCCTTCGCGTGTTGTACTCGAAACGGAAATTAAATTTAATGAAGAAACCGCTATTACAATGACTATCCTTGAGGAAAAGGATCAGAATAGTGACGAATCGGATGATGACGACAACGATTCTGATGAGGAACATGGAGATTGCAGTTTGGAGCAAGATTTTTCATTGGAAGAATTACATAAAACCCCCAGGTGAATATTTCCTATTTCGCAATCATCCGTAAGCACCTACAAGTTTATTGAAAGTTTGCTAAAAGTTTTCCTGAAAGTTTGCTCCAGGTTTACTGCAAGTAAATTCTGTACTTAATTTGAATTACTTATTTTTTCCAGGCGAGTACACTTTGGCGGAGAAATCGTCAAACTTCGCACTCCAGACAGTGATGATACCGTTCTCTCAGTGAAGAAAACCCCAAAGACCAGAATTCCATTACCAATATCACCAGCGACGAAAATGCCCCAATCGGATCTAAAACCCAAAGCATCGTCTCAACCTAACAGTCCAACTCACAAACGTCTTCATAAACCCCACCGTTCGCACTCCAGCAGTCCCAGAAGGGAAATCTACATACACAACGCAAATCTAAGTCCTAAGAAGGGAATACTAACCAGAACCAATAGTCCACTATTCTTTGATTTCATCAGCACTTCTAGAAATTCAAGGAGGAAGAGTTCGGGCAGAAGGGGCCGAGTGGATTCAGTGGATATTCTTGCTCAAAGGCAGATGGAGAGGAATTTCCAGCAGGGCGAAACAATCTATCAGCAGAGTGAGGGAAAAGCATTTCACGTCTGTCCCGAGACGGAGAGAAATGATGGGGACGAACATCATTATCCAAAGGAATCTCCAAAGAAAAGATCAGAATCTCCCAATGATTCTTTCATTGCGGAAGCAAGTCGCTTTACCGAGAGTGCAAAAACCAGACCATCACGAAGAAGAAGTTTAGCAATAGCAGAAGAGGTACCTACTCTTTCTACACTCGCAACCGTTTCGTCACCTCAATTAGAAACGAATGGAGATATCGACCCGGATTTGAATCTTCCCGAGTCTAAAAATTCCAGTCCAACCCGAGGATCCCCAAGTCGTAGAAGGTCTTCCAGTTTCGAGGTGTTTCCACGTCAAGAAAGAAACTACATTCTTATGGAATTATCCAGTCCGGTGAAGCAGAATAATCAGAAGAAGGACTCATCACTAGAGGACAATTCCCCATTTGGTTCTATTGTTAATCCTGACAGTGATTTTGATTCGAACGATAAAGACACTATTGTGGCAGATATTGATGTGAAAGTTAAATTGGAGTCTAATGTTGTTGAAGTGAAAGAAACTCCACTAATCGAAGAAAGTTCGACAGTAGATGATTTTAAACTAGACAAGGGTAAAGTAGAGGAGGTCTTGTTGGGTAATATTGAAAAACGTGAATCATCAGCTGAAAAACATGGTTCAGTTGTTGAGAAACAGGATGTGCAGAATGGTGTCCCAATTCCTAGTGAACGTAAATTACAAGCCACTGGTGAAAAAGTGACCCCTAAAGTTCGGGATACAAATTTACCAGCGAAGAGTGATTTGAAGAACAACGAACGTAATTGGGAAGAGCTGGGTTTGGTGGACCAAGAAGTTCTCCAGGACTTGCACAATAAGGTAATTTTGTAGATATTTACTATTTATTTCTATTTCAACTGTTTGGGTTTCAGTTTTACTAAACTTTTGAATCAAGTCGAGTATTTATGCAGGGATACTTGATTCGAAAGTTTAGAAAAACTATAGTAATCTGATGAAAATCCACGGAAAGTTTGCAGACACTCTGTAAATGTTTTTACTTGGTAGTTTTGAAGCTAGGTCTAAAAACCCTCTATAGTAATAACAAATAACTTAAAAGAGTTCCGTACAATTTCCTAAAACATCCGGTAACTGGTATTTAATCTCTTCATCTAGCTTCGTCTAGGTCTTTATAATATCCCATCGACTATTCGTGACAGAAAAAATAGTTCATCGTTGTATTTTAAAACTAATTTCCTCCTAATTTAATGTTTCGTCCGTTCGTGAAAGTTGATTTCATGCAATAAACTGTATTTGCATTGACTTTCTGGTATAGGAATAATAAACCAATTCCACGCAATGAATCGCATTTGCATTATGACATTAGATGATATGGGGAGTTATTATATATACGAAAAGAAATTTGACAAAAGGGTTTTGAAAGTGATCTCGCTGATAACAAGTTGTTGAAAGTAGAACAATCGATTTTACGATAAAAAGTTGGTGGGTTGAAGACAAGTAATTTGGAATTCAATTATTGATTTCACGAAAACACAGCAATTAGAAGCACACGCACAGGTCGAGTTGAGGGTTTTTCAGGTGTGGGGAATCAGATTCTGTACTTTCAGACAGACACTCATAAAAAATGCGTCTGGTAACCTACTAAGGAATGGGAGTGTTAGATTCCCTGTGTTAGCCAAGGCAATCAAATGCAATTTTTCTTTAACAGGCATTTTATTATACGTAACATATTTACAATTGTGATGTAGCGTAATTGTAATACTCGTCAGGAGAATAGCCAAATAGTTCAAAATCTAGTTGAAATTTTTTGTATAACCTTTGAACCATATCTTTGTTTAATTGACTGAAGTAAATTCTCGATGCATTCGATTGACCATTATTGTGCCTCCAGTTGGGTTTAATTTTTTTATCTAATTTCAATTTGTGAATAGTGAATATTTGATCTTGCCAAAGAGTTTCCACCTGTATAAAAGTATTACTGTTATTAATATTATAATTTTTAATTGGAACAAATGGAGGATAAAAATAAATTAATAAAATATAATTTGTAGCAAAAATTGGAATTTCAAAAGTAAATTTAGAAGTAAATCTAATTCCAAATGTTGACCATTACTTTATGTGTATACATAAAACATAAAATGGTGAAACTGATTTAATCGTTCAATATGCCCTTATGTGTTGAATAGTAAATCGAAATAGTCACCTTAGCGATAAAGTCATAATTAAGCAAACATGGAGTGCAATAAAGATAATATGGCATCCAGTGGTCGTCGGCATAACTGCCAAGATCAGTGTTAATCAAATAGTCGATGAACTCTCGCCACGTGGGTTCAATACCTGCGGGTGCAGGTGTGCCTATCTTTCTTATTACTTGATTCGATTGAAATGTTGCAAAATTTTTATCTGCAATTTAATATACTATTTATTACAATGTTTGGAATATTTTATAAACTCTAAATTTTATTGAGAAACTATACTTTTTTTTTAAACTATACTTTTGCTATTAGAAGACTCGGAGTTAAATATACCTCGATATTTTTGTACAATCATCTTTCCATATTTTTCATAAAAGTGTAATGTTCCATGCTCCCTTCCAGCAACAGAATTCTCCAATTTATCTCTGTAGGCACTTAATAATCTTTCGAAAGGATGACGTACAATCAGTAATTTTTTAGTCTCTTGCAAAGCCTACATTTAAAAAAAATATATTGTTAAGAATTAGTTAAGAATAGTGTATTGGTTGTTGTAAAATAAATGCATAAAGCTGTAAGATATTTCAGTAATGCTTTTGTAATTTACATCGTTGGCAAAAACAGTAAAGGTTAGGCACCAGGTGGAAAAGTTAACGTTAGCTAACGTTAATCCTAACGACATGTTTTGGTCACTAACGTTAGATTAACTTTAACCAAACGTTAGTTTAATGTTAGCCTAAAACGTTAGTTAACATTAGTATCATTAGCTAATGTTAACTTTTCCACTTGGGGTCAAATGCATAAAGCTAGATAAGCAATGAGTACTGATAGATGCTGTCAACATGACAATAAAAAATGGGAATCATTTCTAGTTGAAAGATTCATGGGGCTGAATAAAGAAAAGGTGGTATACATTTTGAATATGGAACAAGCGGTCAGCAAGATGCTAAGAACCGTAGACTAATACTAAAAATAAATTTTTTTGATACTACCTCTTCGGCTTCTGGATATTCCATTTCAGGAATTACTCTTCTCGCTATCGTAGAAATTTGTTCCCTTCCCCCGGAAAGTTCATCTTCGGAAACACCCATTAACAAACATAAATTATGTATCCATGTTGTACTGCCCGCTTTATATATTGGACAATAGGAAATATTGTGCGACCTAAAAAAATAATATAAAGTAATGATTTTTAAATTCTCCTTTCCGTTTCAAGAACACACATGATTAAATTTTTCCTGTACCTCTCTATATAGAATACAGTAAACTGAGGAGCCGGTGGGTGTTTGAACTGAGACGAACTTTCATCCTTTTTATAAAAACCTAAATTATATTTTTCACAAGTTTCCTTCACTTTTGTAATTCGCTGCTCGTTAATTTCTTCCACTTGATTCTTTAAGGAACAGTATATGTATATTCGATAATTTAGTTTTATTATTTCTTGTCAACATGCTAAATTTTTTCCATAGAATCAGATAAGATATAACTTATCTGTTAATCTGTTAAAGAAATGCAAATATTCGTACTTACAATAAACTGTTGTAAATTTTCAAAATTAGAAATTGATATATTTTCGTCACTCGTACTTTTGAAAAGGAATTTCAAAATTATATAAATACATCCACATGTTAAAAGGAAGTAAAATATTCGTGTAAGTTGTCGTTTATAAAGTCTTGACATGATACGCAATTTTTTTTAACTGAATAGAAAATATTCTTTTAGATACTTATTCTTCTGTGCACCTACACTGAAATGAAACAGTTGTTTATTTATATATACAATATAATAATAATAAAATATAATATACATACTAATAACAATAAAATATAATACAATAATAATATAATATAATCTATAATATATATAATAGTATTTATAAAATTGAGAAGATTATTAGGATAACTTACCTGATGTATAATTTGATCCGTTTTTTAAACATTGTACTTTTTAAACATTGCAAAAATTAATAGTTATTATAATAGCTATTATTTTAAAAAAGTATTGACTAAAATCGTTTATTAGGACACTTTTCGGTTTATTGATGACATATTTTAGTGATAATTGACAAAATTATAATTTAATTGTCAACATAGAAGAGAATTATTAAATCGACAGTTTAACTAGTAGCGTTTATTCAGATGGTTCAAGACAGACTGGTTTCGAATAATATTTAGGCGTCATCTCACCTTGAGAGGCCATTGATCTATCCTATATGTATTCAATGCTGGTAGACGAGGAGATAAAATAAACTTCCACTTTCGTATCACTTCGTAATTAATTAAAGATCAATTTCTAATTACCTAATTGTATTAAACCTCAAATTGTTTTCGATGTTATCTAAACGAAATACTCAATTAAGGGTGAAAATTGTTTGGGGGAATAAAATTAATTAGTTCTAATTTTAGCAGAATAATTATAATTTCCAAGAGTCCTTGAATAACCTAAGCAAACATAAGACATCAATAAATCGCTAGGGAATCATCATTATCATCATTATCATCAATATTGTTATTAATAATTAATAATATAATTATTACTAATATTATTTACTCGTAGTGATCGTAGAATTCAAATTTGCAAAAGAATGTATAATTAATGCTGTTTTATCGTTTTTATAATTAAGATTTTATTAAAATTCAGACGTAGCATAATTAAAATACGCATTGGGGGAGTAATCAAACATTTCAAAATCTAATTTAAATTTGTCGTACAATTTGTAAATCATTGCTTTGTTTAACTGACTGTAGTAAATACGTGATGCATTTGATCGTCCATAACTATTTCTCCAGTGGGGTTTAATTTTTTGATTTAATTTTAATTTTCGAAGAGTGAATACTTGATCTTGCCAAAGGGTTTCTACCTGTTAAATTAACAATTTTGATAAATAATTATTATTATAATTAAAAAGATTAAAAGACCAAATTGTGAATGAAATAGAGTTAATTTTTGATAAAAATGAATATTAAAAAAATACCTTGTTAATGAAGTCATAATTAAGCGAACATGGTGTGCAATATTGATAATAGGGAATCCAATGGTCGTCACTGTGATAACGACCAAGATCAGCGTTTATAACATAGTCAATGAACTCTCGAAACGTGGGTTCTACACCTGCGGGTTCAGGTGCGTCTTTCATCTTTATCACTTGATTTGCTCGAATTACTGGATTCTTTGGGTCTATTTTTAAATATTTTTTTTTAGTCTCTTTTTTGAAATTTTTTATTTTTGCATACATTTAGAGGGTTGCTACAAAAATTTAATTTTGTTTTTCCCTGACTTTTCCCTGATTTTCAGACAAAATTTTGATTTTTTCCCTGATTTTGAAAAATATTCTTCTTCATGTTTTGTAATAATATTCTTATAAGTTGTTGAATTTCAAAAAGATTTGAATTTAAATGTTTTGAAGAATTTTAATTCCTACGGAGAAATAATAAATGATTAAATGTTTATTTAAAAAGAAGTTATTGATGTTTTCGAATAATTTGACTTTTGAAGAAATTTGTAAATAAATGTAATAAAAATTTTTTTGAGTATCTAATAATTTTTAGAGTGAATCAGAATATTTTTTTATGGTCAGGGAAAAAGTGAAAATTTTGTCTGTAAATCAGGAAAAAATTAAATATTTGTGGCAACCCTGTATTACCTCTATAATTCTGAACAATAATAGTTCCATATTCCTCTTGAAAATTCTCCCTTCCAGCAAGAGTATTTTCCAATTTATCTCTATAGGCACTCAATAATCTTTCGAAAGGGTGTCGTACATTTAAAATTTTTGTTGTCTTCCGTATTGCCTGTGAGAGGAACATATTCTTAAAATTAAGCCAACTAATAATTAAAATAATACAACCTCTTCGGCCTCTGGATAGTCCAATCTAGGAATTACTCTTCTAGCCATAGTAGACATTAATTCCTTTCCACTCATAAGTTGCTCCTCCGGAACATTATTTAAAGAACATAAATTATGTATCCATGTTGTGCTTCCTGATTTGTATATTGGACATAGAGAAATATCGTGTATTCTGCATTTAATAAAAGTAATTAATTTTTGTCCAAAATGATTTTATTTTTACTTTTACCCTACCTTACCTATCTATATAAAAATTTCTGTACTGAACACGTGGTTGAAATTGAGATAAACTCTCTTTCTTATATAAACCCAAATTATACTTTATGCAAGTTTTCTTCAAAAGGGCAATCCGTTGCTTGTTGATTTCTTCTATTTGATGCTTTAAATAATAATTTAATCAACTTTGCCATATTTTTAAAGGAGAAAAATAAAATTAACCATACTTTTTTTAATTTAAAAGCATACTTACAATAAAATTTTCCAAATTGTTTAAATCAGAAATTATATTCTTATCATTGTTACTAAACAAAAGTATCATAACTACGCAAATTGATCCAAATAATAGAAGGAAGAACAGTATTTGTTGTAACTTGTAATATCTTGCCATTTAAATCAAAGATTTATTTTTAAATAAAAAATAAATTCTGTTTTGTACTGAAACAAATCTAATTTTTAGTTTAATTACTAGTATTCTTGGTCCTCTTTAGCAGTAAATATTTTTTCCACTAATTCTCATCTGATGAAAAATTTTTTTTTTATAAAAAGGTACATTCTTGACACAACAACTACAAATTATTTATTCACAAAGGTCTAAAGAAATCATATGGTGAACCTACTTTTATACACATTTCAAGATCGTCAGTCACTATATTTAGCCTTATTTATCAGCGTTACAATGTCATTTCTAAACTTTTTGTGATTTAGTATAACATATGCGCGAAGAAAAAAGAAAATAAAATTAAAAACTCACTTTTTGAATGATTAGTTTGTCAATAGACTGCTTGTCAATCCAAAAAATTAGTTTTGCATTAAAATATGGATTTCAATGAAATTAAGATGCTCTTGGCCTGGTATTTTTTAATTCTCGTTGCATATCTGAATTCGCTATTGACCCTTATTATTGATTCTTATTAATATACTGAAGGTTACTTATATGCTTATAATGAGGTTCGTTTCTGACAATTATTCTGTACACACAGTTTATTATTGTGAATGTAAATGAATTTCGACTATGATGGAAGAATAAGATCATCAATGTTTTATTTTTACTCAAACTGAAAACAATCGTTTTTCGACATTGCAAGTTACAATGGAAATTTATTTGTCTAGAAATAAGGAAAATAAAAAATAAATACGAAAACTTCAAGCTTAGGAATTAAACAATTAACAGGTTAGGTGATAGGAAAATTTATCTTTAAATGTCGAAGAATCAAATAGCGACCCATTTTAACTACTTTAATTGTTCAAGTCTGCCTCAATTTTGCAAAATAAATGCTTTAAAATGAGAAATTAACTGACTGCAAATAATTAAATTTTTTTTGGAGGCACTAGACCAAAAGTCACTCTAAGGTTGTAGAGGCCATAAAATCCAGAAAATATCTGACATATTGGAATTAATGAGAGCTCTTTTTATATTTGGCAAGTAAGTCAACTTACTTCTAATAAGAATAGATTCCGGAGAAATGTCTCGGGAGGCATCTCATTAAAAAATTATACAGTCGAGTATACTAATGAAACGTGAGCGAGAAGGGTTGGTTGGTCGTGCACGAACTTGAAGTCTGAGCCGACTTATATGACCAGTAGACAGTTTAGGAAGAAAATAATCATGAGGAGCGTATTGCGTGAGAACCGAGTACGAATATTTACTAGAGTACTAATTCGTATGAATAGTACCTAGAGTACATATTAAATGCTTGAATGTAAATCCAGTCTGTAAGGATTTAAGGACATTATCCAACAATTTACCTGTCGGACACCTTTCTTGTTGAACCCTCTTGTAATATATATTCTCCTAATATTCTCTTTCTTCGTGAATAAATTTTTCTTTCGAAAAAAGAATAACCATTGTAATTAATCATAAACTGTTTTATGTTTAAACCTCCCGTTGTATATATTCTTTAGTTCAGTTACCTTTGCAATATATACATTTCTCGCCATCTAGGTATTGATTGCGGGAATTTTTATTCTCTTACAATCGGTAAGAAGCTTTCCTACTGTAAAAAGTCAGATTTCATTGATTATTTTTCCAAAGGTCTTTATGATTTCCAAGCTTCTTAAGTTGAACCCTTCTTTTAAAATCAATAATTTTGGAATTATAGCCCAGGTGAAAAAGTTAATGTTAGCTAATGATACTAACGTTAGACTAACGTTATGCTAACGTTGTAACCCCAAACATATGACAATATTTCTAAATTTTTCCATTTCAGATCGTTCTTATATTTGATCATTATTTTCCTCCTAACGTTAATCTAATGATATGATAATAATTACTATCGTTGTTTTAGGATGACTGGAGGGCTAGAGTTCGGGCACTGGAACGAATTGCATCAGTTCTCAGAAGATCATCAGCATTGGTTGCTATCGAACCTCGATTAGGATCGCTCTTGCATGCGGTACTAGGAGGAGAAAGAAGTTGCAGAGTTGCGGCAGCTGGTCTTGATGTTGCACGGGTAATGTTTCCTTATTGTTCTCTTATTTATGTTATGTCTCAGGAATGAAACTAAACATAATAATAATTTATATATTTAATTTGTCCGGCATCGGTGATTCATACCTGATTTATTCACAGAGTCGAAACACTCTGATTTCAAGGGACAGGTTTTAAGAAAGAGTAACTGTTTATATGATTTTAAATTACTAAAGTTTTTATTTGAATCCTTTACAATTAGAGTGAGAGAAAAATAATAGATCCAAATGTCATGTCTTCAGGGATACTGAAACAAATACGGATTTTGTAGAATCATACGAGAATTTAGATGGGGACTAATTTTAAAAGGATTAGTTACTTACTTTTTAATATTATTATTAGAGTCGTAGACCCAACAGGCGATACCTCGTACAGTGTGTGGTCGAAGAAGTGACGTTGTCTAGCGTAGACTGAGAAGGCAATAGATTTTCCTTGAAATGTTTTCGGGCCAGCCAAAGTGAAAGGTCCGTAGTCCAGGTGTCAAATTATTGATTTGACGTTGAAGTCGAAATAATGCAATCCTCGGAAAAATAGAAATGTGTTTCGCAGTAGAAATAATCTCGTTGAATGAACTTGGCTTAGACGAGACTTGAAGAATACACTTGGTACTTAAAGAGATTTTTGGAATTGGAGACGAAGAATAAACTCGACGACAATATAGAACTTATCAACTTAGTCGCGGTTTCTGGACTGATACGAAGAAGATGCGAAGTGGTGACTTGTTTCTAGTTAAGTTGAAGGCTCTTCCTGGACTGGCGAATTCGGCAAGGGTGCCTCCTTTTATACTATTCCCTTGCAAAGGGAATTGACGTCACACAAGGGGTAGTAAAAATTTTACGATCGTATACGATCATTATGGTAATCGCATCCGCTAACTTTTGATTCGTGCGAACATTTAGATCAATATGGTTTTAGATTTCAAAGGAACAAAGGATTCAGTTATTTTTAACTTTTACAAAATGTTTTTAATATAATATAAATACGTCGCGATGACGTGACATTTAATAAATAACGAATACGATGATGGATCTGATAATCAGAAATTCTCTTAGATATCCTCCCAATAAGTATTTTTTAGTCACTAGAGTATAATACCTGCTACCTTTCTAATTTGTTTGGGTTGCACTAATTGCAACTTTATATTTTCAGGTTGTACTGACCGGAGTTTCTGAAGACGCTCTTAAACGAAGACTGTCATTAATTGCTTGGGGTTTGGCTCGACAAGGTGGCCCCAATGCTGCTCAACTTGCAAGAATTGCAATGCTTAGACTGAGACCCGCACTTTTTTTAGAGCAACTAATGCAACCTCAATGTATAGGCGCTAGAAATGCAAAGGTAGGTCATTTGTTGAAACAGTGACATTAAAATCGATGCGACTTCTCCACTGAAAGTCTAGGTAAAAATCGCATCAATTTTGACATCCTCTTAACCCTCTGCCTATGCTGAATTACCCCAAATTTAGCGCCTTTGAATATAGTTCCCATCAGGCGACGGAATCGATAGCGATTACTTGCGTAGGCAGAGAGTTAAGGATGTAGAAGGTACTAGCATATATTTAAGGAGGTGTTATCATTAGTATAAACTTTAATTTTGATTGTAATTTTCAGACAAGGGAAAACACATTGCAGTTGTTAATATTTTCTTTAGTAACGTTTCCAAGTACTGAATTCAATGTGAAAACTCTTACAAATAAGATTGTTGTTATGGTTGGTGATCGACGTCGAAGAGTTCGACAAGCTGCCTTGGATACGCTGGCAGTTTTGGCACAAATCTACGAAACGGAGGTAATTAGAAGTTTATTATAATATTTCATGAAACGTATTTTTAAAATTTTAATATTCCATTTTATTTAGGATATACTACAAGTTGCAAAAGATGTGGTTAAAGATCGTCATGAACGTCTGTCGATAGTCGCAGCAATAAGAGCCCGCCTTGCCAGAAAGTCGTTGCCAATGGTGTCGGCTGATGGTCTTGTTGTTTACGGATTGCAGATTTCACCAACTACTCAAATAACCACTGGTACGTATTTTTTTGATAGGTGACTTCTATTGGAAGCACTTGCTCTTCAGCAAATTGTTTTTGAATGCCATATCCTAATATTATACCTAAGGACACTAGGACAAACTCCATGTATTTTTATTAGATTACATTTTAACTTTCCAATGATGAACCCAACATACCCAACTGCTGAATGCTCAAACATTTTAGTTTTTAACTCAACTACTGAATTCCCAAACAATTAATTGAAGAACCGGATTGTGGAATCGACGTTTGTTTCTCTCCCCTGTCCCCTAAGTGAGTCAGCTTTAAGCTGTTTAGTGGACCTGCGTGTTTCTGAAGCGTGGGTTAGATGATCCGGCTCCTTAATTATATTCTCCTCCCTCTAAACCTAACAAAGATGATAAATCTTAAATTTTTCGGAATAAATATGTTTCGGATAGAGAATTCATTAAAGAATATAAATTACAGGTGCTGATGTAGATTGGATTGTAGCTGGAAGTGGTTCAGTATCACCAGGCACAGGTCGAACAAGAGGACAAATAATTGCCACATCCAAAGTAGCAAATGAATTAACCAGAAGGTATAATTATTTTGTTAGACTGAATGTACACAACATTTCTTTTTCTAGTTAGATAACGTTTCTTTTTAATTCCAGAAATGAAGAGGCGAAAAACAGTGAAAATCGGTGGGCAGACTCCTCTAACGTATACTCAGCAAGAGCCGAAGGTCCTGGTGAACATTATTTTGGAAATAAGATTAAGGTTGGCTTCATAAAATAATTTCTTCTAAAGATATTAGGTTGGTCTGCTATTATTTAAGAGTAGGTTGTGACAATTCGACGTGTATCGAGGTTTCGGTTTTCTCTCCATACTTACGGTTTTGGTGATCTTCCATAATTCTCATTTATGTCTATGATAGTTCTAATCTCTGTGAACAGATAGGAGTCTTGTTATGATTTTCGTTCCTTTGCTATTAAGATTGCGAAATTCTGCTAAATTCTGCGAAATTTCTGCTACACCCTTGGGAGTCGTTATGATTCCCATGAGTTTCTTAGCTTGGTTTCAGCCCTTAATCGCCTATTATTTATCTAATGCTTCGCAGTTAGCCACTGTTTCAATTCCAACGCCGAACGGTTTTACGAAACACCAATTAAAATCTTAGGTTCAATAAATTTTTCTGACATCGCTTGTGTAAGGTAATAGCCAACTTCTCCGTGCTTTCTTCCTAACCAGGTGGCGAGGTGAGAGATCAGGCGGTAATGTCCACCTTCCTTTTGAATCCCCATCCCATCTTTCTTGCCAACTTTCAACGAGTCTGCTTCTTGACACTTTTTGATGGCTGTCGTTGCTCCATTGTTCTAGCTCCGGTAGTAGCTTATTCACCTGTTAGATCATCACTTCTGAATTTAACTAACAAATTACCTATGTACAAAATTTTTAGGGATTGTTAGAAAATTATTAGACAGAGTCGATACCCCTCGTTGCACTCTCCTAGATCATCACTCGCTGCGAAACGGTCTTCTCGTCAACAGGTCTAACCTGAAGTGGTCATAACCACTAATGAAGAGGTTATTACCTCGCGTCGAAATATACCGAAGTAGCTGTTGCTACAAGTGGCCAAACCACCAACGTGGGACTATACGAATACGATTTTGATCCTAAGCGGTATGCCAGCCAACGAGTAGTTATTACTATACAAGCGATTAATTATCCGCCAACGATAATACGTCGCAAAGAATACTTTAGTTCTACAAAACATATCCTGTATCAAATTCGATATACAATAAATTTTGTGCATTATTCGTTTATTACTTTTTACTATTTTTAACGTTTATTTTAATATCGCGACAACGCGAATAACTTTTCGAAACCGCGCAACGAGGGTTATGATTCTCGCGTAATCCGTCGTATGTCGTGCATTACTCGCACTACTTTTATCTGTATATATTTTTGATTTTGTGAAAACGCGAATCTCGAGTCGAAGAAATACGAAACTAATCGTTCTTCGATATTCTAGTATTTTGTATCACAACATTATTAATTTGTTTGTCAAATCTCGCATTCGCCCTTTGGAAAGAAATTCTTCTAATATGCTTCATATTTATATGCATTTATACACCGCTTATCTATACCAAAAATCCTAATTAGTGAAACGCTGACATTTAATGTATCATATGAGATCTCTCTTTACTTTTTGCTGTACAGTGCCGGTAATTATAATTCTTTTAGTATCAAAAAGTCAAAACAGGTTAATGATTTACATATATATTTAAGTTTTGTTTTTCTATTTCTGAAAAGGTTAGATTTTTCCGCAATGCACTTCGTAGTTTATATACTAGTTGATAATAAATATTTTTAAAAGTAAATTTCTGTTTCTATTTTAGAGTGGCAGTAGATTTCAAAAAAGTATCCGACATAAGGAGAATAATAATATTGAGGCAGCGGTTTCCAGCGAAAGTGGTAATTTAAATAAAACATTCTAGTTTTAACTGTTGACAAAATTTTAATATTAAAACAAATAGAGAAATTTAATATATATTAATTATCAAACTTTTCTAATTTTGTTCGAACATTTTATGTATATATTTTAGATTTCAATATTTTATCTAAAATATTTGTAATAATGATTCTTAATTTGTCTTTTAGTTATCAATTTCGAAGTTGATCAAAGGTTAGAAGGTAAATGTCGTGAATTGTGCTCAGCACCAGGCAAAATAAATGAAACTTCGCTTGACGAATCTGAAAATTCGGAAAAAGTAGATAATTTCAATTCTTATAGAACTGATTCGAAAGTTAAACATTATACACCTAAGATTGATGATGTATCTGAAGAGAAGGTAATTTAAAGAACATTTTTTTATTTCCATATTTTAGATTTTTTATTATTTATTATATTATATATTATATTTATTTATTATTTTATTATAATATTTTATTATATTTTATTATTATCTTAATACAATTAAATTGTTTTTAGTTTCGCATGAGCAGTGCGCCTCCGCAAGAAAAAATTAATTTAAAAGTTGAGTCCAGAATACCAATTCTAAATTCACGAGGGAACGATATGAAGGATTCTGTTAACGCGCAGAGAAGAAAAAGTGGAACGCAAATTCATGAAAAACCACATTCGAGTATTATGAACGGCAAAATTTCGAGTAGTCAATTCGAACGAAGTTCTAGCAAAATTTCCGAACATAATGAAAGAAGAAGGTATAATTCGAATATTTAATAAAAAAATCCGTTTACTATTCGATAGGATAAAAAATATTTAAAATCGGAAAAATTTATACTTTCAGATCTGGTAATCTTTACAAGAAGAGAAAAAATTTGTTAGAGTCAAGTACAATTCAGTCTCAAGTTCAATCCTCAGCAAGTTATACCGTGAATTATTCTTACGATTCAAATTACGCCAATTATTTATTACCCTCGCAAGTAATTCCGACTCCTACAGCAATTAGTAATAACAGAGTAAATATTCATTTGTAAAAAAAAGAATTTCGATTTTCCCCTGAAATAATTTATGAATAACAATTTTCCTTTATTTCAGTCAATGAATAATGAAGGTAGGCCAAAATCTTTATCGGGAAAGGGTAAAAACACAAACATCCTATCACATGATCTTCATAATAATTCCGAAAAGCAAATACTGAGGACTCCGGAAATTTTTAAATACTCAAAGAATGATTCCAAACAATCATCGTTTCGACCACCGACTTATGAAGAAACGTAAGTTTAATTTTTTCTTTAATAAAAAAAAAACTCCAAATTGATAAAAAGAAGCTCAAATTTGATAAAAAAATAAACTTTTTTCCTGCAGGTATTCTTCAATTTATCAGAGACAACTACGGTATATGGAAGACAATGTAGTTCGTCAGTCACCAAACAGATCTGTTTCATTTAGACAAAATCATTTTGAATCTTTGGGAAAAAATATTTCAAGAAATGATAATTTGAAGGTAAGGAATAATTTCAACAAATAAACAATATTCTAAAAAATAGTTTGTGATGGTGAAGTATATTATTTTTAATCATGCATTGTTTCACAGAATAAAGTGGATCAAGAGTTAAAATTAACTTCCTCTCCAAAAAATACTGAGAAATCATCAAAATTACACAATGCTAATAAATCTTTGGATGACGATAAAATGTTTCCTCCAGTTTCATTTGGTCCGAGTTACAATTCAATCTACAATCCTTCCTACAACAGGTATGATTTTAAATTATCTAAGATTCGCTAAAATATAGTACATGATCCACCTTTAATTGTGCCAAAATAGTCTTGGTGTGACACTGTCATCAGACCACTTTATTAAATAATGAAAACTTTTTATCGAATTAACTCAGTCCTGTATTAATTATGGACTCTACTTCTCTAAGTTCATCAGCTACTTCAAGATACTTCTTTAAATCCATTCGAAAACAAAATGGATCTGAGACTACGTCTTTATTAAAATATTCATAAACATCAGTTAGCAGAAATTAACAATTTACTAGAGGTGTAAGATTATAGTTTCTTGTCAAGTGAATTATTTATAAACATTTATTGCCACAAAAGCTTTTCATTTTGATAACAATTAATTAATACAATTGTTTATAAAAAAAATTTTCATTGTTTAATAAAGTGGCCTGATGATGGTGTCAAACCAAGACATCGAAATGTTGCACAACTAGTGAAATAGATGTTTCATTTATTACTCTTCCAATAATCGATTAAAAGAATATCAACAAACTTCAACAACGGAATAAGAAATCAACTATACAATTAAAAATCATTATTTTTTCTAAAATTTTGTCATAGTTAAGCGAATTTTGTCGTTATGTCCTAAACGAACCTCAATTTAGTTTCCTAATTTCCCCGATTTAATTTCACTAAGTTAATATAATTAATATTGGGACGGGGTTAGTGAATAAGGCAAGATTATCAAAATGTATTAATGAAAATATAATAATATGTATTTTTAACAATAATGAGAAAATGGAAATTCTAGGCCCTTTAATGTTTAGAGAGTAGATGACTCTATGAGAGAATGGTTTTCTTTTATTACCTCTGCTTATCTCTGTTATTAAATTTATAAAATTTAAAAAAATTTCATTTAACTGAGATGTTAGTTGATTGCAACAAAAGTATTACATGAAAATAGAGAATGAAAACAATCATCTAGATATTCATATAATTTAAAATTGGGTTAAGTGAACGTTAGGAGTAATATTTTTTTAAAAAAATTATATGTTTTGAGATTTATCGGTCACGAAATCCATTAGTTGTAAGGAAACGCATTTGACTCTTTCAATACACCCTCTCATGAGTTTAGTGTTACAGACTAATATTACATTAAGTTCCTCCCCTAAAAAATAATTGAGGTCTAACATTTCTAAATAGGTCACGTAACACTTCTCTTAGGAGGGTGACTTGAGTAATTTGAAACGATAATTGAGGCCTATACCTGTTTCTAAATAGGTCATGCAACAGTTTTTTTTTTGAAAGGGTGACTTAAATATAGTTCAAGGTGAAAATCCGACATCTAGAATTTAATTATTCGAATTGTTAGGTACTGATTAATATATTTGTTATTTATTTATTTAATTTTTTTAAACTCTTTAATTTATTTAATAATTTATTATTTATTAATATTTATTAATATTTAAGTAAGACAAATTTAAGTCTAGTACTATTTTAGGTAATTTACTATAAATTAATGTAACTACATATAATTTAATTTACTTTAATTTTTTTTTCTTAAATACACAAAAAGTGAAAAGGCAGCAAACAGGTCCAATCTCTTTAAACCATATACGACTATATGTCTCAGTGAATTCCACATTAAAAGTGATTTCGATTTTTATTCTATTTTCAGAAAAACGTTTGCAATTCAAAACAGTAAAATTAAATGAAACAATTTTTTAATTTAAAACAATTATTCTCTTGGTTTATGGTAGTCTGCGTTGTTCGTGTCTTATCATGTATAAATTAAATCGCAAAATTGTTCTACGCACGATCGAGTGGCTAGGGGAGATATTATCTATTTATGCATGTAAATTTGGATTGGTGCGTCATTCTTTCATTGTTCTCAAAACAAATTTTATTTCTTTACTGCGAAACTTAATAATGAACAAAATTTATCCCAGACGCAATAAATGGTCTGAGGTTCTTTGTGCAAAGCAATGAGGAATGTATTTAGAATTTTTTTGCCACTTTTGAAAGGGATCGAAAATTATCAATAGTTTTAATAAACTTAAAGCTGGGAATTGTATTATCGGATCTGCGAAATTCATCCCTTGTTTATTAGGTCCTAGGACTAACTCTCCTAGTTTTTGGAGTTTCTTTAGAAATCTCTGTTCCATGTCCTTTTCTTGGGAAGGACAATTATTGAAGTCGCGGATCGGGTCATTTGCTAAATGCTGTAAGCCAAGGTCACTGTCTCCATTAGCTGATTCTGAATAATATGATTCTAAAAGTTAATGTTATGGACATAAATGCCAAACTAGATGACACACTTTCTAGACTGATGAATATGGAGGATAAAGTGGTAGACCTGACGGATCGTCCTGTTGTTGTTGAGAAAAGAGCTGACAAGTTGGAGGCTGGCTAAATAAATTTAGAATTTATATTGATTCCTTTGAGTGTCTTATATTAGTTACATATAAGATACTATAATATCTTTACTCCCGAAGAATTATTTACTTCAATCCCTGCAATCTTCAGACGACGCTGAAAAACATAGTATTTTCTTGAGGAAAGTTTCTGTTGTTTACAGTCGTCTCTACTGTTTTCTCGAGCCGTCTTTAGGGTGCACTCCCATGTTTTGGTTAAGTATTTTCCGAAAAGCTGGCTGCAATGAAGTGGCAGAAACTCTACAGCTCCACTACCACACCCAGCGAGAAATAAAAGGTCTAACCGACGTCTAAGAAGTTGAGAGGAGATCTAGGTCTAGATTTGGTCTAGAAATGTTAAATATAGATGTTAAAGTTGTTTGACTTCAAAGATATTTTTATTTGCCATTCAGTCGCATAGTGTAATGGTAACTTTTACGAATGTCAGAAATTTTTTCAGGACATAATCTAATAGTGTACTAGTGCCAGTCTAACAGACGTATTTGCAATTACTTAGATATCGAATAGATTGTCTAAATCGTCCATTGTACCTCTGATTTCTTCACCAACAAGAATTAAGTTGTCTATTCGAAGTTCTAGACAGCGATTAGACATCTACTTAGCATCTAAAATGTCGAATAGACTTTTGCGAATAAGCAGCCGAACCTGCGCGGTAGACGTCTAAAATACAACAATTTCGACGACTATAGACGTCTTGTGACGTCCCATTTCGACGTCACAAGATAGATAGATCTCGATTTAGATTCCACATAGATAGATGTTTTAGATGTCGTATAGACGTCGATTAGATCTTTCATTTTTGACTAGGCTTCAGCCTTTGCTATGTTACGAATTTAAATGCTGCAGATCTGGTTACTATGATGGGTTGTAGTAGTTACTGAAGGATGATGCTAGTACTAAACAGAAGACAAGCGAGCCATCTTCTGAAACTCGATATGTTTAGAGTTAGTATCGTAATTCGTCTGCTTATGGGTCATATAATCTATTCAATTACCATCAGCACAAAATAGGGAGCTCTTGGATAAACTAGAAATATATCAATAGTTGCTGGACTTCTAGAGTTATTGGACTTCTGGAGTTACTGGACTTCTGGAGGAGAATATGACTCTAAACGCGCAAATATTTTTAAGTTCTTCTTAGGACGTCTATTTTAAGAAAAGCTAAAGATTGCTAATTTTTGTAGGTCAAGTAAATAGTGGACGGGTTCTTAACAAACATTTAGTGGATCCAGACAGGATGATGCCAATCCATCCAGAATCTAAACTTGCAGCAACTTTTGACAATATTGCTGCAAGTCTGGCAATATTCAGGCAAGGTTGTTAATGTTCCTGTTTCTCTAAATTGCAAAAAGCTTTTTTCAATAATATCGATTTTGAAAATATTTCAAATTCACACTCGCATGTATAAACTTATTCTATTCTCCCATAAATTCATCTTTATCGCAGTTAATAAAGCACTTTCGCTTTAAAAAACAATTAAACCATTTGTTATGTATTCAATTATTTATAGTCTACGAACGACATAAAAAATAGGCACACTTTTAGCACATTACCCAGTAGGAGTGACACTTTTCAGATAAGAACGCCTCATGTACCCGCAGTACATGCGCTAAAATTGCCTCTATCTAAAATCATTTATTTGATAATAGAATATCATTATCGTTTTATACACTAGAAGCGTTTTACCGTTCATTTTCTATCAAGAGGCTATTTTCAAAATAAAGTTCTTTTTATTATGCTTTATTTCTTCCTTTATTATTTTCGATTTCAAACTGTTTGCAATTTTTGTATCAAAATTCTTCTTTGAATAAGAAATTCGTTCTAGATTTCTATTTGCTTCTAATAATTTTAATAATTTTCTTTGATGCATTCAATATAATCAGAGCAGTAAATAATTACATATTCTCATCAAAAATGAGAAAGTCTTGGATTTTTTTTTCATTTCGATTAGGTAATTATTTGAAAAAACCCGCATTAAAAGGATTTGCACGCACAATAGATTGGGGATCCATAAATTAAAATAGCTGATAGCGTGACTTTGCGGAAAAATTGAAACGTTTTCTTTAAGAGTGTCAGAGGATGGAAATAATAATAAAATCTTTATTGATGATTTTTTTTTTCTATGGAATACATTATACTTGTGATTTCAAATTTTTTTCCAAGATATTTTTTTGTTTAAATATCTGATAAATGGGGTAAAGTCTAGGAATTAGGAAATAAAATACAATGTAAAATAAAAATTGTTATTTTGTATAGCAAAGTAGTTGTTAGTATTGATAAATAATTATTATAGATCTGCGTTTCTACAAATGTATGATTGATGCTTTTTCCTGGGAAATTGTGTTGGTTTACATATATATTTGTAAATTGAACGAAACATACGTATACATGTATTTTATGAAATGGAAGGGGTGTAGCGGTCAGCGTCGCGACGCCCGTCGTTTCATGAGGGCAGTCTAGCGTGCAACTGCCTCGTGAGTGTGTCGGTTGAGTTTCCTCAAAATGAAGTAATACACCGGCAACATGCGCGTTAAGTGATAAAACACTTTGATTGCCTGAGATTTACGTTTGAATAATAAATTTATTTTCAAACCAGTCGAACAGTAATAACAATAAATATAAATTTTAATATTTTTAAACAATTATTCTAATTAGAATACTAATTTTTAGTATTTTTTCTTGTTCTTCTTTGTCGCCTTATTCTTTTTTTCTTCGTTAATTTTTTCAACATAAATAAATAGAGAATTAATTATTCTTATTTGATAAAAAGAAACAGTTTTTTAATATTTTGTACTTAATGGACTAAAATTTGTTGTTGGTAATTGAGATTTCGATTCTGTTTTCATAGTGTAAATAAAAAGGAATGCTTTTAATTACTATTGACATAAACTTGTGAAGTTCGTCTGGGCGAAAATTCAGTGAAACTAAATTAACTTAATTTCTTCGAGTCAATAGAAAATTGGGTCAATTGTTAATAATTTAACGATAACTATTAGCTAAATATATCATACAGTATGATTAATTATTCACTTCGCTTTACTTTTATATATTCTATTGGGTAATTATTGCTTTTTTGTAAAAACCGATACTTTTATTTAATAAAGGGACATTCAAACATTTTTTATTTAAAATTTTTTGCTCTTGAAAAGTCTTTCAGAAATTTATCCTTCTTAAAAGCGAGCTTAAAAGTTTATCTTTCAGCCTTCAGAAACTTGCAATACTTATTTTATTTCATACTATTTTTATTAATAAAACACTTTCAAAAACTGATAGTCTTTCGAATCTTTTTACTTTATAATTTTGATTTAAAAATTCAATTGTAAAAAAATATTAAAATAGATTGTTACTACTGGGAAAATTAATAAACAATAAAAACAATGGACATTTGAGGAGAAAAATGTTTTTAAACACAGTTGAAAGTTTTGTTTGTAAAAAAATTAAGGAAATGCGAAAAATGAGAAATTTTCTCTCATTAAAAAATTGCAAAATGTTTACTCGTAATTATGAGTCAATGACGTGAGATTAGAAGTCGGGGTAAAACAAAATGATTTTTAAATATTGCCCATGGCCGTCTGATAAGGAAGAAGGTAAAATTATAACAAATGAAACTGAAAATCGTATAAGCAACAGTGGTGGGAAATTTACCGAAAGTATCCTACGATGTTGTCCATGTATTTTTCGCTGTCGACGAGCAATTGGAATTGGCTATGACAGCGCGCAAAAAATTTCCACCGAACTTTCAAATCAATTAGAAACAGTTACGCCCGTTATTGCTTTGGGCTTAAATATAAATTCGGAAACAATGTACGTTTACTATAAGATTTTGAATTTTTACTATTTTTACAAAAACAGTTCCCAATCAGAAATTTAAAGAATTAATTAAACAGAATGTTCTTAAATTTTTTTCTAATTTTTCTAAATTCAAATAATGTGAAAATTTTTACTAATTACTCATTTTTGTTTCAGTGAAAAAGCGGGAGCTGATGAAGAAACTTACATTGAGAGAAACAGGAGGAAATCATCAACCCACAATATCAACTATGTGGAAAGTAATCAAGAAGAAAAGACTCAAAATCAGGGTAAAATTCTAATGAATACTTTTAATTTTTTCCAAGAAGAGAATAAATTTTTTTGTTTGGATTAATTTTTCAGAAATTGTTAAATTACCGGTTAGAACACATGTGGTGGCATTTAATATAAAGATTAGAGATTGAATGAGAAGCAAGTAGGACGTGAGGTTCTTAACCTCCTGTGTTGGAATACATTTTGCAGAGATAGAGGGAGAGACACGATCAAAGTTGAGCTTACGTGCCTGAAATAATCAATATTTTAAGCTGGTCAAGTATACAGTAGACGTTTTCACAAGCTTTCGATTTATCAGTAATTTTTGTCTCAAGTTATGGGAAAAGTGTTATTCCAAGTAATGTTTAGTTAGCGATCGTTTAGTGCATAAGCGTTATGTATAAGCGCGTCCTGTAAATACCAAGAATATTTATGAAAAAAAAAAGTTTCTTTACGGAACTGTGAATATCGATCAGTTCGCATAGAGTTTGAACTAGAAGAATATTATTTTTGTCGCAACTTACTTTACATATTATATTTATTTTTAGTTTTAAAGTATTAGAGGGAAAAAGCAAATGCTTTATGGTTGTATTTTTATTTTATTTTTTTGTAGATTTATAGCTCTTTGGTGTTGCTTTGTACAAAGATTTTTGATTTTAATCCTTCTTTGGGATACATGATCTTAAGTTAATCAAAAGGTGTATTTTTTTGATACATACAAATTTTTGGTATTGACTTTTCCGAATGTTTTTTTGTAGACCGTTAGGAATGTAAAGTTAGTGATACTAACTGAAAGTCTATGTTCCTAGCTAAGCTATAAATATGTTTAAACAAACATTATAACTGTATGGGTTTAGTTGGACCCTAGTTTCAGACGGAGGGTTGGTTATTGGTCTTTTGTCCTCTAAGATCAATTAGCCATTAATTGGTAATTGCCATTCGGATTGTTTGTAATACTTGATATAAGAATATCTCTTTTTAAATTTCACCATGCATTTTCTTTCTCTTTTCAAAATGAATAATGTTTAATTTTTGTCAGATTTATTTTTTGCAGTTACTAACCTATTGCAAATTTTCTTTTAAAGTGCAAAGCATATCACGAGCAGCCAGCGCAAGCAGTACCCTATCAAATGTATCAATTGACGGGAATCTGAAAATTAACATTGAAAACGATCTTCCTGATCATAATGAGACATTAAACAGCAACAAAAATAGCCGATCTCCTTCATTAAAAATTTCAACAGAGGACAAAGCTTTTGATATCATTTCCGAAAAACTAAGTCCAATTAGAAGAAATTCATTCGACTCCTTTACTGTAAGTAACAAATGTATTTTCAAACATGGAACTTTTATTTTTATATTCACTAAATTTTCTCCTGCAAAACTAGAGACGTATTAAAAATAAATACCAATTTGTTAAATAAGTAGCTAACGGTAAATTAGGTTTGTGTTTCTAATCAATTTCGAAATGATCTAGGTTGCGAATACAAAATCACCTCTACCTTTAAAATCGGATGATGCGAATGTTGACAAACCCTTAAGTTCAGAAGAAGAGGACGAAGAAAAAGACAATGATGATGACGATGATGATTCTTTTGAAAGAACTGAAACTTTAGTAAAGTACAATAATGAGAAGGAAACTTTTAACGAGAGTGAAAATAGTTCGGGAGAGGATAACGTATCAAGAAATATGGCTCGCACAAAATCAGCTTCTTCAATTTTATCCGTGGAAAGTGCATTGACTGCAAAAACATCTGCAATACTAAATTCCGGTCTTTTGTCCAGTCAATCATTACGTGAATTAAATGAAGTTTCACCTTTAAGTAAAACCTTCAGTCCAAATAAGTCAAATCCAAATTTTTCCAATCGCTCTCTTTCAAACAGAAATTCAGCATCATCATTGGAACGTATTCGCAGTCCACAGAAAAAGGTTTGTGGCACTTATTTTAAAATGTTTGTCAGAATAATAAATTGATAATATAAATAGCCGATGTTGTACTTTGTCAAAAACTTGTAACTAAATTCTTTTTAGTGGAGTTCAAGTACAATTGATGAAACTGATGGAACTCAAAATTCTTCCGCCTACCCTCTAAAGAACAGTTCCTTCGAGACTCTTGATTTCCGAAATTCGCACATCGATGGTACAAATTCGAATGCCATTCTCGCAATGTCTAGAACTCAAACACCGGAAATTTTTGAACGAGAAAATGAATCGCGAATTATTGACTCAAGTAGTTCGGAAAACACCCAATTGGTACAGTAAAAATATTTTAATCTTCTGAATAAAGAAGATAAATAAAAATACAAATTTACATATTTAAACTTGTTTTTCTTTTCTAGTCTCAAAAAACGCCTCAACGTTTCATTTCGGACCCGATATCACATAAAGAAGATACTTCATCAACCCAATCAACAGGTTCTGAGGAACCACTTGAAACCGTTGGCAATGAAAATAATGGAAATGCAAATCATAATACAGTAAGTGACAAGTATTTGCTGATTAAATTATTTAGAAGATTTAAAAATCCTTCGTTCTTGATGAGTGTTGTTTGTGAAAATAATAATTTCTTACTTAAAAATAATATTTCTTAAAAGGTTCCACCTACAGCTTATCAATTGGCATCTAGAAGGCAGCCTACAAAACTTAACATGAAACCGAGAGGTAATGTTTTAAGGGGATCACGAAATTCTGAAAAGGACAAGGCGAAGATACAATTGCAACAATGTTTCTCTCAACTCGAAAGCAAAGACTGGTAAGTTGCAGTCCACTAAAAATCTATGAGCTATTCACGGTCCTATTATATTGTGACGGAGAAATTTCAATTTAATTAAATTTTCTGCTTAACGTCAAGCAAAATCTGTCGACTTCAACAATTCATAAAATTAGAAATTTAAATAAATTTCACCGTTAGGCGCGAATTAATTTTCAAGACCAAATTAATAAACTATTCTGGGACACAATAAAGTCAACAAAATTCCAACACCTCTACGATTCTCTTTCTCTTCAGAGGAAATTCTGCCTGAACAACTTGGCAAGCACAAATGCCAACGACGAGACACGACCTTTAATAATCACTAGTAAACTTTGCCATAGACGATATTAAATGTTCCACTTTGCACGTCTAAGGGCTAATTCCACCAAGATCAATTAAAAGTAAATCAATGTTTTCAATATAATCAGACTTGAACATGTTCAAAATAGATTTCTTAAATTTGCTGCAAGATTGCTTAACATTCCTTTTGATTTTTATATTCATGACTAAAAAGACTTAAGGGATATAATGAATTTTTCCATGTTAACTTCGAGATGCTATTTCTCTGATATGTCTTTCCCGTACAGGCTGATTAATTAAGCTATTTATTGCTCCTGACTCCTTTTAATGTTAAATTTAACAATTCCAAAAACCTCTTTCAGTATCATTCTATAGAACAAATTAGGGAAATAATTCTTTAATAGATCGACTTTGCAGGGAAGCTAATTCAATTTCAAATTATGTGGATTTCTTTGACACTAGTGCCTTGAGATTCACGTCGAGATTACGTAAAGTAATTTTTGATTCAAATAGATAAAAAACAGATTCAACCTCGAATTTAAGTTCAAAACTGTATCATTTTGTAATTACTAGTATTAGGAGGATTAGGAGTACTTTGTACGAAAGGGTTTGTTCTCTGTGATTTTCTAAATAAATAAAAAGATCGTCAGTAAAAATTAGTGCACTTGACTTAAGGTTATCAATTAGATCATTAATGTAAATAGTGAATAGGGGTGATCCTAGAGAGGAGCCTTGGAGTACGCCTCGTGTAGGAATAAATAAAGAAGAACGGTTGTTTCCTGAGACAACTCTATGGCATATATCTTCTAAATAATTAATAATTAAAAGTTTAAAGCTAATGGGTTATATTTCGTAATTAGTCGATTTACCATTTCCTTTTCTTTTAAGGGAAATTACAATGAAAGGCCTGCATACCTTATCGCAAATTGCGAAACAATCTCCTGAGCAACTAGACTCTTACACTCCTGGAACAATTGTTCGATTACTGGGAAAGCACGTTCGGAATTTGAGATCTCAAGTTTCTAGAGCGGCATGCCTGGCTGCTGGAGATATTTTCGGTTTGCACATACGAGGAATCGATCAAGTAATAATTCTTTCATTCTACAGTTTTTATTAATTGTACATATAAATTCTCTTTTTACAAACTTTATAATTACTATTCTTGATAGGATCTGGATGTACTAGCTGGTCCCTTACTCATTCGAACTGCAGATACAAATAAATTTCTCCGGGCTGACAGTAATGCTGCACTGGATTGTATGGTGGAACACCTTCCTCCCAATCGAACCATTGTCATGATCGTAAATCATGGTGCCACGTGAGTATTTTTATGAACATTATCCTTTAAAAACTAATTCTTTAAATACTAATCCTTTTTGTCTATGAACAACAAAGAATTGAAGCCTATTTAATACTAAAGTTATAGTTAATTTTAAAGGCTGGAATCAAGTAATTCATTCTAAAGGTTGGCGTTAAGTAATTACTTCTAAAATTGATTAAATCTTTAAAGGCACCAAAACGCAATTGTTCGTGCAGCGACAGCAAGACTTTTGTGCGCAGTTGTTGATCGTATAGGGCCCGATTATGTAATGCTTCTACCTCGAGATGTACGGGACAAGTTACTGAGCACTGGAGCTAAACTTCTGATAGATGGAAATCTTAACGCTAGGTGAGGTTTCATTACTATACAATAATTATTAAATTAGAAACAATTTATGAAATTATAAATAAACTATTAAAAGGAGATGCATTAATATTCCTTCGGTCACTAAATGTATCCGCATAAAGATTTACCTGATATTTCTTATCAGTTATAAACTTTAGAAGTTCATGCATCACTAGGTCATGTTAAACTTACCAACATCAAAACCGAACGATTTATAAATCCTTGTTAAAACTTAGTTTTAATTACTAACGTTCCAATTACAGTTTCTAAAATTTTTATGAAGCTCTTATAGAATTAAATTTCGGATTTCTGTGGTCGAACAATATTAAGTTTCGCGCTAGCTAGGAACTAACTGCAAAGTAAGGGAGCATCCTACTTTAGGACGCACAGTGGAGCCAGGAAGCCTATTTTGCGGTATAAAAACAAATATTTGTCGAATCAGGCTAAAAATCCTAACTTGGGGTTTTAGAAAGGTATTAGAAATTATTTCATCATCAAACGAAAGACGAAAGTTTTAAATACTTTTGAATTCCTTTTTTGTCCGCTAGATATGAACAATTCTATTAAGGCAAATTCTTCTGTAAAGCGAATCCTTTTCAATGCTCAAAGTTTACAATATTAAAGTGCATACTTTTCAATGCTCAAAGATTACAATATTAAAGTAAATACTTTTTAATCACTTTAAGTGGAATAAATTTATGATCTGAGTTGTTAGAAATATATCCTTCAATAGTTTGTTAATGTTGATAATGTATATGATCTTGGGAAGGTAAGATTTAAATAAGAATTCAAAAGTGTGTCGTTAAAAGAGCGACGTTTTGTTGGCTAGGGTTTGCCAACCTCATCTGGCTAAATTTTGTTAGAACATCGAACACATGCTAACACGTCAAAAATTAAAAAGTTTCGTCAAAATATAATAAAAAAATCGTTCCACATTTATAAGAATAAAATTTAACAAATTTATGATCTGTCTAATTCCTTTTAAATCAAATGCTTGTTGGTGGACAACTAACAATATTTGTGTATCTCCTTTCAACTGTAATTGTAACATTTATCAATGTATTGTAAAATATTCCACAGGAATCATGCTAAAGAAATATTCCGACGACTCATTCACTGCGAGGGATTCAAGAAAGCATTAAAGGAAGCTGTACCGGAATCAACATTACGTAACATTGAAAAAACTCTTAGGTCTCTTTAGCATATAGATGAACATTTTTAAGACCATTTTTAAATTCATTTGTTATCGCGATATATTAAAATAGAGTGTGATTTTAAAAGAAATAGAGATTTTATCATACTTGATGATTAAATGCACATTTGTTTGTAATCTTCCACTTTACTTGTGAAACGATAGGCATGATTGAAATCCGAGAAACTCGCATGAATGAAAAATAGAGTTGAATTCTATTCAGGTAGGATAAAATTTTAGTTTTTCATAAGAATAATAATATTGAAAAGAAATCTGGTTATACAAATAAAAAACATTTGTAAGACTGGAAAAAGTTGAGATAAAAATTAACGAATAATTTATTTCAACAAAGACTGGTTTAATAACTCTTAAAGATTTTAACTCTATAAATAGTCTTTTTGAAAATGTAAACATAATCAGAGTGCCTTTATAAACTGTCGAAATTTGATTTTCAATTTTCTGTAATATTTTTTTATCAATGACGCTTTAACGTCTAACATTCTTTCTAAGAAAATTAGTAGAAAAGTCTGAAATTAAACGGTAACATTGACTGACTTTCAAATGTTATTTGAAAAAAAAATTACAAATGAAGAAATTTTAAATGAACAATAATTTTCATGCAATTACACAGAAAGGTTTTTAAGTTCATATATGAGTAGGAAAATCGTGCATTTATATATAAACAAGATTTTTAACATTTTTTCTAAATTACCCACACTGAAGTTTGAAATTGAAAATCATTTTAAAAATTTTATTTCCTAAGCTCGATAATGTCCTCCAAACACTTGTAGGATTTTGAAAAATTACTCACATAGGAAGTGATGTTTCGGAAATATTTTATCGAAAGGTGTGCTTCGAAGGAAGTCGGTAGACGAACTGACTGAAAACACTGGGAGAGAGGAACTTATAAAGCTTCGCGTCAGCTCGACAAGGGCGAGTGGTGGGGGAAAGAGGGCGACGCGTCTTGTGTGCGCCGTCGTCATTCTCTCTCTGGCTGCGAGCTGTACGTGACTAGGATGGCTATGCCATATAACAACCTTTCATTTACTTTGCATTAAAATATTTCAAATATATATAAAATTCTGTCTGGAAGCATCATGAATTATGTGAGTAATATTTCAAATTTTTTTAAACAAGTGTAATTATAATAGTCCAATTTAAAACTAATATAAATTATTAATATTACTAAATAGATAACATTTATTTAAAATATTACATATTTTCTGGTCTAATGATTATAACTATTACTTTTATGAATTTAGTTCAAATATTTGCATTATTTATTAATTAAATTCAACGACCAATATTGACTTGTAAATATTATAAAATCATGAATTCGCCGCATTGATTTTTGCGCACAATTTCATATCATTTACTTTCATTAACAGGAATAAGAAAAATTTATTAATTATATATTAATTTAGTAAAATTTACTCTATCTTTTAAAAATAGTTTCTGCCGATTAGAGAAAAATAATTATTCATTTCTCAGTCGGGAATGTTTTTTATTTTTCTTTCTATTTTCTGAATTACAAATACAATTTTCTAGTCAAAACTTTTTGATAATTTATTGCATGTTAAAATTTTTAATAATTTATTTATTTACAATATCTATTCATTTATTGTATAATGTGTAATATAATTAAAGATTTATTTTTATTGTTAAAATATTTCTATCATTTTTTTTTACCGGGACATAATTGTGATGTAGATTTATAAAAATTATATGTTTCTAGGGCAGTGTTAAATTGAAAAATAATTTTATTATATAAATCCCAACATAGAATGTAAGGTGAAAAATATTTCGAGAAAGAATTTTGTATATGAAAAAAAATTATATATTCTTTTAATGGAGATTCTCCCATTAAGAGCTTCATCGACTCTATAAAATGAGTCGTAAGAAGTGAGAAAATTTTTTGAAATAGTGCCGAAAAATTTTACACATATACTAAAAGGATTACATTGCTTTTGGCAATGGTTTTTATTCCTGAAATTAGATAATTATTTTTTCTTTGACAATCAAATGAAAAATATTCTTTGAAGAATGAGAAATATTTTTGAAAAAAGGAAAAGTTTATGAAATTCAAAAAATAAATTATTATAACAATTGAAATAGTACTTATTTTGTAAAAATTCTTTTTTAAAAAAATTTGAAATGTAAAATTTTATTTTTATCTATTCACGAAGTAAGGAGTTGAAAATCTAGAAAAAGGCAAAATGGAAAAATCTCCTGTTATTAAGATTGAAAAAATAATGTTTATCGATCATTTTAAAATTTTATTACTTCGTTATCGTATGTTGAGATTAAATTATTACTATTGTTATTGATAAAAAAAATGAAAATTAAAAATAATTTTTTTTTTTTTTTGAAAGTATTAAGGGATGTATAATTATCTTAATTAACTAAATCAACATATTGATGTCAAGATAATGAATGAAAATTATTCGAAAGATTTATATTTGCTATAGACAAACTTATGTATTTTGTTTTCGGAATATATTATAATGTATATTATATACGATTGATAAAATATAGTCCATGTTTTACATATTTGGTTTTATTTATTAATATTATTTATTTTAAAAATCTGACCACTAATACCTTTCTAAGTGAAATGAATTTAAAATAAACAATTGAAAGTTTAATTTTTACACTGAAAATTTGATTTGACATGTGCATCAACTTTATGTGAACCAATTTTAAGTCACATTTAATTATTATTGAAGAGCTGGAAAAAAATGATAAATGAAACGGAATTTCCTTCATCTGCTTCTGATGATACGGAAATTGTAATACTTATTAATACTATTGAAAATTTTGTAAGTTTATAATTACAATTCAAATCAATTTCTATTATTAAAAGATTGTTTTAATTTCATTACTTTAATTCTTTAATTGACTTTCTATTTATTCTGTGTACTTGAAATTAACCTAGGAACAAAAACCATCATTTATAAAAATAATAGTCGAGCATAATTCCATTACGCTGGGAATAAGTTCTCCGATATTATTAAATACTGACCAAAATGATAAATCTGAAATTAACTTCAGTGTTAAATTGACAGTATCTTTAGATGATTGGGAAAATATTTATAATCTTGTTTCAAATCCGATTCTAGGTAATAATAAATGATCCTAAATTATAATGTAATATTTGTCTTAATAAGGAGCTTTACTAAAAATTTTATTTTCATAAAAAATTATTTTTTTTTTTTTTTGAAAACGAAATTTAATAAAATAGAAGGAATGGAAAAGTAATTTTATTTCTAGTAAAAGTATTCGAAAGTTCAACTCCGGAAGTAAATTTGCATCAAAATAATTTATTGACAGCAGAAGTTAAAAATTTGCTAAATCTAAAAATTGGAAATAAGTCTGAGAACCTGATTGGAATGAGCTGTCTTGATATACAACCTATTCTTTTAGGTAAATATACGGTTTGAATCTGTAAACTTAAATTAACCAAAAGCTTAGTTTCAGGTATTCGAACTGAACTTATATACTAAATAATTATATAATTATATAAATATATTATATACTATGTAAATAATTATTAAATTAAAATACTAAATTAAATGAAGCATGTCAGGTATTTTTTTAAAAATAGGATAACGATCCCGCAAAATTAAACAGTATCCTACAGACCTTGGCAGTTTGATGCCTCCCCTAATTAGAATTTAGAGCCATCTTAAAAGCTCAATTTTAACAATAAATAAATTCTGGTTTGATGGTGGCAGCGGTGGGATTTTCCTACACGTCACCGCCCTGCTTCGTTAAAAATTATTTTTCATTTTTAGGAGAAAAAACTATTTCTGAAAAGTTAATTGTTGAAGCTCCTGTTATTTCTTGGAATAGTGCTGCGGTATCTTGGCGAAATCTTCCCATACTATCAGCTACGATAACTCAACTGGGTCCTAATTTATTATCAACAGATGTTAACTATTTGAACATAACCGTAGAGAATATCTACAATCTTCCCCCGTCATTTACCAACTCCTTAGAGTATAAGTGTGGCACTATTATTTATGTCGATGGTGAAGTATGTATCCTAAACTGTTAGGTTTAGTAAAACTAAAAATTCAAAAAATTAGCCATTAATAAATTTAAAATTCAGATAACTAAAGATGTGATATTTGAAAATGGAAAATGGAAGAAATTCCATGACGTTGAAGGAAAGAAACAGTGGAGAACATTAAGTAACTTGGAAAGTAGAGCGAAATTTACAAAATACGATATTAATCCCAATTATGACGATGTGCAAAATAAAAGTGGAATAGACTTACAGGTATTATGACTAATCTTCGATTAATATCAGTCTGATTTTACTGACAACTGTCAGTTATGATTAATTACTATAAGTCTGATTTATTCTAGAGACGCACAAAAATTGATGTGATTTACACTAATATACTTAATAATATGATTATTGATTAATATTAGCATTTGTCTTTGAAAATCTAGAAAATCGTAAATGCAGATGTTCCTAGAGTGGAATGGAATTATGTTGACCGTCACTTAATAAGAACAACAGGCGTTCATGCTATGCAACAACATATTGAAAAGTAATTTTATATATTTACTCGGAAAATTAAATCTAGATTTATTTGGACCCGTAACAAAAAGCTTTAGAATTCGTAGATTACATTCTGACATTTTACCCTCTTCTGTGACTTGAAGACAACATGTTTGTGTACAACTGTCTTGAAACGGTTTTTATCTAGGTCTGTGCTATGATGATTCAGCTAATTTTTTTGCCAGCTTCTTGAATTTGGGTCAAACTTTGCCACAGCTAGGGATATCAGTTTTAGAAGCATTACTGAAAATAATTGCAACTATCTATAAATATGATTCCCATTCTTGATTGTCATGTTGACGTTCTTTTGGACCTCTTCTGGACTTTAGAATTTCGCTGATTTCTTGTACCATCTTCAAAATCGATGCTACTTCTTCTACCTACAGCTTTATGCATTTGATTTTTGTTACTGTTAGCGATGTCAACTTCAAAAGCACTACTAAAACAAGAATTGCTACCTAGAATAGTCTGTCATTTTTAATTATCATGTTTACATTCTTCTGGACCTCGAAGGACTTCAGTATCCAGCATTCCTGATTGTTTATCTAGCTTTATGCATTTGTCCTATAATCTTTGCTGAAAATTACAGAAGCATTACTGAAAAGAAAACAGAATTGCAAGTAGCTGCACTTAGTTGCTTTATGCATTTGTCATATAATGTTTGTTACTATCAGCAGTGATAATTACAGAAGCATTACTGAAAATAGAATTGCAAGTAGCTAGACATAATTCCCATTCTTAATTGTTATGTTGGACGTTCTTCTGGATCTGGAGGCACTTCAGCATCAAACAGTCCTCATTGTTAATAGTAACAAAGATTAGGACAAAGGCATAAGCATTTGTCCTAATCTTTGTTACCATTTGTTATATCAATTTTAGAAGCATTACTGAGAACAGACTTGCAACCAGCAAGAATAGATTATCATCCTTGTCATGTTGATGTTCTTTTGGACCTCACAGAATTTCAGCATTTCACTGACCTCTTCTTCGATCTTCAAAATGAATACCACCTAATTCTTCCTTTAACTTTTTAACATTTGTTCCAAACTTTGTTACAGCTAGAGAAGTTAATTGCAGATGCTGTACTGAAAACAGAATTGCAACCAGTTATATTTTATTGTCATTCTTGATTATCATAGTGATGTTCTTCTGGGCATCACAGAACTCCAGCATCTTGCTGATAGTTTCTCCCATTTTCAAAATCTAAGCTATATCTTCTGCTACCAAATTGTTCATCTAGTTTTATGCATTTGCCCTAATCTTTGCTACAACTATGTCAATTTTAGAAGCATTACTGAAATCAAAAAATATTCTTAACATGTAAACAATTTTTTTGTTCTTCAAAGATACAGATACTGGCCCTTTGAAATAATGGTCCGTGATAAAAATTTTGAAGACGGAAAAGAAAAATCAGAAAATAGAAACGAACAGCTTTATCAATGTTACGTTGACTTAACCCAACTTCTTTATCCTGAAAGTATGTTTTCCTATATAGTGTATCTAAAAAATTTTAATTCTTACAAATATCTAGGAAAGAATTTTCAAATACCACTAATGCTTATTTCAATAATTTTAAGTAATGATCACTAACAGAAACACGAGTTCGAGCAATTGCTGAATTATTTACGCATAACGTCTCTGAGATGCGGCGAAAAACAGGTTTTAACCGAAACATTTTTCCAACGGATTCGCAAGAAATGGTGATGGATGAATATAATGAGGATGTGGAATTTATTTTGAAATCGAATACCAGTAGCACTGTAAATTTATTAAAGTTATTAATTTAGACGTAGCATATAAATTTTAGGTTTACATTTCGTTTTTACAACTTTTTTTTACATGTCTTTTTACTTTATTTAACGTCCAAATTTTTTTTCATTCAAATTTTATGAAACTTGGTACCCAGGGGTTTTCGGGGTCGCTGATTACGAATCTGATGTTAGATTTTCAAAATTAAAAATGGCAGATCCAATACGGCGGACCGAAATTTTTAAATTTGATAAATTCTTATAAAACTTGGTATCCAGGGATTTTCGGGAACGCTAATGTTAGAATCTGATGTTAGATTTTCAAAATTCAAAATGGCGGATGCAGTTTCTAAAATTTGTTAAACCGACAGTTTTTCGTTAGAGGGGAAAAAAATTATATTATTCCGTTGTAGGATTATTAATATTAAATTATTTTAAATTAATGTTAAACATTTTTAGAGGTTTAGAGGGGACAAAAAATTATATTTCCGTTCTAAGATAAATAATATTAAATCGTAATATTAAGTTACTTCAAATTAATGTTAAATTACATATTTCAAATTAATTTTAAATTATTCAGCAAAATTTAGAAATACCAAATAATGACAAAAACTCAAGTTTCCCATTAACAAACGAAAATGGTGAATCGACGTTCATTGTGATCGAATTTGAATTACATGAACCCTTTAAAAAATCATGTTCCATTGAAGATTATTCAAAAGAGTAAGATCTTTATTGAAAATTATGATAAATTGAACTTTTATTTAAAAATAACAAGCTCATATTTTGTCTTTGAAAAAATGCAGAATATTGGAATTAATTCAAAACAAAAGACCTCTTCGTCCTCATATTTTAACGAGTCATTTAGCGGAGGATCAATTTTCGGATTGTATTAAACAACTCGTTGAAATAATAACGGAAAGATATCAGGTAAAAAACTGTAAAAAGTATATTAGGTTGTCATTAGAAGATCATTATAATAATCATTTTCTTCTTATAGAATTACGTTGATAAAAATAAGAGAAAAGAAATAAGGGAGCAGAGAAAAATTGCTACCGAAAGAGCCGGATATTCTCGTGATAATGAGGGAAAATATAAAAATTCTAATTTTGATTGTTGTTACCATTATATATCTGTAAGTTCTCGAAATTAATTATTAATTATTTATAAATTTAATTACTTGAATAAATCTATATTAATAATCTTTGTATTCCGGAAATCAGTTCGCAGTTTGAAGTTAGTTGTTGTTTGCTTTTTTGTTTTGTAAATTTTTTAATAATTTTTCTTTTTTTAAATATTTAAAATTTTTAAATTAATGTCATGAAAATCATTGAATTCTTGCAAAGAATTTTACAATTTACAAAAATAATTGATAATTGTTTTGAAGAATTTTATCATAATTTTTTAATATAATTGAATGTTTTGAAAGAATTTTGTTAAAAATTTTGAAAATAATTGTATTTAATCGAAAACTTTTATTAAAACGTTTAAAATAATTAATTTTTCTTAAAAATTATAAAAACTGGTGAAAATAATTAAATCTTATTTAATATTTTTAAAAATAATTGTATTCTTTCGAGAAATTTTATACTAAAATTGAATTAAAAATAATTGAATTCCTCCGAAGAATTTTATTATTAATGAAAATAATTGAATTCCTTTGAAGAATTTTATTATATTTATGAAAACAATTTAATTCCTTCAAGGAATTTTATTATTTATGATGAAAATAATTGAATTCTTAAGAAGAATTTTATTAAAATTTAGAAAAAAATTTAATTGAATCCTTTCATGAAATTTTATTAAAATTGTATTGAAAATAATTGAAATAATTGAAATAATTAAATAATTAAATTCTTCCGAAGGATTGTTATTATTTATGAAAATAATTTAAATTTTTCGAAGAATTTAATCAAAATTTGTGTATATAATAGGATAGTTAAATTCTTTAATGAAATTTTATTTAAAATTGTGGAAAATTAGTTTTTACCTAAATATTCTATAAAAAGAAATTTTATTTTTCAAGAATTTTATTAAAAAATAGTCATAATTAATTTTTTTTAACAAATTGTATAATTTTCTAGTTTTTATAGAATATAAAGTAATATTTTACAAGAAATTTCTTAAAAATTTGGAAAATAATTGAATTTTTGAGATTAAATCAATTTCAGAATTATTTTTTAATTATTTTCTAAATAATTGAATTTTGTAATTAAAATTGAAATTTCTTAAGTTATAAAGAAGATATTTGAATGTTTTTCAAGAAATTTATTAAACGTTTTGAAAATTAATTAATTTTTTAAGGAATTTTACAGAAAAAAAGATTTTTAAAAAATTAAGGAATTTTTTAATGAATTTTACAGAAAAAAAGATTTTAAATAACCAAAAGGAAACGAGAGGGAATCAATTAAAATAATTGAATGTTGGCAAAGACATTACTATTTAAAAAAATAATTGAATTCTTTTGTGAAATTTTAATAAAATTGTATTGAAAATAATTCTACTCCTACGAAGAATTTTACTATTTATAAAAATAATATTTAATTCTTCCGAAGAATGTTATTATTTATGAAAATAATTGAATTCTTTGAATTATTTTAAAATTTTTAAAATATAAACAATCATAAATAATTATGTACCTACCTAATAAGTGAATTTTTTAAATTTTGATTATGAAATTTCAAATTATTCAAAAATTTAAATTTGAAAATAAAAAGTTTTTTAATTTGCATAAATAATTTTGCTAGTTAATAAAATAAATTAGAGTGAATTTCAATTCAGAGACTTTGTATAACGTCAAAAGACCAATTTTTAAAAATAACTAAAAATATTTTACAGTATTTTGAAATATTATTTTTTAGGACGATCTTCAATGTTTTGTACAACATCTACACAATGCTGGAGAATACACTGACATTCGGAATACATTAAAGAATAAAATTGTTACTCTACTGGATCAAAAATTCCCCAGTGATATGTACAGTTGGGACACAAAGGAAAGTCAAGTAAGTACAATGTAAAAAAAATTTCGATTAAAATATTTATTTTTTTTTGTTTACAAAATATAAAAATTTTTTAACATTTCTTTGAATTATAATTTTTTGTTCATAAAATAAAAAAGTTTTCAACTTTTGAATTATAATATTTTTATAATATTTAATATAATAGGTACTAATAATATTAATTATAATATTATGATAATGTAATCTTTTGAATTATAATATTTGCAATTAAAGAAACATAAATTTTCAAATGAACCGTTATTCGAAAAAAAATATATTAACGCAACTGCGAATTGACATTATTTTTGTTTCCAATTTATAATTCATTATTATTTACCATTAATATTAATAATATCCAAATTATTTTTTCTCTAAAAAAATATAAAATTTTTAATAAGTAATAATAAAGAGGGTAAAATTTTCAAAGTCGGAAAATAAAAAAAATTTGAGGAAATGAATTTTTTAAATTCATTGAAATGAAGTTATTTTGAAATAACTTTTTTTTTTGTGAAAGCAGTTTCTAAGCGTTTAAATTTCTATACATTTTACAACTTCGTTGAGCGTCCCACTCTTTTGCTTGATTAAAAGCTCTTCCAAATTCTTGGACGAATTTTCTCTCACTTATCAGTTTCATTGTTGAGCGATCCATAAAAGTTTTACACGCAATACCTGCAAAAAAAAAATTGTTTGATTTATTCTAATAAATTTTAGTTGTTAAATTTTTAAATTCTAAATTACACTGAAAAAAATGTATTTGATTCAAATAATTAATTATTAATTATTATTAAATGAATCTTTACTTCAATCAAATAATTTTTTCAGGGCAATTAAATAGTATTTGCTTCAAATACTAAAATTGATTTAAATAAAATTTATTTGATTCAAACGAATGTTTATTTGATAATGAGCAAATAATCGGTTTACCGAATCAAATAAATTATTTTTCAATGTATTTTTAGTTATTATTTTGAATATTTTAGTTATTTTAATTATTATAATTGAATATATTTTTATTATACACTGAAAAAAAAATTTATTTGATTTAAATTAACGATTATTTGTCAATAAAATAATGTCTATCAAATAAATATTTATTTTTTTGATTTAACCCAATTAAATGGTATTTGCTTCAAATACTGAAATTATTGATTCAAATACAATTTATTCAACTTCGATAAAAATTATTTGATTCAAATAAATTTTTTTCAGTTTAAAAATGCTTTTATTGTACCTAATAATATTTTTATTGTAATATTTTTGTTATTTATTTATTATAATAATTTTTTTATAATATTTTTATTATAATAGAATAATATTAATACTGTAAATTAATATAAATACCTTGAATGCATTTACAAAATTCTGTCTCTTTGATAACTAATTTATTGGGGACTTTTCTAAGAGCTGTAAATCTTTTACAAATTTCCTTAGACAAATATTTTTTTATAATATCAGTTAAACTTCTATTCAATGGCAATTGATGATCTATTAATGGATACATAGATGCAATCTGAAAAATAAATAAAAACCATAAAATATACAAACATTTTTGATAAATGGATAAATTTCAAATTTCACATAAAATTTCTACTTACAAAATCAGTTCGATATTCTTCGTTCAATTTTAAATTGTTATTGAAAGTTTCAAATTTCGATCTTTTTCTGAATGGAATTTTGAGGTTGTACTTTTTGATGAAATCTTTTTCCGTTAACCGGAAAGCTGCCACTTTTTTTATCATCGAAATTACCTGTTTGTAGTCATTTTCGATTGCTTTTAATGAAGCATGGATTTTTCGTAATTTCATTAGTTCCGTGTCTGAAAAATAAATTATTAATATTATTCATTATTAATAATAATTACGCATGTATTTCAAAATCTACCAATTTTTAAGAAAAATAGAAAAATTCGAAAAGAAGAAAAATTTATTTTCTATGACTGATTTTATTTTATAACCTTTGAATTCCTCTAGAAAAAAAATATTGTTATATAAAATCAATTCTATGGAATATTGAAATTATTTTCTTGATATAATTAAAAATACCCTTTGTCTTAATTATTAATTATTAATTACATGAATGTAATTTAATATAAATTATATAAATAAATAATATAATATATAAATTATTAATTATTATTACAGTTCGTTATTTGGAAAAAATGATCAATAATTATAAAAAATTTTAATATACCTTCGTCCTGAATTTCCGTTTCTGAATTATTTGTCTGTGTTGAAGCATGGACCTTTCCATTTTCTAAATTTGAAGACGAACTTGATTCACTTAACAATGAATCCAACGATATTGTCGAGGAATGTCTCGAAATTAGCTGAACTGGATCATTTTGTGTTAAATTTAATTTTACACGTTTAACATGATTCGTATTCTCATTAGTAATCGTAGTATTTGTCGTAGTTTTTGATTTTTCATTTTTTGATAAATTCACATTATCATCATCATCCGATGATGATGATGACGATGAATCATCACTACTCGATACTACTCGAGAATTTCGCTTATTCTTAAGAACTTGATTAGAATTTGTTTTCTTCTGTTTGTCAACAACAATTCGCTTATTTTTTCTGTGCTTCTTACTCTCACGTTTTCGTTTCCCATTTATCAATGTTGTTTCAGATTCTGATGACGATGAACTACTAGAATCACTCGATTCTTTCATTGGTTTTGGTTCATCGTCCGATGAATGATCCGATGAGCTTATTATTGTTATTTCAGCAATTGGTTTGTTATCTTCCGGTTTCTTAGGAGTTACTACTACCGGAGGTACAAACACCAATTTGACATTTGGTCCCAGAATTGCTTGTACATCTGAAATGGTATTAAAAGAATGTATGTAAAAATTAATGTATATAAATTTATTTCTTTTTTTTCTAAATTTACTCAATAAAAAAAATGAAACAAATTTCGCAAACGCAACATAGAGAAAGAAAAAAAAAGTTAACCTCTTTCTACGGAACGTGAAGGCGAAGGTATCGGCGATATCGGTTCAATTTTCTCTACCGTCTTAAGTTCTTCTTGTTGACATTTCTCTATTGTGTCACTTTTTCTTTGCTCATTACTAATTTGCTCTCTAATTGTTAACCCTCGTCCTTGTCCTTCCTCGTTGTTATTCATTTTCGTAAATTTATCACAAATTCACAAAAATCTTTTATTCACTTCAGTCGACTTTGAATCTATAACCAAAATTCGATTAGAATATTTTGTGCGAAATTTTACGCGTCGCGGAACTCGCTGGAACTTGCGGAGATAGCCATTTGTTTTTTTCGTCTGCTACTCATCAAAAAAGGAAGTAAGAGGAATTATAAATTCAAAAAATGTTTAGATTGTCAATGATAAGATTTTTATTATCAATTAGTTATTAATAATGAATTATTAATAATAAATAACAATAAGAATAATAATAAATAATAATAATAATATTAATAAATTAATAAATTAATATAAACTTGAAAAATAATAAATTAAATTTATATAGGTATTTCGTGAATAATTCCGGGAAAATTCAAAAATTATATAAAAAATCAAAATAATAATTAATTGAAATTAGATATTTCGTGAATAATAAAATTATATAAATATAACAATAAAAATAATAATTAATAGAAATAACAAATAACAGCAAATAATATAAATATAATATAATGTAATATAATATAATAATAAATAATAATAAATTGATAATAATTTTTTTTTATTTAGAACCACATAGCAGAATCATATGTGTATTTAGTAGAACGTCTAAACTTGGTTCTAAATAGTATAGTTGAAAATCAATCCTTAATGAAAACGTCCGAAATGAGGGAAATGGAAAATTTCTATTTGTACGCAGAAGAAGCTTATTTTTTGGAAAATGTTGATGAAGCGAAAAATTATTATTCTACAGTAGGTTTATTTCTTTTTTGCATTTAATAATAATATTTAGTTATAATATTTAATAATAATATTTCAGTATTAATTAAAAAATCTAGCCTAACAAATCTAAGTAAAGAAAAAAAAATTTTTAAATATTATTTGAGAAATAATTAAAAAAATAAAATTAAAACAAGTTTAAATATTTAAATACTATTTGCGAATTTTTTTTTTTAGCTTGATTTTATAGACTCTTATTATTTATATGTAGATATTGGCAAATAACACAAAAGATCCAAATGCTTGGATTAATTATGCTATTTTTTTGAAAAAAAATTCGGAAACCGAGAGAGCACTTGAATGTTCGAAGGAAGCAATCGCTTTGAATAATCAACACAAAATAGGGTAAAATTAATTTTTGTTAAATTTCTTTAAAATGTAGAATTTCCTTTCTGTAAATTTATTTTTTTTGTAGATTTTCCTTTTTGTAAATTTTAATTTTTGTAGAATTTCCATTTGGCAATTTTTCTTTTTTGTAGAATTTGCTTTTTGCAAATTCCATTACTTTTTATTTTATAGAATTCTCAATTTTTAACTAAAATTCTTCTCATAATTCAATTATTTTTTATAATTTTTGAGAAAGTTCCTTGAGAAATCAATTATTTATTAAAAAAAAAAGAAAACTTCATCTAAAATATTTCTGAAATCCGCACTTGTATTTACAATATTCAATTTCATGAAATTTGAATAATTTTGAATATTTTTCAATTAAATAGAATATTCAAAAATACAACTAATTTATTAGGAAAAATTTAAATAAAAATGTTTTAAAAAACTAACTTCTTCAGAATTTTCAATTAAAATTCATCTTTTCTGAAACTTCAATTAAAAAATTTTTGAAATTCAATCTATAATTAATAATATTAGTAATAATATTAATTTAACATTCTCCTATAAAAAAAAGAATTATTTATAAATTATTGTAGGAAAACTAATTAACATTAATGCGAAATATGTTTTTTTAAAATTTATTTTGTAAGAAAAAAAGAATTTTATTTATTTTAATGTCTCGTTATGATAATTTTGTATGTTAATATGCGAAATTTTTTCTATTTTAAAAGAAAACTTATTTTATATTATTTTTGGTAATTTTTCATAATTTTTAATCTGAAATAATTTACTATTTACACAAAATTTTATTAAAATTTTTGAAAAAAAATTTAATAGTTTTAATGACATTTATAAAAAAATTTTGTGAAAATAATTAAATTTTTTCGAGAAATTGAATTGAAATTGTATTGAGAATAATATTGAATTCTTATTTTACAAAAAAAAATTTTTAAATAATTGAATTCTTTCGAGAAATTTTATTAAAGTTATAAATAATTAGAATTTCTACGAAGAATTTTATTATCTGTATGAAAATAATTGAATTCTAGCAATTTTTTTGACGAATTTAATTAAAATTGTATTAATTATAATTCAATTTATATATAGAATTTTATTAAAATTTATTAAAAATAATTGAATTCTTTCGAGAAATTTTAATTTTCTTCGGAGCGCGGAACATTTAATTTTTTTTTATAAAATATTTTTTTTAGAAATTTTTAATTTTCAAAAACTATATTCATTTCTCAAGAAAAATGATTTAAATGTTAATTAACTAAAACAGACTATTAATGTGCGGTTTGATTCTCGTATCACTACAAAAATATCGAGAGGCAAAAGTATTTTTAGAATCACTTACTGCATTTCATCCCCTATTTGCCGAGGGTTGGATTATTTTACATTTATTTTATCAACAAATTGAATATCATCCTGGTAACTACAATTATTTATATCTATTATAATTTATTTTTTATATTTATTTACTATAGAACATGAAAAAAAAAGTATAAAAAATCCAAATCCAGGTACGTTAAAATAATATAAATTTTTTTAAGAAGTAAAAAATTACTCTCTAAATTTGAATTAGTAAAAATGCTTAATAATTTGAATTAGTCGATTTTAATATAATAATTAGTAATTTCTAATAATTTATTAGTAAAATTTATTAATTTATTAGTCAAATTCAAAAGCAAAAAATCAGTCTGTAATTCAAATTAGTAAACATTTTTACTAGTTAAAATTTAGGAAGTAAAAACTAAAAAATAATTAATTTTTTTCCAATATACATTTATCCTTTTCTGTAGGTTTGGATGTAACTCTCAAAACTGCAGAAAAATGTTTTAAAGACAAGAAACGAGACAATGAAATTTCATTGCCATTTTTTAATCAACCCTTAACTTGGTCAATGAGTTTTTGTAAAGAAAATGATCCTTACATTGTTACCGCAACAATGCTCTTGAAATTGAATCTCTATGAAGTAAAATAATTTTAAAAATATTACAATTTTGAAAGTAAAAAAAAAATACGTGAGAATTTATTGTTTATTAATAAAAAAAAAATTCAAAGTTCGCAGGTTTGGCTTTATCTCAAGAATTATCATTAAACGGAAGATCAATTCCCTTTTTATATTATTTAAGTGTCAATTACTTTTTACAAAATCAACACGAAAGCGCGATTTCACATTTAAAAGAAATTGAAAGCAGTTATGGTTCGGTATAACAGCATTATTATATTTTTGAGGAAATTAAAAAAAAAATAAATAAAAATAAATTAAAAATGAAATTCTTCATTTTTAATTTATTTTAATTTATAGTAATTAAATTTAAAAAAGTAAAAATTGAAACTATTGAAATAAATTAAAAATATATTTGTCACTAGTGAAAGAAATTAAAAATTATCTTGTAACTATTAAAAGAAACATTAAAAATTAAATTAAATATCTATATCCCTTTAGGATTTTTCAACAAGCTCGTTGACCGGTCACTGTCTCTACAAATCAGGCAAAATTGAAGACGCTCTAAACAATTACGAATACGCTAATGTTACATTTAATCGACCAAATAATATACACTTTGTTCATTTACTGTAAACCGAAAATTTACAATTTCTTTAAAATTTCGTACAATTGTAATTCAAAGAGAATTTAAGGAAAATTTTAAATATTTCAGAATGGGATCTTGTTATGTAAAAAAGGAAAATTACGATTTGGCGAGAAAAATTTTTTTACAATTGTGTAAAATTTCTCCCACTTGTGAAACATGGCTCGGCTTGGGAATTGCATTATATCACGTATGAGTTAATTATTTATTTATATAATTAAAGAATTACATTTAATTAATTAAAGAATTTATTAATTATTTATTATAGTATTTACCTATTATTTATTAATTCTACTAAATTAATAAATAATAAATACTAAAATATTAAAAATAAAAAAAATATTAATTGAATTCTTACGAAGATTTTTATAAAAAATTTTTTAAATAATTGAATTCTGTTTGGAAATTTTCTGAAAATAGTAGATATTGAAAATAATTGAATTGCGAAAAGTTTTTAAAAATAATTAAATTTTACAAAGAATTCTATTTAAATTGTTGAAAATAATTGAATGTCTGTGTGGCATTTTAATACATTTTTTTGAAAATAATTGAATTCCTAAAAAGCATTTTATTATTTACGAATAATTGAATTCTTGCGAACGATTTTATTAGAGTTTTTCAAAATAAGTGAATTTCCAAGACAAAATTTATTATTTTTAAAAATAATTAAATTCTTGTGAAGAATTTTATTAAAATCTAAAGGAATAATTGAATTATTTCAAAAAAATTTAATTCAAATTTTATTTAAAATAATTTATTTCTTTCGAACAATTTTCTTAAAATATTTGAAAATAATTGAATTCCTGTGAAAAATTTCAATATTTTTGTAAATAATTGAATTCTTCCAAAGAATTAAAAAAAAAGATATTTTAAATAATTGATTTTTTCGAGGAATCGAAATTAAATTTTTAAAAATAATTACATTTTTCGAGCAATTCCTGTAAAATTGTATTGAAAATAATTCTAGTCCTGCGATGAATTTTATTAAAATCTTCAAAAATAATTGAATTCCTGAGAAGAATTTTATTATTTATGAAAATAGTTGAATTACTTATTGTGAAAAATTTTATTAAAATGTTTAAAAAGAATTGAATTTCTGTGATAAATTTTCTTACATATTTTTGAAAATAATTGAATTCTTCATAAGAATTTTATAAACATTGTTTTAAATAATTAATTTTTTTGAAATATAATAAATATTATGAAAATTTTATTTTAAATAATTGAATTCTGGTGGAAACTTCATTTGTGAAAATTATTTAATTTTTCGATTAGGTAATTGATTTAAAGATAGTGTTAAAAATAATTGAAATTTTTCGATGAGTATTATTATTTATAAAAATAATTGAATTCTTGCTTAGAATTTTATCAAACATTTTTTTAAAAAATCGAATTTTTATGAAAAATGTTGAAAGTAATTAAAATTATTGAAATTGAAAGGAATTGAAAGTAATTGAATTATTGTGAGAAATTGTATAAAAATTTTGTTAAATAATTGATTTTTTCTAAATTTTTTTGAAAATGCTATTTTAAATTAATTGAATTTGTGTGGAAATTTTATTATTTATGGAAATAATTGAATTTTTAGGTTGAATTTCATTAAAATTTAAAAGAATAATTGAATATTATTTAAAAAAAAAAATAATTCAAATTGTGTTTAAAATAATTGATTTCTTTCGGACAATTTTATTAAAATACTTGAAAATAATTTAATTCCTGTGAAAAATTCTAATATTGAAAATAATTGAATAGTTGCTAAGAATTTTATTAAAATTTTCAAAAATAATTAATTTCTTGAGAAGAATTTTATTATTTATGAAAATAATTGAATTATTGTGAAAAATTTTATTAAAATGATTAAAAAGAATTGAATTTCTGTGAAAAATTTTGTTTTCATAAGAATTTTATAAACATTGTATTAAATAATTAATTTTTTTCTAATATAATAAATATTATGAAAATTTTATTTTAAATAATTGAATTCTTGTAAAAAAATGTATTTGTAAAAATAATTGCAGTTTTCTAGGAATTCAATTAAAATTATAATAAGAAATAATTTAAATCCTACGATGAGTTTTATTATTTATGAAAATAATCGAATCTTGCTTAGAATTTTATTTAAAATTATGTTAAATAATTGAATTTTCATGAAAAATGTTATTATTAGTGAAAATAATTGAATTCCTGTGGAAATTTTTGTATTTATGAAAATAATTGAATTTTAGATAAATTTTATCAATTTCTTTTTAAAAATAATAATTAAATTCTTTTGAGAAATTTTATTGAAAATACTAGATATATTGAAAATAATTGAATCTTTTTAAAGAATTTGATAATAATATTTGAGAATAATTTTTTGATTTCTAGTAATTAGCGAATTTAAAGTAGTGGAAATTCTAAAAAAAAAACAGAAATAGTAGCTTCTAGTGGCTGAAATCTAAATAAAGTACCCAAATAGTAGCGAAGTCTGCACTTACCTTTCGGTTTCCTACTTTTATATGCGCGTCTGATGCTAAAACTGTTCTGTACCAATTTCTCTTAATTTTAATTAATTTCTTTTATTTTATTATAAAAATAGAAAAACTAGGTATTAGAAAATTAATAACTAAATTTCTTTCAGAAAAATCAATTAAAGGAGGCCGAGATGGCTTTTAACGAGGCGAATCAAATAAATTCACGTCATGCAGTCGTTTGGGGTTATTTGTGCCTTTTAAATATTTCTCTTCATCGTTATGACGAATTCTCTCAATGTTACACACAAGCTTCTAAGGTGAGTTGAATTATTATATTATTATATACTTACTAATTAGTTTACTAATCACTTATTATAATTACAAATTATACTAATATAATAAATAATAATAATAAAAGAAAATAATACTCAAAGAATGGCGGATATAAAATAAAAAGATTGAAAATTAGAATAAAAATAAGAACCCATTTTTATTAAAAAAAGCACTACAGTTTTATTAACAATTTTCTTTTCCATTTTATTACAGAATAATCTTAAAAATAGTAAATTATGGCAGACTATAGAAAACGCTATGGAAAAAGTAGGTTATTTGTCACCAATATAATCACTAAAATCGCAGAAAACAAAAATAGCACATAATAAGAAATTTTTATTCTTTAACAAAAAAATTCTATTCCTTCTGAATGTTTCAAATTTTATATTTTCATCTTATAAATATAAGTATTAAATTGACAGAAGTTAAATTTATTTTTTTTTTTAATAATTTTAATTCACGAAAAATCATGAAAATTTTGAGTATATTATCAATTTTTTTTTTAAATTGTCATTTTGCCAATAATTTCAATATTAATATCGAACGAGAAAAAATTATTCTAAAAATATTTTATCACAACTACAATATCATATAACAATAAATATGTTAACTCTTTAACTTTGTAAAAAGTTATTCAAAAAGCTTTCAAGAAATTTTTCAATGTGAATAGAAAATATGAAAAATCAATTCTAAACAAAGGAAAAATAATATTAGTTATACATTTGGCATTTGGGTTTGGTATTAGGAAAAATCTATTTTTTTTATGACAAAAATTTCTGTTGTTAATTTAAAATCATATGTTTGTTCACGATATACAAATAATTTAATTTTTCGGATATTATCTTTTTGCAATATAAATAATATGTATATAAAAAAAACATTTTTTTTCGTAGACGTTGAAATTGAAAAGAAAGGGAACTGTACAAATACAACGTACTTTTTTCTTCTAATTTCCTGTCAAAAAATAATTCGCTTTTTTTCTAAATACTTATTTTTAACTATAGAAAGTTCTCTTTTGTGTTATATATTAATGAGCCAAATGTTAGTTATAAGAATATTATTCTATTATTAAATTGAAATGGATATTACTCATTTCCATATTAATATATATCACGATGCATTAAAGACAGTTTATCAATGCATTTTATAATTTATTGAAAAAATTGTTTTCTTTACAGACGATAAAAAGAAGTTGATTAATAAATTAATAATTTTTTTATTAAAAATAATTAAATAATTAAAAAATAATTTATTAATTACTGATGTTATAATAATTATAATAATTTAATAATATTATAATGTTCTGATGCAGTTTATTAATGCATGAACTTAAACAAATCTAATTTTGTTCCAATAGGCCGAATAAATACTGTTATTGCATCCGATTACCGGAATAATTTTTTTTTCTTCAATTTTTTATCATCTGTAAATATATTTTTTTTATTTCGCAATTACAAACTTTTTCTATCTCTTTTAATAATATGGCTTCGATGACTATCGAATATTACATGAAAACATAAAATTTCAGTAAAAGATTTTTCTTTTCAATTTATTTTATAACTTGAAAGAGATATACCTATCGATAATATATTTTTTTTCTTTTATATTCTACAATTATAACTAGATTAGCAATAATTATTATTAACTTTAAGGGTGTTGAACCCATTGACAAATTCTTAAATAATAATAATAATAATAAAAAAAACGTAACAATAGTCTCAATTATTTAAAAAATAAACTGAACGTGGAAAGAAATAAGTATATCTTCTAAATAAAGTATTAAACTTTTTCCTAACGAAACAAGTGATTAAAAATAATTTTAAAAAATAATAATTTTTTAATTGATAAATAAAAACAATTACTTATTAAATAAGTTAATAAATTTTATTTCACAATTAATTTACTTTAAAATAATAAAATAATGTCAAAAGAAATAAAACAAATTAGAATAAAGTTAAACAATTTTAAACTTGAGTAATAAATGAAATATTTATTCTATTAACATAATAATAAAATAAATATATTGAAAATAATAATAATAATAATAATAATAATAATAATAATAATATTAATAATAATAAAAATAATAATAAATTAATAACGTAAAAAACCTAACAAAATATTTGAATACATTTATTCAAACAAAAATAATATATTTTCTAGTTGTTTAGAAATAAATTTTCAATAAAAATATTTTTTTTCCTTCAATTTCTGACTTTGTCAATGAGTTAAAAGCCGTTAATTATTATTAAATTTTTAATAATTTATTAACTATCGACATGTGCAAAGACAATGGAAAATTTTATTTTATTACAAAATTAATTAAAAAAATTTTCATCAAAAATGAAAAACAAAAAACAAAATTTTCAATATATTGAAATGTTTCATTGACGTAGATAAATTTAAAAAAAAAATAATGAAGATATGAAATCTACTTAGTTATACTTTAGAATAAGTAATTTAACTAATAATTTAGAATAATTAACCTAATTAATAATTTATTATAATTAATTTCATTAATAATAAAAAATTATTAACTGGGATTCAATACTTTTTTTTTTCATTCTCACTGAGCAAAAATTAAACAATATTTAATAATATTTCAATGTTTCATTAAATTCTAAATTTCAGTCTTTAGAAAAAATGTAGTTTTATGTAATTTATCTTTGGAACTTTTGGAAATTAATTAATCATTAATTAATTAGTTATTAATCAGTTATTAATCAGTAATCAATCAGTAATTAATTAGTAATTAATCAGTACTTAATTAGTAATTATTCAGTAATTAATTAGTAATTAATCAGTAATTAATTAGTAATTAATCAGTAATTAATCGGTAATCAATCAATAATTAATCAGTAATTAATTAGTAATTGATCAGTAATTAATCAGTAATCAATCAATAATTAATTAGTAATTAATCGGTAATTAATTAGTAATTAATCAGTAATTAATTAGTAATTAATCAGTAATTAATTAATGATTAATCAGTAATTAATTAGTAATTAATCAATAATTAATTAATAATTAAGTAGTAATTAATCAATAATTAATTAATAATTAAGTAGTAATTAATTAATAATTAATTAATTATTAATAATTGATAATTAATAATTAATAATTAATAATTGATAATTAATAATTGATTAATTATTAATTAATTACAGTAGTGAAATGATAGTTATTCTGCAACAAAATTTTATTTGTTGGTTTCTGTGAGAATTTGAGATGAATTTGGGAAAAATACCGAACGTAATATATTTATAATCTCCTAAGGCTCATTTGTGTCGAATAAATAACCTATAAAGTACGAATTATATTATACTTAAATTTATCATCACACACCGGGTGCATTTTTCATAAAACTTTTAACAAACAATTGGCCAAGTTTTATTTTTAATATTAACTTGGTTGTTTCTTTGAAGAAATAGAGTGTCAGCCACCCCCGACTACTCGCCTGTGATTGGTGAATAGAAGGAGCATGCGCTGACGATCATTATGGCAATTCTGCAATTGCGATATAATTTTATAAAAAATTTCTCTCTCTCTCTCTCTCTTTCTCTCTAAATGCACACGAGCAAAATATAATTCAAGTTTGACAAGTTGTATGAAAATTGCATAATAATTAAAGCAAAATTTTCTTTTTCGCGTCGAAAAAGAAAATAAACTCTCGATTTTCTTTTCGAGAAAGAAAATAAAATTTCAATTTTCTTTTCGGGAAAGAAAATAAATTCTCAATTTTCTTTTCGTGAAAGAAAATAAATATTCTAAAATACCTATTCAGTAGGTAAGCAAGAGGCCTCTTTGGGAATCTCAGTACTTACAGTTTCGGTGGATTTTTTTTCCAATAATTCTTCGATAATGTCTTTGACATTTTCGTTAATTTCCGATTTTAATGTCATTTGTTCGTGATCAATTTTTGCTTCGTTGCTTTCAGTGATACAATTTTCTGTTTGGGGAGAAATATTTTTTGGCGGTAGACTTTCTTCAGTGGTGGGAATTTTTTCCGATATTTCTTCGTTGGTATTTTTAACTTGATCTTCTTGTTCGATTTCTTCTTTTTTGGATTGTTCTTCGGATTTTTTACATTCTTCTTTATTTTCTTTACATTGTTCTTCAATTTTTGTGCTATTCGGGGATATTTCACTTTTTACTGGTTCAATTTTTTCCATCTCTATTTGAACTTTTTCTATTTCTATTTCACTTTTTTCTGGTTCAATTTTTTCTAGCTCTATTTCAACTTTTTCTATTTCTGTATCCACTGTTTCGATTTTTCGTTTCTCTTGTTCGATTTTTTCAATTTCCATTTTTCTTTTCTCTTGTTCGATTTTTTCCATTCTCATTTTTCTTTTCTCTTGTTCAATTTTTTCTATTTCGCTTTCCTTTGGTTCTGTTTTTTCTGTTTCTATTTTTCTTTTCTCTTGTTCGATGTTTTCTGTTTCCGTTTCTTTTGATTCAATTTCTTCCATTTCTTTTGTTTCAGTTTCTTTTTTATCTTCAGTTATTTTCTCTATTTCTTCGTCTTCTTTTTTAATTTGTTCCATTTCTGTTTTAATTTCATTTGTTACCGTATCTTCTTTCGCAATACTTTCATTATCACTTTTCAGTGTTTCAACTTTCTCGACTTCTTCTTTCTTCAGTATTTTATTTTCTTCTAATACTTCGCAGTCTTCTGAAATTTTCTTTTTTTCTAATACTTCATTTGTTGGAGAATTAGAAAATTCTTCATTTTTTTCTCCCTCCTTATTTTTTTTCGTTTCTACACTAGTTTCCGCTTTATCGATTTTCTCCAAATCTTCTGCTTTCGTTAAAACTTCAATTTCTTTTACATTTTCTTGGAGATTTTGCATTTTTTCGTCTTCTGGTATTTCTTCACTTTCTTTTAATTCACTTTTCATTTCTTCAGCTACTACAATTTTTTTCGTCTCTATTTCTTCACTTGGAGTTAATTCCTCCTTTAGTGGAAACCTTCCTTCCGTTTCTTCTTCCTTCTCCGAATCTCTTGAAACGATCGAATCGTTGGACTGATTCGAATTTTCAGCCTCAACTATCGTAAAATTGTCAATTGTCAAACTGTCATTATTTTCGCAATGATTTTTCAAATTCTCCGCCTCATTGACATCAAGGGAAAATTGCTCGGCATCTTTTACATCAAATTTCGAAATATCGGTTAAATTTTCCGATTCTGTATTTAAATTTGAACCTTCATTGCTGTCGGTGCGACCTAAAATTTTAATCACAGTATTTTTTGCACCGTTGAGACGTTTTTGACCGCGGCCACGCGATGGAACAATGCCCTGCGATGTGGAGGTGAAGAAATGCATTTGATGACTCTGTGGCGATTTTTGCTGTTCTTTGAATTTCTTCCTCTGTGCTGACGGTGATTTTGCACTATTTTCACGCATCGGTTGCTCGTCACGTTTCACATCTTTTCGCTGAAGAAAGGGCGATTTATTATTATCCTTTCTTCTCGCTGTGAATGGACTTTTTGGAGGATTTGTTCGTTGTGTATTGTTGAAATGCGTTTTTTCGTCAAACGATTTTTGCCGATAGAAATTGTCCAGTTGATGAGTTGTAATTTCACTTTCGCCATGACTCGAATAAGTGACACGAGATTTTTGTCGTGGTCCAACTCGTCCTGTGCCAGCAATACTCGGTGCATTTACTTAAAAGAATTGTTTTTTTTATTTTAGGTGTTTTTTTTAATATTATCATTAAGTAAATCTAGCAGAAAACGAGGGGAAAAAAAGTAAAACTAAGTCTGAAAACAAAGGGAAAATAATTAAATTTGAAAAAAATATCCTACCTTTAACACTCATGACAGGTCCTTTAATAGGCATGTTACCATGATTCACAGTAACTTTAATACTCTTATCAGTGGCGACTACAGTTTTATCTTCAATTGGCGATAAGGGTCCTTTCAACAATGATTCTGAAAAATCATTTTGGTTATCGTAATGACCATGATTTCTCGGTCCATGAGAACCATGATGATTGCCTCCGCGACTCCGATTAGTGGGTTCAACTAAAAATTAAATGTTTCCACTTTATTGAAAACTAAAAACTCCAAATTTTTTCCTCTATTTTCTCGTTAAAAAAAATATGTGCAAAATAAAATTGGCACTTTGTCCATTTTCACGATTTTCAAATGTGAATTTCTAAAAATTTCTTCTTTGGAGAAAATCGAAAAAATATGGGACTTTCGGAAATAATTAAATTATTAAATTATCACTAAAAATTAAACGCATACATTTAAATACAAACCTTCGAACTGATGTCGCTTATCGTATTCCTTATAATCCCGTCTACTTGTGTCGCCCAAAGAAAATCTCAGATCTTTCTTGGATGAATCTTTCTTAATATTTACCTGTAAATTTTTGTTTCATTAAAATTAATAGTTAATTAGCAAACATTACCTGCGCAAAACGCAGTATTCAATTTATTATTATTACGCAAATTACAAAAATTTTTTATTTTCAAAAATATCAACACAAATTTTTGAAAAATTCAATTATTAATTACATAATCAATTTTATTATTACTACCTATTTATTATTTTCTAAAATTTTAATAAAATGCATCGATACAATTCAATTATTTTCAAAAATTTTTAAAAACGCAGGAATTCATAATTATTTTTTAATATACAATTTTAATAAAATTTTTCGAAAAAATAAAAATTAATTTCAAAAATTTTGATAAAATCTTTTAAAAGAATTCATTTATTTTCATAAATAATAAAACAAAGAAATCTGTATGAAAAATATTACTGTGAAAATAATTGAATTCATGCGAAGAAAAAAGATTCACATAAATTCAATTTTTATAAATTTTTTCAAAATAATTCAATTATTTTTATAAATAATAAAATAATAAAATTTTATATAAAAAATTATAATTATTTTCAGTACAATTTTTATAAAGTTTCTCGAAATAATTCAATTATTTTCATAAAATAAAATAATGAAATTTTATCATTATAATTACACTGAAGATAATTAAATTCAAGTGAAGAAAAAATATTTACATAAATTTAATTATTACTTTCAGTACAATTATTATAAAATTTTCCGTAAAAATTATATTATTTTTAAATAATAATTTTTAATTACAATTATTAACAAACACAATTATTTGAAACACTTGAAAAAAATTCTTCGTAAAACCTAATTACTTTCAGAAATTTCAATTAAAATTATTTTTAAAAAATTATTTTCAATTATTTTCAAAATATTTAAAGAAATTCTTCAAAAGAATTTAATTATTAATTATGAATAAAATTCCTTGAATGTATTCAATTATTTAAAAAAAAATTTTATACAATTCTTCGCAAGAATTCAGAGAGTTTCAATAGATTAATTTTGAAATTCAAAACATTTAAGGACGATTATCCAAAGAAATGCAGACCTCTAGAAAAATAATTAATTAACAATTAAATAATTAAAATATTTTTTTATTAATAGCATTTTCTATAAAAACTAAATTATCAATTTTAAAAAAAAAGATATTGACAATTCAAAAATTTTAATCATATGTAAATTGTATAAATAAATAAATACATTTTTTTATTGTCAATATTTTTTTTGGAAATTTGTTAATTTTGTTTTCATAAAAAATACTTTTAATGCCTCCAGAGCACCAAAACTTTTTTAAAAATTTATTAAATATTTACTTGCAATGTTTGGAATATTTAATGCAAATTTTAGTTAAAATTGTGTAAATATTTAAATGTTCCGATTAAATAAATGTTCAGGAAAGTTTCACGCTAAACATTTATTCAATTATGGGACATTTAAATCTTTACACAATTTTTTCTAAACTTTACGCATTTTTAATAATTCCAAACATTGCAAGTAAATATTTAATAAATTTTCAGGAAATTTTCGGTGCTATGGCGGTAAATAATATTTTAATTATTTAATAGTTAATTAATTATTTTTCTAGAGAAGGATCATATTAATATAGATATTAAATATAATCAAAAATATAATATAAATTATATTATATTTTATATATTATATTAAATATAATATGAAAATAAATTTAAATATTAACTATAATCTAACTTTATCATTGTCCCATTCCCGACGCCAATTTCCTTCTGCAGTGCGTTGCCTGTTTATTCGAGCCTCGTCAATGCGATTTCGTTCAGCTCTCCAAGCATCATATTCTGGTAAATATCCATCTCTCGAAGTTGCCGGTATTTTTCTATGATCCTAGAGATTTTTTTTTCAAAAATTTTAAGTATTCTTTATTTCATAGAAATATATTTAATTTTTGACGTAAATTTGAGAATGAAAATAATTATACCTTTTGATATACATCTCTACCGCCACCTCTTTTTCTAGGACCATTTCTTACATATTTATTCGGCGCTTTCTGTTTATCCTCATCTCTCTTATCGTCGATAATATTTTCCTCCCTCTCGGAATCCGCTAAAAAGTTGTACTTTGGATCAGGAGGAGGACCATCTCCCTAAAAATAATTAAATAAATAAATTCCAATCTCTCGAATTATAATATAAAATAATAATTTAATTAATAATTTTTCTATTAAAAAAATTAAAAAGAATAGAAAAAAAATTTAAAAAAATTTTTTTAAATAGAGAAAATTAATAAAATTTAAAAAATTTTAAATAATTACTTGAGCAAATTTATGTATTTTTTTCCCCTCGACGGCACCAATGAGATATTGTTGAGGACGTTCAGAATGTTCCTTTATGGGTTTGGATTTAACGTTAGTTTTACTTGTTTCCTTTCTAGTAAATTCTGGTGGCTCTTTACGTTCTGGCCAATCACTCGATGGCACCATTTGCACAAGTGCATTCAATTTTGCTGCATTTTTCTTGTCAGCTTCTACTTCCTATTAAAGTGTAAATCACATAATTATAATATTTAAAATTTTAAATTATAATTATAATTTATAAATATAATTTTAATTTATAAATATAATTTCAGTGTTTAAATTATACACTGAAAAAAAATTATTTGCTTCAAATAACCGATTACTTGCCGATTATAAAATAAATTATTTAATTCAAGAATATATATTTACTTGAAACAAAAAATTTAAATTTAAATTAATTAAATGGTATTTGGACCAATAATTTCAGTATTTGAAACAAAGTTAAATAAAAATTTATTTAATTATTTGATTCAAGTAAATATTTAATTGATAATAGTCAAGTAATCGATTGTTTGAATAAATAAATTTTTTTTTAATATTTAATATTTTTTTATATTTATAGTTATAAATATTATAATATAATTATAAACTTTATTGTAAACTATATCTATAATATTTATAATAATTAAATATAATTAACATTCTTTTTCTTTCAAAATAAAGTTTTTGTTGATAAATTTACCTCGTATCTGCGTTTAATTTCTTCATTTTGAAGTCTTATTTTATTAATTTTCTCTTCGAGAGCATTAGCCGCCATCTGTAAGGAAAAAAAAATTGTAATTGTTTTTTAAAAGAAAAGAAAAGAGAAAATTTTTCCTATATTAGTGAATATCAGTAGAAGTTTGATTCTATCGGTTATTAGAACAACTGAGCGAGATATTTTTATTACGAAACATAACTTCTGTATAACGGACCATCCGACCATTGGCCTCATTTCAAGTAGTACATCAACAAAAATCAAGAATTATTTTTTCAATAAATGTAACTTGAACATTTATATATGCCTTGTAAAAATTTGTCTAAAAACAATTTTATAATTTTTTGAAATCAATTTTAAAAATTTGTAAACATGATTTTGTAATTTTGAAACTCAATTTTTAGTTTATGAAGACAAATTCGTTGGTAAATTTTGAAGAAGAATTTATTTAAAAATTGTAAGATTGTAATTAAACATTTTCAAAGTCGAGTCTGAAGACTTGAATACTCAATTTTTAATTTCTGAAGACAATATGAATAAATTACAAAATCGTGTTTAAAAATTACAAATTGAGTTTAAAAATTGCAAATCGAGTTTCAAAACTAGAAACAAGTGTAAAAATTAGAAACTGGTTTAAAAATTAGAAAATAGTTAAAAAAAAACTAAGAAACGAGTTTAAAAATTAGAAACTAATTTAAAAAATAGAAACTAAATTTTTAAACTCGATTTTTGTAAATTCTAAACTCAATTTTTAATTTCTCGAGATAATCTGATATGTAAAAATTACAAAATAGTATTTAAAAATTATAAATCGAGTTTAAAAATTAAAAATCGAAATTTTTAAACAGTAATTTCTAAACTCAATTTTTAATTTACAGATTAAATTTTCAAGAAGAAATTTATTACTTTTAAAAATAATTGAATTCTTGTGATGAATATTATTATTTATGAAAACAATTGAAATTTGCAAAGAATTTTATTAAAATGCTTTAAAATAATTGAATTTTCGAGAATAATTTTGTTATTTATCAACATAATTGAATTCTTTCGAAGAATTATTTATGTAAATAATTGAATTCTTGTGAAGAATTTTATTAAAATCTAAACGAATAATTGTATTAGTTCAACAAATTATTTAATTAAAATTGTAATTAAAATAATTGATCTATTTCTAGCAATTTTATTAAAATATTTGAAAATAATTGAATTTCTGTAAAAAATTCAAATATTTTTGTAAACAATTGAATTTTTCGAAAGAATTTTAAAAAAACATTTTTTAAATATTTGTTTTTTTTTAAGAATTGAAATTAAATTTTTAAGAATAATTACATTTTTTGAGAAATTCCTGTAAAATTGTATTAAAAAAAATTGAAATCCTGATAATTTTTTTTATTTATAAAAATAATTGAATAATTACTAAGAATTTTATTAAAATTTTCAAAAATAATGGAATTCCTGTGAAGAATTTTATTATTTTTGAAAATAATTGAATTCTTCATAAGAATTTTATAAACATTGCTTTAAATAATTAGTTTCTTCGAAATAAAATAAATATTATGAAATTTTTATTTTAAATAATTAAATTCTTGAGGAAAACTTTATTTGTGTAAATAATCGAATTTTGAATGAATTTTATAAATTTTTCTTTAATTATTTGAATTCTTTTGCGAAATTTTATAAAAATACTAGATATATTGGAAATAATTGAATTTCGAATATTTTTTGAAAATAATTGAATCGGTTTAAAGAATTTGTTTATAATTATTGAGAATAATTTTTGATTTTTACTATTAGCGAATTTAAAGAAGTGGAAATTCCAAAAAAAACAGAAATAATAATAATAATTATGTTTAAAAATTACAAATTGAGTTTAAAAATTGCAAATCGAGTTTAAAAATTAGAAACTAGTTAGAAACTAAATTTTTAAATACAATTTTTGTAAATTTAAAACTTAATTTTTAATTTCTGAAGATAATCTGATGTAAAAATTACAAAATCGTTTTTAAAAATTTCAAATCGGGTTAAAAAATTAGAAATTAGTTTAAAAATCTAGAAAATAATTGAAAAAGTAGAAACTAATTTAAAATCTAGAAACTTATTTTAAAAACTAGAAACTAAATTTTTAAACATGATTTTGTAACTAAACTCAATTTTTAATTTCTGATGACAATTTGATGTCAAAATTGCAAAATCGTGTTTAAAAATTGCAAATCGAGTTTAAAAATTAGAAATTAGTTTAAAAATCTAGAAAATAATTGAAAAAATTAGAAACTAGTTTAAAAACTAGAAACAATAGTTTTAAAACCAGAAACTAAATTTTTAAACACGATTTTTGTAAATTATAAACTCAATTTTTAATTTCTGATGACAATTTGATGTCAAAATTGCAAAATCGTGTTTAAAAATTGCAAATCGAGTTTAAAAATTAGAAATTAGTTTAAAAATCTAGAAAATAATTGAAAAAGTAGAAACTAATTTAAAATCTAGAAACTATTTTAAAAACTAGAAACTAAATTTTTAAACATAATTTTGTAACTAAACTCAATTTTTAATTTCTGATGACAATTTGATGTAAAAATTTCAAAGCGAGTTTTAAAAAATTGTAAAAAAAACCACGATTATTATAAGTAATTTTTATTCTATGTTTTAAGAAACTCAACACTCATATTTATTATACCTATTCAAATTACACAATTTTGTAAATATTTTTAGAATTTAAAAAGTTGACTTAACCTCATAGATACCAAATTATGTCATTTTTAGGACTAAACATAAGTTTAAATATAGTTTTATGATTTAAGATAATATACATACGTTTATATTTTAATATTTTCTGAACAATAATAGCAAAGATTTGATAAACAAATTTTAGCTATTTATGTTAATAAAGTTAATTTTTGAAAATCGGAACAAGAATATGTGTGTTGAATTCTAAACAACGCATTCTTATAATAGTTAATGAGGTAAGTACAGTTAATTTACAAAATATATTATAAGATAACAAAAGTAACCTTGCTTATGGTGACGATGGACGTATTGCACTTTGATATATTTCAAATAAATAAAGTTTTCTTTTTTACAAGATTTTATTCCTAAAGGAAATTTATCTCCTTTATTCCTTTTATTACTCACACATTTCTACTTACACTGCGAATGTCACCCGTACTTCCGAATTCTTGAATATCAGGGTTCAGTACTTTTTAGTAACATGCAAAATAACAGTGAAGTTCATATGTCGACAGTGAAGTTTAAAAAAAATTGTGTTTTTTACTCTTTTGGATCGATTTAACCCTAGTGGAATCCAAATAAAAATAAGTGACAGTGAAATAATTTATATTTTCTTCGGTAATTTATTTATTTATACGATTTAATATCTTTTTTTTTTAGTTTAGTTTCACATACAAACGGATCCTAAGGAGAACCAATGAAGAAACTCGTAGTTACCCAACCTTGCTTGGCTGAAAACGGTTAACACTCTACTCTATACACTCAGTTACCAACGGTCAAGTGACGTCACGATAATTTCTCTCTCAGAAAAAAAATAATTTGTACACAAAATAGATATTTTCTCAATTTTTTATAAATAATTTCCTGTGACATTAATTATTTAAATAATTGACAATTGTGTATAATAGCGAATTATACCTGAATATTATGATTCAAATTCTTATAGTGAACGATTTGACATAACCGCCAAAAATCTAACCTAAAAAAACAAATTTGTGACCTACGTTTACAAGTAAAGTAGTTTTTTGTTTGAAAAGAAAATTATCATTTTGTGCTAAATGTGACGACAACGGAAGAATAAGAAACAACAGGAGAATATTTTAAAGAAAAATATTTAATTTAAGTGAAAAGGATATTTTTTAAAAAAAAGTAAAAATGGATCAAATGTTACCGAGTCCAGGGTTTAGTATACCAAGTATTGGTACACCTTTACATCAACCTGAGGAAGATCAACAAATTCTTCCAAATGCACTTCAACAACAACAACAGCAGCAACAACAACCTCAACAATATCAATTGCAACAATTACATTCAATGAGTCCAAACTTACAAAGCGGAATGTTGATGCTAACACCTCAAAAACAAATTCACACTTATGCACCAACTCCGTCTTTTGCAACACCACAGAGTCTTATGCAGCCACAGACTCCGGTAATTAATTTCTCTTATTATGAAAAATAATTTTTTTTGCTATGAATTTTACACTCATAATATTCACTTCATTTGAAAAAAAAATACTTTTAGTCTTTACACTTTTCGTTTGGAAGAAATCGAAGGTGTTGAGAATTTAATACAGATTTTTAGCAATTGAATTCGAATAATTTGAGGTGAAATTTCGAGTAAATTCTGGTGTGGCTAATAGACAGGGTGGAAAAATTATTATTGTTGAGTAATAATAATAATAATAATAATAATAATAATAATAATAATGATAATAGTAATAATAACAGTAAAAGTAACAAAATCCTCCATTAACATCGAAATCTAAATGTTTGAGTATTAATGTCCTCGAATATTTAAAAGTTCGAATGTTAATTCAGTTAAATATTTGTTTGAATATTAATTTCATTGAATTTAAATTTAATTCTTCGAATGTTAATTCAGTCAAATATTTAATTGCTGAAATGTTTAGGATTTACAACCAAAGTGGAATAGCTTATTTGTGATTCAAACATAACATGGTTCATATCATAGCATTTTTCCCAGATACATCTTGAAATGTTTACCTATTCGAAAATTCTCCTTTTAACCGAATATTTAAATCTTTGAATGTTAATTCAGTTAAATATTTAAATTTTCGAATATTACTACCGTGAAGAATTTTAATTGCAAATTTTGAAAATAATTGATTTTTCCAAGTAGTTTATTAGAATTTTTGAAAATAAATTTTTGAAAAATTTTAATTACAAATTTTGAAAATAATTGAATAATCAAAAATATTAAAGAAAAATCTTAAAGTGTATAATTAAAAAATTAAAACAATAAAAATTGGCTTCTAAAAATTATATTAAAATATTTTTGAAAAAAGCAATTCTTTGAATTTTTTTATTCTAATTTTTTTAAAATTCAATAATCTATTTTCAATTCCATATTTCCGAAAATTCAAGTACATACGTAAAAAAAAATATTAGAATTTTTTAGAATCATTTTTAACATTATTTTGGAGGAAACAATCATGTTCAAGAATTATAATTAAAAATCTTCAAATAATTAATTATTTTCTTTTTAATTATACAAAAATTCTTTTAAAAAATTCAATTATTTTCGAAAAATTACATTAGAATATTTTTAAAAAACTAATTCTTAGAATTGTTTTATCATAATTTTTTTAAGATCTAATTATCTTCGACCAAAGTAAATTAAAATTTTTTTTAAATTTACAATTTTTAGACGAAAGTTCAATTGTTTTTAAAAGATTTTCGAAATTCAATTATTTTCAATATCTAAAATTTTAATTAAAAATTTTCCCAAAAGAATTAAATTATTTAAATAAAATTAATTTACAAAAGAAATCAACAAATTTTAATAAAATTCTTTCACACGATTCAATTATAATTCAAAACATTTTCGAAATTCAATCATTATCAATATCTACAATTTTAATTAAAAATTTACCAAAAAAAATTCTATTATTTTAAAAAACTGAATTTATAAAATTCTTTACAAGCCTTTAAATATTTTCATAAATAATAACATTTTCACAGAAATTTAATTATTTTAAAACATAATTTTCTCTCAAAATTTTGAAAAGTTTAGAAAATTTGAATTTTTGATAAAATTTAATTAGAAATTTTAATGATAATTCTTTTGCCATTAGTTGAATTTTTTAATATGTATTTAATTATTAAAAATAATTATCAAAATTTTTCCCAGAAATTTAATTATTTTCGGGAATTTTAATAAAATTCTTTGCAAAATTCAATTATTTTAATAAATAACAAAACTTATAGCACAATTTCAATTACTTTTAGTACATTTTTAAATAAATTTCTTGAAAAATGCAATTATTTTTAAAAACGTTATTAAAATCCTTCGAAAGAATTCAATTATTTAACAAAATTTTGAAATAATTTATTTATTAAAATTTAATAGTTATTTTAAATACATTTTTAATTAAATTTCTTTAAGAATTTAATTATTTTCAAAAATTTTAATGAATTTTTAGAAATATTCAATAAAATTATTTATTTTTGTTTTCAAACAATTTAAGTTTCATAGAAATTTTTAATAAGAATTAATTTAAAATTGAAATTCACTTAAAATTTTAGGTAATAAATTGAATATTAGAAGCGTCATTTTTTGAATTTTAAGAAATAATTGAATTTTGAAAATGTTTCAAATTAAAATCTTTAAAAATCTGAATTTCTCATACATTTAACTAACAATTCTGTAGAATTAATTTTTTGTAAAAAGTTTAATTGCACCTTTTTTAAAAAGCTTTTTGAAGTTTTCGAAAAATTAATTTAGTCGAATAGTTTAATTTTCAGAAATTAATTTAATCGAAAATTTAAATATTTGAATGTTAATTAAGTTGATTATTAAGATCTTTAAATTTGAATATTTTTTTTGTCAAGAAGCTAAAAATTCAAATATTTATTTTATCCAAAAGTCAAGAATTCAATTTTTTATTTCTCTGAATCTTCAAATAATACTAGAATGTCGAAAAAAATTTGAATTTTTGATTCACTAGTATAATTATTTGTGACATTATTTATAAAATTATCAATATCATTGCAGCAAAATATGATGTCTCCTATTGTGCAATCAACAAATCAAATGGCACCAGCCTCTATAGGACCCTCTACCCCTGGACCAATGACTCCAATGACTCCCGCTTCCGCGGATCCAGGAATTCTTCCACAATTTCAGTTAGTTTTTTTCTTCACTACAACCACTGGAATCACAAAAAAAACTTTCTTTTTTCTACTTCCGAGTTTATTTTACTTTAGAATTTATGTTCGCAATTTTCTCTAATATTAAATTTTTTTTTTCATTTTCAGAAATATTGTATCGACAGTTAATTTAAATTGTAAATTAGACTTAAAGAAAATAGCGCTTCACGCGAGGAACGCTGAATATAATCCAAAACGATTTGCCGCTGTGATTATGAGAATACGAGAACCAAGGACAACCGCTTTAATATTTAGTAGCGGAAAAATGGTTTGTACTGGTGCAAAAAGCGAAGAAGATTCACGACTAGCAGCTAGAAAGTATGCTCGGATCATTCAAAAATTAGGATTTCCGGTACGCTTTCCAAAAACAAAGAGTATTCACTATTTATTAATTATAAACACTTTAATTAAAAATTAAATTAATTTAAAATTTTCTTTTTTTAGGCCAAATTTCTCGACTTTAAAATTCAGAATATGGTCGGAAGTTGTGACGTTAAATTCCCTATTAGATTGGAGGGATTAGTCTTAACTCACGGACAGTTCTCGTCATATGAACCAGAATTATTTCCAGGTTTAATTTATCGAATGGTTAAACCTCGCATTGTTCTTCTTATTTTTGTCTCTGGAAAAGTTGTACTAACAGGTAAATAGAAATTTATTTCCTCTTTTTTTTATTTGAAGAAAAAATTTTTATTTTTTATTGAACAAAAAAATATATCGAAAATAAAAATCATTAATTCAGGGTTGCCACAGATCGGGGAATAATTTTACAATATTTCAAAATTAATTGAATTTTAAAAAAGTTGCGTTTCAATTTTCAAAAATAGATCAACTTCAAAAAGTTTCAATTTGAAATTATATAAACTTTCAATTTTTAATGAATTTAATTATAGAAATTTTAAAGAACTTAGGTTTTTGAAAAAGTTTAATAATTCAAGTTCTTCTGAAATTAGTCAAATTTTTTAATGTATATTTAATTAATTATTAAAAATAATGAATTTTTAGAAGAATTCTGATTAAAAACACTTAAAAAATTGAATTTTTGAAAAGTTACAAATGATTGCAGAGCAGATATTCAATTATTTTCAAAAGTTATAAAATTCTTCGGAAAACTTCAATTATATTCAAAAATTTTTAAGAAGTTCTCGTCAAAATTTCAATTATTTTTATAAATAAAATTCTAATAAAATAAAATTCTTAGCAAAATTTTATGTTATTTTCAAAAATTTTCCTCATTTCAATTATTTTTAATATCTACTATTTTAATAAAATTTTACAGGAAAAAACAAAATTTAATTTTTATGGCAACCCTCTTATTATTTTTGATAAAAAGTATTTATTACTAATTATAATATTTGATTTCAGGTGCAAAAGTGAGGCAAGAAATTTACGAAGCTTTTGACAATATTTATCCTATTCTTAAAAGCTTTAAAAAACAGTAACGAAAATATTATTCACTCGTTCTTAAATGTGATTTCTCAAGATTCCATTTTATTTTTATTTTTTTTTTTGTATTTCATTCGGAAAATTATTTCTGATTTTCAATAATCGAAAAGGACATTATTTCGAGATTATCATTTATAATTATTATAAATGATATTTAGACAACAAAAAAATACTATTTATTAGACAATGTTTATTTAATCAATTTAAAAATCACTGAAAGTTGAAATTATCGCATCTTTTGGATTGTTTGTCGCTCGACTGGAAAAGTAAGTTTTGAAAAAATGTTAAGATATTTAAAAAAAAAATGAAAAGAGATCTGATTTCGACAAATCTGATTTAAATTTAAATTGTAGATTAGAAAAATTCTTTTTTCTAAAGAATTCAAAAGACTAGGATTTTTGTCAGATTTGTTGAAATCAATTATTATTTATATAAGCGAAAAAAATCTCCACAATAAATAGAAATTTATAAAAGTTGCAAAATTATAAAGTTGATAAGTGTAATTTTTTAAAAATTAGCATAATAGTAAATTTTGTACATATAGGTTTCTATGGCGAAAATAAAAATTAAAAAGAAAGTTTTACTTTTTCTTCGTAGACATTAATAAATTAGTGATCTTTATATTTTATTTCTAATTTCGTTGCGTAACAATTCAGTTCTATTCTTTTGATTTTCTATAATTGTTTCCAAAGATTTGACATCTTTTGTAAATTCCATTAGTGAATCCTCCTGTTTGAATGAAATTATAAATGAAAATTTTACTTAAAATTTTATATTAAAAAATATAAGAAAAAAAAATATGAAAGTGTGAAAATAGAAAAAATTACGTCTATTATTGGAGGAAATTTCAACAATTTTCGTAATTTTAATTGTTCTTCTTCTAAAACAGCAAGAAAATTCAATTTTTCCGTATTAGACTGCAAATAATTTTTAAGTGTCTCCATCTTTTCTTGATAATTTATTTTAACAGCTATAAAAAAATGTTGAAGACTGTTAACAAATGTTTTACTATACAATAAGTATTTTAATATTAATATTTTATTTTATAAAAGAAATTAGCTTAAAAAAATTTAATGTTAAAATAAAAAAATAAATAAACAATGAAAATTGTCATGATTGATAAAAAATAAGATGAGTGAATAAATTCATTTTCTCTTACAATTCACTTGACTGTCATAAGATTTAATAATTGAATTTAAATTCGCCTTTATGTCGTAAATCAAACTTCGCAGTACCGCTTCATATAAAATATTAACGGAAATATCTTGTCCAAATTTTTTTATTTTTTCGGACTTGACGTTGGATTTTAATTTAATTATTTCCGTTTCCATTTGTTTGCATTCCGTTTTTATTCTATTAAGATATGTCCTACTTTTTCTATATTTCGGGAAAAAATTCGTTTTTCATTAATTCAAGAGTAAAATATTAATCATATATTTCATTTTTATTTTTTAAAAAAAATAGTTAAAAATTAAATTATTAAAAAAAGTAAAAATTAATTTAGAAAACTAGTTAAATGGTAAATTATTTTAAAAAACAATTTATAAATTTATTTTTAACTTTTTATTTTTTTAAAAAAATAGTTGAAAGTAAAAGTATTTTCAAGTTTCTATACTTGTATTTATTCAATTCATCATTTGTCTCTCGAATTAATTCTCCAACTCTTGCGTACAATTCGGAAAGTTTTTTCTTGTCGAATAAAATACAATCTCTAATTTTTGCCACTTCTTCTGAATTTGATAAAAAATTTTGCAATTGATGAAATTTTAATATTACCGTCATGTCAATTGAATTTAATTTTTCATGTTTGTCTTGCTGCGAAAGAAATAGAAAGTTTTCAATTATGTTAAAAAATTTAATAAAATTCTCATCAAAATTTCAATTATCTCTATAAATAATACAATTCTTCCCCGAAATTCAATTATTTTTAAAAAATTTTATAAAATTTTTGGCAAAATTGCAATAATTGTTTCCGAAAATTTCCCTCAAATCAATGATTTTGAATATCTACTATTTTTAAAAAATTTTCCAAAAGAATTCAATTATTTAAACAAAATTTCACAGGAATTCAATTACTTAACAATTTTTTTATAAATTTCTTTGAACCAATTTAATTATTTTTAATTTTTTAATGAAGTTTCTCGAAAGAATTCAAATATATTCAGAGAATTGAAAAAAATATCACTGAGAAATTCAATTATTTCGAAAAATTTAAATAAAATTCTTTTAAAAATCCTATTATTTAAAAAAATACAATTCTTCGCTTAAGAATTCAATTATTTTCAAAAATAATACATTTTTTTATGGGAATTCAATTATTTTACAAAAATTTTGATAAAATACTTTATAAATTTAAAAAATTATAATAAAATTGATCATAGAATACAATTATTTTCATAAAATATAACATTCTTCCTAGGAATACAATTATATTTCGTAAAAAATAAAATTCTTCGAAGCAATTCAATTATTTAAAAAATTTTAATAAAATTCTTCTTAAGAATTCAATTATTTTTACAAATAAAATTCTTTACAGGAATTAAAATATTTAAAAAAAATTTAATAAAATTCTTCGTCAGATTTCAATTATTTTCAATTTTTTAATGAAATTCCTCGATAAAATTTAATTATTTTCAAAAAGTTTAAAAAAATTCTGAGAAATTAAATTATTAAAAAAAAAAAAAAAATAAAATTCTTCACAAGAAATTAATTATTTTTAAAAATAATAATATTTTTCTCCGAAATTCAATTATTTTTACAAATAAAATTCTTCACAGGACGAATTTAATTCTTTTAAAAAATAAACATTTTCACAGGAATTTAATTATTTAAAAAAAATTTAATAAAATTCTTCGTCAGATTTCAATTATTTTTAATTTTTTAATGAAATTTCTCGATAAAATTTAATTATTTTCAAAAAGTTTTAAAATAATTCTGAGAATTTCAATTATTTTTACAAATAAAATTCTTCACAGGAATTTAATTCTTTTCAAAAATAAACATTTTCACAGGAATTTAATTATTTAAAAAAATTTAATAAAGTTCTTTCTTCAGATTTTAATTATTTTCAATTTTTTAATGAAATTCCTCGATAAAATTTAATTATTTTCAAAAAGTTTTAAATAATACTGAGAATTTCAATTATTTTTATAAATAACAAAACTTATTGAAAAATTTAAATTATTTTTTATACAATTTTAAATAAATTAATAGAAAATTGCATTTATTCTTAAAATGTTTTTTTTTAATTCGCCGAAAGAATTCAATTATTTTTAATAATTTTGATAAAATTCTTTATAAAAATTCAATTTAAAAAAAATATTGAATTATTTATTTTTCTATTTAAATAATTAAATTCTCAAAAAAATTTTTAATAAAAATTAATTAAAAAATGAATTTCACTTAAAATTTTATATTATAATAATTTAATAATTGAGTTTTGAAATTTAGTTGAAATTTTTATCTACCATGAAAATTTTCAAATTATCTCGACTTATTTTCAATTCAATTTCCAACAATTTGAGTCGTTTGTTCTCAATTCCAAGATCTTTTCGTAGTCCTTCAATTTTTTTCTGCTCATTTCTGATTTGAAACTCAGAATTGTACCTGTGTTCTCTCATTACAAAAGCCGCTTCATAAAGTTCTTTATCACACCCAAGAGGTAATATATTTTCATCATAATGGATAATTCCAATTTCTCGACTGTCAATTGTAGCTGTATCATCTTCGTGTGAACTACTATCTGAGCTTGATGATGACGAAGATGCTGAAATTACAAAAAGATTATAAATTATGATTAAATAAAATATTAAAAATTATTAAGTTGCTTTTTTTCAAATAAATAAATAATTAAAAAAAATTTGAACAAACCATCACTTGCTTTCGGCTGCTTGAACTTTTTTTTAAATATTCTCAGTAGAAAATCACGAAATTTATTTTCATTTATCAAGTCTCTGTATTGAACCGAAAGTTCTTTAATTTTATCTTGTAATTTTATGATTTCCTTATTTTTATTTTCCATTTGTACCGTTATCGATTGAATCTTAATTTTAAAAAGAAAGGAAAAAATAAAATCGTAAATGAAATTTTTACATTTTTAGTTTTTAGACGCATTTTACCTTTTTCTTGGCAATTGCACACTCTTTGATTTTATTATTAACTGTATCCGTTAGTGAATTTTCTGTTGCTTCAAAATTTCGTAAAATTATTAATTCCTGATGCAATGTTAATAGAAATAAATTTAAATATTCACTCTCCATGGCAACTTCAACTCGATTTTTTTCTAGTTCATCTAAATCATTATCTAGATTTCGATATTTTTGTTGAATTTCATTGAGGAGAAAATTTTGCTCGTGAATATTTTTATAATTCTCCATGCGTTTCATTTCTCGTTCCCATTGTGTTTCATTTTGCTCGTTTATTTGAAGATTACGTAAAATATCGAGTGAGATATTTATCTCGATATCCTTTTGACTTAAATCCATAAATATTGGTTTTTTACTTTTTCTTATTTCCTCTACTTTCACTATCATTGCTTTGTACTTTTCAATCTAAATTCAAATTAATATAATTAAAATTAGGCTGTCTCCACTTGAGAACGCCAAGATCGTCACCAGATGGCGGGGATTCTGATTTTATCAAATGAACTGCCACCTGACGGTGACCTTGACGTTCGCAGATGGAGAACTAATATTCAGGGTTGCCACAGGTCAGGAAAATCAGGAAAAAGTAAGAGATTTTTATTAAAAGTGCTGGAAAAAATTATATTTTTAGAATTTATAAGAAAATTGTGTTTAAATTTTTTTTTTTAAATTCTCTTCAAAATTTCAAGGATCTTTATAAATAATAAAAATCTTCTCCGAAATTAAAACATTTTCAAAAATTTTTTAATGAAATTCTTGGGAAATTTTAAATATTCTTTTCAAAAATTCTCCTCAATTCAATGATTTTAAATATGTACTATTAATAAAGTTTTTCAAGAAATTCAATTGTTTTCAAAAATTTTAATAAAATTCTTTGCAAAATTCAATTATTTTCATAAATAACAATATTAATTACGAGAATTAAATTATTTCCAAGAGCAATAAAATTATTTTCAGAATTTCAATTATTTTCAATTATCTTTATAAACAGCAAAATTCTTCGCTAAAATTCAATTGTTTAAAAAAATTTTAACAATTATATAATTATATTTCGAAAAAATTAATTATTTAAAACAATATTTATAAAATTCTTATGAAAAATTCAATTATTTTCAAAAATAACAAAATTTTTCACAAAAATTCCATTCTTTTTAAACATTTTAATAAAATTATTCGCAATAATACAATTATTTTCGTAAATAATAAAATTCTTCTCACGAATTCAATTGTTTTTAAAAAATTTTATTTAAATTCTTAGCAACTATTCAATTATTTTCATTGCAGGATTCCAATCATTTTTAATACAATTTAACAGGAATTGCTCGAAAAATGTAGAAAAAAATCAAGTATTTAGAAAAATGTTTTTTTAAATTCTTTTGAAGAATTCAATTATATACAAAAATATTAGAATTCTTCCCAGGAATTAAATTATGTCGATAAATAACAAAATTCTTTCTGAAAATTTAATTATTTTGAGGCATTTTAATAAAATTCAATTATTTTCATAAATAATAAAACTCATCGTAGGATTTCAATTATTTCTTATTACAATTTTGATTGAATTCCTCGTAAAATGCAATTATTTTCACAAATTAAATTTTCATAATATTTAATTATATTTCGAGAAAATTAATTAGTTATAACAATATTTATAAAATTCTTATAAAGAATTCAATTATTTTCAAAAATAACAAAATTTTTCACAAAAATTCCATTCTTTTTAAAGATTTTAATAAAATTTTTCGCTATAATACAATTATTTTCATAAATAATAAAACTTATCACAGAGTTTTAATATATATAAAATTTTAACGCAATTCTTAGAAAGAAATCAATTATCTTGATAAATATCAAAATTCTTCCCAGAAATTCAATTGTTTTCAAGAATTTTAATAAAATTTTTTGCAAAATTCAATTATTTTTATAAATAACAATATTAATTACGAGAATTAAATTATTTCCAAGAGCAATAAAATTATTTTCAGAATTTCAATTATTTTCAATTATCTTTATAAACAGCAAAATTCTTCGCTGAAATTCAATTATTTAAAAAAATTTTAATAAGATTCTTCGTAAGCTTATTTAATTATTTTCATAAATAATAAAAATTTATCAGGATTTCAATTATTTACAAATTTTTTATAAATTTTTTCCCAATAATTTAATTATTATTATAAATAATAAAACTGTTTTCAGGAACTTAATTATTTTCATAAATAATAAAATTCATCGCAGGATTTTAATTATTTTTTTTTTTTTAATTATTTTACAATTTTAATCAAATTCTTTGAAAAATTTAATTATTCTTAAAAATTTTATTAAAATTCATCAAAGAAATTCAATTATTTAAAAATTTGTTGATAAAATTCTTTTTGAGAATTCAATTTTAACAAACATTCAATTATTTAATAAATTATTTATTTTTGAATTTAAATAATTGAATTTTCGTAGAATTTTCTAATAAAAATTGTTTTAAAAATTTATTTCTGAATAATCGATTCATTATTTATGAAAATAATTCAATTTTTGCATCGAATTTTATTACACTTTTTTTAAAATAATTGAATTCTTTTGATAAATTTTACTACTTGTAAAAATAATTGAATTCTTGCGAAGGATTTTATTAGGATTTTTGTGAAAAATTTTATGGTACTTTAAATTATTATACAAAATTTTGATATGTTGTTAATTTCAAAAGGTTGAATTTGAAATTTTTTAAAATCTTCATTTCTATGGAAAAATAATAATGATGAAATATTTATTTAAAAAAGAAGTTATTGATGTTTTGGAATAATTTTACAATTAAAGAAATTTGTAAATAAAAATTTTTAAAGTTAATCAGAATATTGTTTAGGGTCAGGGTAAATGTCAAAATTTTGTCTGTAAATCAAGGGAAAAGTTAGGGAAAAACAGAATTAAATATTTGTGGCAATCGTGATATTGAATCTCAAAATTTTCGACAATATTCGTAATTTTATAATTATTTATATGATTTATAATATTTATAATATTCATAATATTTATAATTAAACATTGAATATAGAGTTTGACAATTAAGCATAAAAAATTAATAATTACTTCGAGTTCTTTTTCTGGAAATTCAGCATTGTAATCGATACTAAATACAAAAGGCAATGTTTTTCTATTTTTTTCCGGAATCTCATTCTGAATTTCCCTCAGATTATTCACTAAATCTTGAGATTCTTTTTGTGATGTTAATTTTTTCGCTCGTACAATTTTCAATTTGTTGTTGAAGTCTTCTCGAAGATAATGAATCTTTTTAAGAGTTTTGTATTTTATTTTATTAAACTCAATACTAAATTTATTTATTTGTTTTTTTTTATAAGGAAATATTTTTTTTTTTTACTCTTTTTCGACAATCCAACAATTGCTTGTATTTGTTTAGTACATTATCCAAACTTTGATTTACTTTCTGTAAATCGGGGGAATTTTTTAATTTGAAATCGCCAATTGTTCTTTGTGCCTTTTCTAATGTATTGTTGTCATTCAGAAGATTTGTATCTGGATTTGGTTTAGTGTCGTGAACTGTTCTCCACTGGAAGAAATTTACTGTTTAAAATAAATAATGTTATAGTTAATTTTATTTCACAATTGCAAAATTTCGTTTTTTAATCTACTTCTCTTTTTCGTTCTTCTATTCTCGATTTACGAGCTCTATATTTTTTTAGCATTTGATTAATTTCTACTCCCAATTTATACTCCAAAGTAGATGGACTTAGGCCTTTGAGAAAACTTTCAACTCCGTGTACAACTTCCTTTTCTTCTTCCTCTTCAATTATGGATTGATTTATTTGCAAATCTAATGATCTATTTTAAAAAAATAAATAAATAAATAAAAAAAAAATAAAAAAATAAAATAAAATAAATAAATAAAAAAAATAAATAAAAAAATAAATAAAATTAAGTCTATTAGAATAAAATTAAGTGTAAATTTTCTCATAATAGTGTTCACTTGTTAGCTTTTTCCTTTTCTGCAATAAGTCTAGAAACTTTGGCATAAGTGGCGAAAAAATCATCTCCCAATTTGTGTTCCCGAAATGAATAAACTTTCGTATTTGGTTTTCTAGAAAAATTTGAAAAACTTTTAAGAATTTTTATTAATTTTTAAATTTTAACCGACGATTGATAAAAATAGATTTGAAGACTCACAAAATTCTATACACGCAGAACGGAAGACAAGTGATGGGCTCGACAAAATGATCCATTAGTTTCTTGAGTCTTAATTTTGATTTTTCCACTTTGAATGACATTTTTCTGTGCACGAAATCCAATTCCGATTGCAGTTGATTATTCAATTCTTCGGTGATTCTCGAATCTATTTCAAAGTTCTCTTGTGGAATTTGTTGAGATTTTAGTAAAGTGCGATTTCTGAAAATTTAAATAGAAAATTAGCTAATTTTTGAAGTTGTTTTCTTTAACGGTTACTCTAAAACTGGTTCAACATTTTTTTTGATCGAATTTCCACTATTTTAAATTTGCTAATACTAGAAATGAAAAAACTATTCTCAAAAGTTATATTCAAATTTTTGAAAACGATTCAATTATTTTCAAAAAATATTCGAAATTCAATTACTTTCACTAATAATAACATTTTTCATAAAAATTCAATTTTTAAAAAAACTCATGAAAGAATTATTTCAATTATTTTTAATAATATTTTAAATTAATTAATCAAATATTTAATTACTTTCACGACTTTCACATATAAAGTTTTCCACAAGAATTCAATTATTTAAAATAAAATTTTCATAATATTTATTATATTAAGAAAAAATTAATTATTTAAAATTTTTCACAAAAATTCCATTTTTTTAAACATTTGAATAAAATTTTCCGTAAAAATACAATTATTTTCATAAATAATAAAATTCTTCTCAGGAATTCAATTATTTTTGAAAATTTTAATAAAATTCTTAGTAACTATTCAATTATTTTTATAAATAAAAGAATTCATATCAGGATTTCAATTATTTTTAATACAATTTTACAGGAATTTCTTAAAAAATGTAATTATTCTTAAAAATTTAATTTCAATTCCTTAAAAAAATCAATTATTAAAAAAAATATTTTTTTTTAAATTCTTTAGAAGAATTCAATTATTTACAAAAATATTATAATTTTTCCCAGGAATTCAATTATTTTCAAATATTTTAATAAAGTTGTTCGAAAGAAATCAATTATTTGAAATACAATTTCAATTAAATTTTTTTGAAATAATTCAATTATTATTTTAGATTTTATTAAAATTCTTCACAGGAATTCAATTATTTACATAAATAATTCTTCGAAAGAATTTAATTATGTCGATAAATAACGAAATTATTACTGAAAATTCAATTATTTTGAGGCATTTTAATAAAATTCAATTATTTTCATAAATAATAAAACTCATCCCAGAATTTCAATTATTTCTTATTAAAATTTTAATTGAATTCCTCGAAAAATACAGTTATTTTCACAAATAAAATTTTCTACAAGAATTCAATTATTTGAAATAAAATTTTTATAATATTTAATTATAATTTCAAAAAAATTACTTATTTAAAATAATATTTGTAAAATTCTTATGAAGAATTCAATAATTTTTAAAAATATCAAAATTTTTCACAAAAATTTCATTCTTTTTAAACATTTTAATAGAATTTTTTACAATAATACAATTATTTTTATAAATAATAAAATTCTTCTCAGGAATTCAATTATTTTTAAAAAATTTTATTTAAATTCTTAGCAACTATTCAATTATTTTTATAAATATTAAAATTCATCGCCGGATTTCAATTATTTTTAATACAATTTTACAGGAATTAATAGAAAAATGTAGAAAAAAAACAATTATTTAGAAGAATGTTTTTTTTAAAATTCTTTTGAAAAATTCAATTATTTACAAAAATATTAGAATTTTTCACAGGAATTCAATTATTTTCAAGTATTTTAATAAAATTGTTCGAAAGAAATTAAATATTTGAAATACAATTTTAATTACAATGTTTTGAAATAATTCAATTATTTTGAGGGATTTTAATAAAATTCTTTGCGAAATTGAATTAATTTCATAAATAAAAATATTTATCACAAGAATTCAATTATTTTTAAAAGTAATAAATTTCCTCTTGGAAATTCAATTATTTTAGAAAATTCTAATAAAATCGTTCGCAAGAATTCAATTATTTTCATAAATAATAAAATGCTTTTTAGGAATTCAATTATTTTCAAAAAAATTTAATAAAATGCCACACAGACATTCAATTATTCTCAAAGAAACTTTAATAGAATTCTTTGTATAATTATTTTTAAGAAATTTTCTCAATTCAATGATTTTCAATATCTACTATTTTAATAAAATTTTCAAACAGAATTCAATTATTAAAAAATTTTTTTGTAAAAATCTTCCTAAGATTTCAATTTTTTTCACGAGTAGTAAAAATTTCTCAGGAATTCAATTATTTAAATTAGAATTTTTGCATAAAATTACAAATTAGTCGAAAGAAGTCAACTATTTAAAATTTTTTATAAAATTCTTTGCAAGAATTAAATTATTATTATAAATTTTTAAATTCTTTCGCATGAATAATAAAATTCGTTGCAGGAATTCAATTTATTAGCAGTATGATAAGAAAGAAGTAAATATTTTTGATGAAAATTAGGAAAAAGTCAGGAAAATAAAAAACGTAGGTTGTAATTCTTGTCAGTTTTCTGAAGTGTCTAAAACGAGTTTTTTTGGTCGTCAAGTTTAATTTTTCGATAGCTACTTTTTTACTATTTTTTTGTTTTTTGGTTCGAACTTTAAAAGCTCCTTTTTGCTACTTTTTAAAAATTAATTATCGATTGCGAAGTCTGAAAAACGTAATCTTAATTAATTATCTTGATTAATAGAATGAAAGAAATTTTTACTTTTCCATCAGTTTCGTAAAATCTTGAGCATAAGTTTGTAGTAGAGCCAAAATGGAATTTTTCTTCTCTTGCGCTAGGCGTAGAATTTTATCATCATTAGCTTGTCGAACAACTTCCTCTAAAGTTGGATAATTAGGTTCTTCAATATCGTCAACTTCAGTAGTGTCAATTCCCTGACAAAGTAGGAATAAAATAAAATTATTTTTACTATTCAGTCTTGAATATCGAAAAATATCCAAAATTAGTAAAATTAGATAACAGATTTAAATTACATTAATTAATTAATTAATTAATTACATCATAACAGATTTTACTTTAGTGTTGAACCAACCAGTTTGTCTTTTGTAGGTACAGGCACTTTATGGTCAGCATCAAAAGTCTCGTCGTTTATGCAAAACGAAAAGAGATTTCCATCATGTCCGCACGTCAGAAGTATGTTATGATCGTAACTCAGTGTCATTTTTGGAATATAACCGTTAAAATTGTCATGCATTGGAAGTAGCCAGTAATCCGAAAGATCCAAATGATCCTCAGGATTTACTCGACAAACACGAATTTCGCCATGTTGCATTCCGAGAAAGACGTATTTATTCTTGTTACTGAAATGAAAATAAAAAAAGTGGTTATAAACCTTTCCCCTTTTTGATACTCCATTGAAAATTTACTTTGTGCTAATGCGTCCCAACTTACAAGAATAAACAACTTCGGACTTCTGTATCATCAGCTTCGAAAATCATTCTACTTGTAGTCTTCAAATCTTCTCCAATTTCCAGATTCGAATATTCGTATAAATATCCCGAATCGTAACCTGACACGAAAAGACATATCTTCGTATTCGTATAGTTCAGCAATAGGACATCATTTGGTATTTTCGGTACGAATATTTCTGGCAATTGTTCATCATCCACTTCTGAATCAATCGTCAAATATATTTCTTCATCGATTTCCATTTCGGGTTGATCTATTTTTAATTTCTCCAAGTCCGCTACTTTTCTTTCGTACACCATTTTCCGTTGTTCTTCATTCCTTCTTTGCACCAAATCTCGTCTTATTTCCGATTTTACTGATTTGAATTGAAATACTCGAGTTTCGCAGTCCATCAGTTCGTATGTGGTAATTTGATCTGATTTTACTTCATTCGGTAGGTTTATTTCCACGAAATTCCCTCTTGTACAACCGAGGAGAATTGTTGTCGTCTACGATAAATTAGTTATTGGTTATTAAACTAAAAACTAGAGACGATTTTTTTGTGCTTAACTCACGGAGTCTGGTTTCCAGGTCATGCAGGTAGTACTCGATGGGGTTTTGATAAAACCAATTGGAACTAAAGTTGCTTTGTTTGTTTTCTCAAGAAGAAAGAGAAAAATTGTCGAATCTTCACTTCCGGTTACTAGGAGACTATTATCGGGACTTAGGGACATGGCGGTTACAGCTTTATTGTGTGGCTTCAGTACTTGAAGAAGCTTTACGAATTTTTTGTTATCATTCTTCTCTGATAGTTCTACATTGATAGTTCTGATTACTCCGCTTTCGAAAGCGCAAATAAGAGTCGAACCTGTAGACTCGATCTTGTATGATTACAATAAATGTCAGTATAATGAATTCTGGACTTTAGATTAGATTTTTACAGTTTTTCTAAGGATATCATAAATTGAGACAAAAAACGAATCAAAACGTTGCTTCGCAACAATTTTGATTCGTTTTTTTGTCTCAATTTATGATATCCTTAGAAAAACTTTGTTGAACCTACTACACATGGTAACCAAATAATTCGACTCCCAATGTCATTGAATTTATGAATTAAAATCAATTCCTTTGTTTTGTAATTGTAAATAAATAGATTGTTGTCCTTTCCACAACTTGCGACAAAAGGTCCCCAATCGGCAGAAGCTATGTCGGTTATCGGTCCAGCATGACAATTAAGAAGTTTCCTTGATGGTTCCGGTGTTTGAAAAGTGCAGAGATCTATTATCCACAAACCGCCATTTGCATCCTGAATTAATTTATTAGCTTTAGAATTAAAAGAATTAAAATTACTAGAATTAAGATCGCATTTTAATTAATCAGGTCGAAGGGGTCAATCAAATCAATTAGGTTTTTGTCAAAATCTTCTTTTTGAGTGGCTATAAAGTTCAGTTAGGTTTAAATAAGAACTAAGGTTTAATGTTTAAATACAGTAAATCATCAATTAGGGTTTTTGTCAGAATCTTCTTCTTTTTCATTTATTGACAAGTTCAGTATTTTTTAACAGTAAATCAGAAGTTAGGTTTTAAATAAAGTAAATTGTCCTTGTCACTATAAATTGGTGATAAATTTGATAAATTTAATAAATTTTGATAAATATAATGAATTTACCTGAGCATACCAAAATGTTGATTCCGGATTATTGGGTTCCTGTTTCTGAATACTCATCAATATAGCCTTTTTGTCGAAATTATTTTCCTCTTTTTCGAAAATAGAAAATTCATAAACAGGTTCAATCTCAAGAAATCGATCTTCATCAGGCGGATCAGCTTGATCGATTGTGTCATAAAACCACATACGTATCCATCCATCCATTCCTGTTTACAAATACATATAAACGTGTACCAAATATATACGAATTGATCCCAAAAGAACTCAAAAGGATTTATTCTTTTTAGTAGCGACTAATTCGTATTTAGATAGTTCTACAAACTAAGGAAGAAACTGACATCAGATTCGAAATTCTCATACCCGAAAACCCCCGAGTAACAAATTTTATAAAGATGTAAGATTTATCTTTGTAAAGTACAACTATTTAAAATTGTTAACCAACTGTAAATTTGCATTTAAACACTTAAACACAATATTTATTTAGTTTATTAAAATTGGGACATTTTCACATTAGGGACATGACAGGAAAAAGAAAATTTCTTTTTTTTCAAAATTAATGAACTATGCTACTTTGGACATTCCACTTTTGTATTCCTTTCTTTGTAGAACTACCAAATTGTTTTTAAAAAGTACCTATAGATATTAATTCTCCATTATTGTATTCAAATTGCGTTATAACACCGCCATGACAAGGTTTTCTGTTCTTCCGACAAACTTCAAATTTTATTAAACCCTCGTCCCATATCAAAATATTTCCCCATTCACATCCGGATACCACCTATTTATAAAAGGATTTATAGTTTTTGTTATAATTTCTTGTAAGCAAGGAGAACATTACATAACATTTATTAAAATTGCATTTTAGAACCACCACAGAAAAAAAGGTTCTAAATTAATATCATTTTAATAAAATATTAATTAATTACAATTAGATTTCGGTATTAAAATTAGTGATGGATAACGATACGAGATATCCAATTATCTCACTTCATATTCGTCATTTTCAAAAAATGTTAAAAAAGTAAATATCGTTCAAATCTTTGTTAAAATAATTGCAATTAATATCTGGGTCATCAAAATTAATTTAATTCACAATTCGTAAAAAGTAACCACAGCCGATAATCAGCAGAAGATGAAAAATTATTTATGTGCGAACTTTATCTTCTGTTTACCAACTATTTTTGGTCATAAAATTTTTTTCTGGTTATAAACTATTGCTAAAAAAATTCTAATTAATATCTAGATCATAAAAATTAATTTAATTCATAATTCATAAAAATTATCCACAGTTGATAATCAGTAGAAGATGAAAAATTATTTTTGAGCAAACTTTATCTTCTAACAATTTTTTACTGACAATTCTTGGTCATAAAATTTTTTTCTGGTCCTAAACTATTGCTAGAATAATTCCAATTAATATCTGGGTCATCCAAAATTAATTTAATTCACAATTCATAAAAAGTAACCACAGCCGATAATCAGCAGAAGATGAAAAATGATTTTTGAGCAAACTTTATCTTCTAAAAATTTTTTTACTGACAATTCTTGGTCATATAATTTTTTCCTGGTCCCAAACTATTGCTAGAATAATTGCAATTAATATCTGGGTCATCAAAATTAATTTAATTCACAATTCATAAAAAGTAAGCACAGCCGATAATTAGAAGATGATAAAAAATTATTTTTGAGCGAAGTTTATCTTCTAACAATTTTTTTACTAACTATTTTTGATCATAAAATTTTTTTCTTGTCCCAAACTATTGCTAGAATAATTCCAATCAATATTTGGGTCATTAAAATTAATTTAATTCAAATTTCATAAAAAGTAACCACAGCCGATAATCAGCAGAAGATGAAAAATTATTTTTGAGCGAACTTTATCTTCTAACAATAGTTTTTCTAATTATTTTTGGTCATAAAATTTTTTTTGGTTCCAATACTATTGCTAGAACAATTCCAATTAATATCTGGATCATCAAAATTAATTTAGTTCAAATTTCATAAAAAGTAACCACAACCGATAATCAGCAGTAGATGAAAAATTATTTTTGAACGAACTTTACCTTCGGTTTAATAACAATTTTTTGACATCAAATTTTTTACTGGTCCCAAACTATTGCTAGAACCATTTTAATTAATATCTGGGTCATAAAAATTAATTTAATTCACAATTCATAAAAAGTAAGCACAGCCGATAATTAGCAGATGATAAAAAATTATTTTTGAGCGAAGTTTATCTTCTAACAATTCTTTTACTAACTATTTTTGGTCATAATATTTTTTTCTTGTCCCAAACTATTGCTAGAATAATTCCAATCAATATTTGGGTCATTAAAATTAATTTAATTCACAATTCATAAAATGTACCAAAATTGGTACTAAATTAATACCTTTCTTTTTACAGTGGCTTTTTGTAAATGTTTTTTTGAAATTTTAGTTAGTTTAATTTTTTAAATTGTTGAAAAATTTATTCTATTTTAGAACCACTTTATAAATATTTAGATATTTTTTAAAATTCCAATTGAAAAATTAAAAAAAGACTACCAACTTTTTCGTCAGGCATTGGATAAACTCCAATTATATCGGAAATTTCCGTCTTGCCAAATCTACCGAGTTCGCCCTTCAATTTAAGACCCGTAAAAGTTTTTGACATTTTCCAAAATTTAATGTGTCCCAAACCACTTGTTGTCAAATGTCCAGAAACAGATGGCGAGAACATGACATTGATGATCTCCTGTCCATGAGATTTGAAACGTAATGTGATTTTCGATTGCTGCCAATTCCATATGGTTAGTAAATAATCTGGTTCACCACCTTGGGACGCTAATAATTTGCCATCCGGACTGTAAATCAAATTGAAAGCATCAAATTGATACTAAAGAGAATGAAATTGATGCTAAAAATTTGGATCAGTTTTTAATTTGATTTTTGATATTAATTCGTTGCAATTTGATACTTTAAAGTTAACAGTGTTTGTGGTCCGCATAAATTCGCAGTGTTCGAAAAAAATTCAGTGGTGAAAATTAAAAGAAATAATTTTACCTAAAGTCTAAATGAGAAAATGATCTCGTTGTTCCGTGCCAAAGAATTGTCACTATTTCGAAACTCGGCCACTCGTAAATTATAATCGGTGGATCGTTTCCATTTTCACCAATAGCAATGTGGTTAAAAACTGGATTCTTCTAAATTATATTTTCATCATTGTATTTAATTATTTTATTCAATTGACATTCAATTTTGGAAATTAATTTTTAGAGTAAAATGTTTTTTCTGCTTTCAAACCAACATTTTTGAAAAAATAAATATTTGAGCAAATTTTCAGCTTCATTTATTGTTTTGTTGATAATTACTCAATCTGTATAGTTACTGTGTTAGTAAAAATAGTTTAGTACTTACTACAATATGTCCAATGCCACCTCCCTTGAAACTTCGTCTAAACCACAATTTATTTTCCGCAACATTAAAAAAATGAATCAAATTCCCCGATGCAAAAATAATTGTGTCCGGATCAGCGACGCAAAAATTAAAATATCTCCGACAGTTGTAACCAAAGGAATGACTGATTTTTACTTTTTATTATAAGGATTCATTTTTTAAGTTATAGATAAAAAGAAAGTTTAAATAGTTTCTAAGCTAGTAAATAGTTTTTATTTTTTAAGAGAGGGAAAGTTGAAGGAAATTATTTGCCAAAAAGAAAATAATGAAAAAGGATACTGAAGTTCTAAAATATTCATGGGCACACTGCCATTTTCGATGCGTTTCGCACGAGAAATGTAATCATCAGAATTGTAGTGGACAGTTTCTGGAGGAAGATTTAAATCGTCAATTAATTCCTCAACCTCTTGAAATTCTGCAAAAAATGACGTATTATTTCATTTTTTTGTTGTTGCTTCAATGAAAATAGTTTCGAGAATTTTTTATTTGTATATTTATAGTAACCTCTTTCATTTAATTCCGAATCTTCTGGAATATCTTCTAGATTATCATCCATATCTGTTGTATTTTAATTTTAATATCGATTTTTTGTAAATTCTTTTCTTCTAAATTTTTTTTTATTTTGTAAAAGTAAATTTTAGAAGAGAATAAATTATTTGCAAGTAAACTATAGATTACTTTAACTGACACGACGTCTAGTTTTAGGAAATAGAAACTTGTAACAATACGGTTACTATAGAAACACTTTAAAGCATTTATTGTATCTAAAAATGCTATTACTACTACCCTTACTTCTACTAGTACAACTACTATTATTACTACTACTATTAGTACTAATGATATTACTATTAGTTATTATTACTATAACTATTAGTACTAATGATAATAATAATATAACAATATAATAATAAAATTATTATTATTATTATTATTATTATTAGTTTTTAAAAAACTAATTTTTGAGAATTTATATAAAATTTTTCAAAAACTATAATAAAAAAAAAATAATTGTAATTCTTTGGAAATTAAATTATTATAGATATGCAATTTGAACTCTTTAATCAATGTTGCTTTTTACACGTTAACAAACATTTGAATACAATACATTCAATTTTTACTCTTTGTCTCAATTCAAACATTCAATTGTTTACCAATTATTAAATAAAATTTCTTTGAAAATCATATTTTTTTAATCTCTAATAAAATTCTTTAATTAAATTTAATTATTTTCAATTTAATTTTAATTTAACGATTAAATTAAAGTTTAAATTAAATTTCACTTAATTTGTTAATTCTTTGAATTAAATTTTATTTTTTTTAAATTCGAGTTCCTTTAAACAATAACAGGGTTGCCACAGGTCAGGGAAAAGTCAGGGAAAGTAAAATTGGTCAGGGAAATCAGGGAAAAGTTAGGGATTTTTTTTTATAAAGTACTGGAAAAAATTGAATTTTTGAGAAGTTACAAATAATTGCAAAAATTCAATTATGTTCAAAAATTAAAAAAAAAATTCTCGTCAAAATTCAATTATCTTTAAAAATAATAAAATTCTTCTCCGTATTTCAATTATTTTCAAAAATTTTAATAAAATTCTTTGCAAAACTTCAATTATTTTCAAAAAAATTTCCTCAATTGAATGATTTTTAATATCTAATATTTTAATAACATTTTTCAAAAGAATTCAATTATTTAAAAACAAAAATGCTGATAAAATTCTAAGCAAACATTAAATTATTTTCATAAATTATAAAAATTACACAAGAATTCAACTATTTCACAAATTTTTTATAAATTTCTTCCAAATAATTCAGTAATTTTCATAAGTAATAAAATTTTTTACAAGAATTTAATTATTTTCATGAATAATAAAACTCATAATTTAGAATTTCAATTATTTTTAATTGACTTCCTCGAAAAATTTAATCATTCTTGAAAATTTTATTAAAATTCCTCGAAAAAATTCAATTATGTTGATAAAATTCTTGATGATAATTCAATTTATAGAAACATTCATATTTATTCAGTAAATTATTTATTTTTGGATTTAAATAATTGAATTGTCGTAGAATTCTCCAATAAAAATTGATTTAAAAATGAATATTAATGAATATATTAAAAGCATTGAAGGAGGAATTTTTTAAAATAATCCAAAATTGAATTCTTTCGAAGAATTTTAATAAAATTTCTGAAAATAATTGAATTTCTGCAACGAATTTTATTAATTTTTATTTAAATAACTGAATTCTTTGAAAAACTTTTATTAAAAGAGTAAATTTTGAAAATTTTTGAAATTCAACGAAGAATTTCATTATTTGTAAAATGTAGAAATTTAATTCTTGCAAAAAATTTTTGAAGATAATTTCATTTTTCGAGAAATTTATATTAAAATTGTATTAAAAATAATTGAAACCCTCATGTGAAGAATTTTATTAATTTATGAAAGTAATTGAATTCTTGCAACGAATTTTATTATAATTTTTGTTAATAATTTAATATTTTTTTAAACATTTTATGGAAATCGAAATTTTTATAAAACATGAAGATATGAGTGATTCATATCTTCGTGTTTTATAATAATATATTCTTATAAGTTGTTTGCAAATAATTTTGCAATTAAAGAAATTCGTAAGTAAATGTAATAAAATGATTTTTTTTTTGGAGAATCTAATAATTTTTAGAGTGAATCAGAATATTCTTTAGGGTCAGGGAAAAAGTGAAAATTTTGTCTCAAAATCAGGGAAAAGTCAGGGAAAAACGAAATTAATTTTTTGTGGCAACCCTGAATAATGAATAAAAATTTCTCAAAAATCTGATGTTTTCAAAATTTTAATATTATAAATTTATAATTATTTAAAACTTAGATAATTTTTTAAATTAATACTTAATTATTATTAACTTTATTCATATCAATTGAAATTTTCAAAGAATTTTAGTTTAGAACCTGATATTTAATTAATTTCTGAAAATTGCAATGGTTTTTAACTATACAATCTTTTTAACGTTAATTGTAATTACTAATTAAAATTAATATTGATAATGAAATCAAAATAATTCTCTGAAAATTATTATATAATTTAGCTGTTTGTAAAAAAAATTATTTACTAATAGAGAGAAGAAAAAATTAAGAGAATTTTTTTAAAATTAATTTTGTGAATTAATCATTTTTAAGGTGAAAAAGAATTGAAGGAGTTTTTCAAAAAAAATTTTTTTTATAAAGATGAATCAAAAAGATGAATTTTTGTAGTAATTCTAGAAATTTGATATTTTTCAAGTACTTTTGATAAAATTCCCTGAAATTTACGTGACCATTTTCATTTTTTCCTGACTTTTCTTTTTTTTTGACTTTTTTTTTCTTGACTTTTCCTGAATTTTTCTTACATTAGAAATTTCAATAAAAAAAAGTCATATTTAATTCATTGTTTTTGAAATTAAATTATTTTGTGACTTTATACATCAGGATGGTCTTTTTTTCAAATTGAAATCGATTTAATGAGAAAGTTGATGCGATATCCTTATCAGATTCACTTTCAAATGAGTTTAAATTCATTCTACGTGAGTAATTTAAACCCACCTAGAAACGAAATGGATGCTAATTTTTATAATTATCATTTTTAAAATTAATGTATCAGAGAGGGTTGAAAAAAAAGTCTTCTAATTATAGGTTTTTTCGAAAAACAAAATAAAGAAAGTCAAAAATTTGTGAACTTTTTTTATTATTCCAAAATAATTTATATATACATATATTATACAGGCCGACAAAATTTTATTAATTGCATGTTGACTAAAATGTTATAGCCGATTGTTATAGGATTTTGTCCGTAGAATCCGAATTTGACCTTGAAAATATTGGATTGGCTCTAGTTTTCAATCAACTTACGTTTCAATACGCCAAATACGCATTTTTTTTGCATTTTTTGAATGGATGTAAAACCATACACCGAAACAGTCAATTTTTCCGCGTAATTTTTTTTTATCTAAAATAATTTATACAGTTTTCAATTTAGAAAATTACCTAATACTTTCGTTATATATTATCGACATTTTTATTTTCAAGCAATAATTGCTGTTGGACAATTTCAATGATTTTTTCCTTCACCGAATAAAAAGGTTCTTCAGTAACATCTTTCATAATTTCGACTACTTGCATTTCTGTCAGTGAATCATAATCTTCTGGATCTGTAAATACATTACGTTATACATTAAGTCAGAATTTAGGTGAATTTTGACCTACATTTTTACAGGTCAAAAAGAGGTTTCATAAGGGCCCTCCAAAGGGGCCGTTACATTACGCACGTTACATTTATAGCACAAAAAAACTTTATTTTTATTAGACTGTTAATAAAATTGAGAATAATTAATTAATTATTAATTAGATTACTTCAAATTGATCACAACTCACTTCGAATTGATAAATGTCCAAATAGTTCGCAAACAGCGGGATAAAAAGCTCTGGTATTTTTAATGCCATAATCGTGTTTTCTTGCCCAAATATAAACACGAATATCATCGAAATTTTGTTCCGAGTGAGTGGTATTTCCTCGTGTGATGAACACATTGTGAGCGATATTATTATTTTGCAAATAATTGATAATTAAAAAAACCCAGTTTGTTAAATTATTTGTTGTTTTATTTTTAAGGGATGAAAACGTAACGCAGAATCCTTTAGTTGGAAAGTCAACTAGCAAGTGAACGGGAGATCCATCAATATTTTGCAGTACCTGAAATATTTTTTATTAATTATTAATGTTAATAATATCAATAACATCAATAACATTAACAATAAATAATGTAATAAGAAATAAATATTTTTAAATGTTTAAAAATTGGCTCACAATATTTTCAAGAGGCATTCGATGTTCCAAGTAATATAAATGCCAATGTAGATGATTAACTGAAGCAAAAGCTCCTAAACTATTGAAAATTGCTCTTATGTTTCTGGAACGAAAGAAGAATTTTAATTTTTCAAAAGTAAAGTTCTTCTCTAAATTTTAAATTTTTGACTGACTATTGCACTGGAAAAAAATTATTTCATTCAAATAATCGATTATTTGACTAGTCAATTAAATATTTGAATCTAATAATTGTCATTTGAGTCAATCAATAAATTAATAATAATAAATTTTTTTTTCAGTGCAGCACTGAATATCCAAATACTAATATAGGGACAAATATTTTACTATATATCACGAAAATAATTTCAATTCGCTCACTTTGATTTACTCATCATTATTAATTCCAAAATATTTTCAACACTCTTCTTTGTCGCTATTTGTGGTAAATTTTCCAATCGTTGAGGTATAAATAAACAGTGATAGCGTTCAATTGGACTAATATTAATTGCAATTACATTGTTTCCATCTCCACATTCAATGTCAAATAGAATTTCTTCATTTGATATTTTATTGAAGTGAAACCGTTCAGTATTAAATGGTTGTGACATTGAAGTTATTTCTTCTGGTGTTCGACGATTTTCAGATCTATTAACATTTAACTGCAATTATAAAAATTTTTTTTATAAGCATATACACAAATGATTTTTTAAAATAAATTCTTTAAGTTTCGAGTTTAGGAAGATGTGTGAAAATTGTAACGAATTTTTAATTAAATAAAATTATACAAATAATTTCTATTGACAAGCCTCGGATATTAAAATTTATTTTTCTACATTTCTCGACAATTTTAAAAAAATTTTGACTTAAAAAAAAATTCTTCGACTTATTTTCAATAATTGAGACTTTTTCAAATTTTCTTTCAAATATTGCAACGAAATACCAAAATTTTAATATAAAATGCAAAACTCAAAAAATTGTTAATTTTTATTAAAATTTTTAATTTTATTAAAATTAAATTTTTTTTTTGTACATTGTGAATAATAACAATTGAAAAATCTTTTTTAAAAATTATTTTTGAATAATATTTTTAAGATAATTAAATTTTTAAAATCTAATTATAAAATTTTGGAATAATTGAAATTTTGTAAGATTTAATTGAAAACAATATTGCTCTTTTTTCTAGTGTTTTATTACAATTTTTGAAAATCGCAACTTTCGACGAATTTTATAATTGAAAATTTTGAAAATAATATTGAATTCTCAAAAATTTTAATAAAAAATCTTCAAGTGTAAATTAAAAAATTAAAAAAATAAAAATTTGCTTTTAAAAATTATATTAAACAATTTTTGAAAAAAGTAATTCTTAGAATTTTTTTTAATCTAATTTTTTTAAAATTCCATTCTTTTCAATCTTTTTAATTACGAATTTCCGAAAATTGAAATACATACAAAAAATAATAACAGAATTTTTTAGAATTATTTTTAATATTTTGCAGAAACAATCGTGTTCAAGATTATAAAATTCTTAAAAAACATTAAATAATTCTTTTTTGAAATATACAAACATTCTTTTAAGAAATTCAATTATTTTCAAAAAAAAAAAATACTTTACAATATATTTAAACAAACTAATTCTTAGAATTTTTTTATTTATAATTTTTTAAATTCCATTATTTTCAATATTTTTTAATACAAATTTCCGAAAATTTAATAACATACAAAAAATAATAACAGAATGTTTTAGAATTATTTTTAATATTTTTCTGAAACAATCATGTTCAAAATTATAAAATTCTTTTAAATATTAATTAGTTCTTCTTTAAATTATAGGTACGAACATTCTTTTAAGAAATTCAATTGTTTTCAAAAAAAATAATTTAGAATATTTTTAAAAAACTAATTCTTAAAATTGTTTTAACATAATTTTTTAAGATTCAATTATCTTCAAACAAAGTACTTATTTAAATTTCACAGAAATTATGTTCATATTTTTTATAAAAATTCTTCCAAAAATTTTTTTTTTTTTTATAGTTTTCAAAAATTATATTATTTTTAAAAGATTTTGCTAAATTTTTGGTAATTTTTCAATATTGTATACAATTGAAAAACTATTATTCTTCAAAAATTATTTAAAAAGATTTTAATCGGTTCATCCGATCGCTAGTAATTAGCTATTTACTAAAACGCTACAAATAACTTTGACCTTGAATAACATTGGCAATTATTTGAATTTCGGAAAACTATTTACAGGTTTTAATTACACCATCATAGGCTATCGAAACATGATTTATTTCAATTAAATAATTATAAATAATTTTATGTATTTCAATTAAAAAAAAACAATTTTTTTTAACTTCTTTCCTTTTTTTTTTACTCACCTGAGTTAAAAATTTATATTGGCCATCAAGTAACTTCCACTGCTGAATATCTAATTTGTACCGGAAAAGATTTTCACTTTGAGCCTTTTCCCATTTTTCCTTAATAAGCAAATCAAATTCAGAATCTTGATTCTCGTTTTGATTGATATTAAAGAAGAAATTATTTGGATTACATGAGACTACAGGGAATATTTTTTGATCCATTGTTAATATAAAATTAGACGTATTTTCTGCTATTTAATTGTGATAATAATTGAAGAGACACGTGTTCTTCAAACACAAACCATTTTACTACTAACTTCCAGTTCCACTGCTTGTGTGATCATTTTGGACAACAGAGATGTGATTTTGTGTAGCGGAAAATTTAAAATTAGATTTGAAATATTTATTAAATCTTCTAAAAAAATACAGTAATATGAAGTATAAATTAAGAATAAATTATAATTGTGCTGTAAAATAAACAAAAAATTACGTTCTTTGTGATTTCAAGAAGAGTTTTTTTTAATTTTCGTAAAATTTCGTTCTTGACACGATTGATTTGATGTTTTCAGAAAAGGTAATAGCGATCACGTTAGAAATTTCACTGAGGTAAACAAAATTTCAATAGGTATTAATAGTAATAAAAAAAAAATAATTTTACACTAAGAAGCAAATTTATAAAAAAATTGGTATCATCTGAATTTTGACACAATACTGCAACAAAAATTACCTATTTTTTTGTTTCTTCATTTGAAATTATTTTCAGTTAATCATTTCAAAAATAAAATTTTAATTTTTTACTAAGCTATGAATAATAACTATTAGAAATAACAGCTACTTGAATAATTATAAACAATTTAAAATTTTATTAAAAAAAAAAGAAAAATGATTTTCAAAAAGGAGCGAAAAAATGCACAAATAAATTGGTAATTCTAGATAAAAATTATGAAGATAAATATTTAAAAAAAACAGTTAAAATTTTTTATTTTTTATTTCCAAATATCAAGTTTAATTTTTGAAAAATTTCTAGTCAGATTCAAAATTTTCAAAAATTTACTTATTAAATACATGATCCATTATTATTATTGTTTATTATTTTCTTAAATTTTAATAAAATTCTTGTCTCAAAATCAATTATTTTTATAAATAATAAAATTTTTTATCAGGAATTCAATTATTTTTAATTTATACAATTTTAATAAAATTTTACAAAAGAATTCAATTATTTTTATAAAATATGATAAAATTCTTCTCAGGAATTCAATTATTTTCACTTACAATTTTAATAAAATTTCTTAATTTTCAATTATTTTGTAAAAATTTTTTAAAACATTTCTCAAAAGCTTGCAATGATTTTGAAAAATTTTTCGAAAGTAATTCAATAATTCTCGTCGAATTTTGATAAAATGAATTTTCATTGATTTCAATTATTTTTACTTCAATTTTGATAAACTTTCATGAAGAATTCAATTACTTTTCAAAAATTGTAATAAAATTCTTCGCAAGAATTCAATGATTTTTAATAAATTAAGTTTTAAAATTCATAACAGAAAAATCATTAAAAAAAACTCCATTATTTAAAAACAAAAAAAATTCAAATAAATACTTTAAAAATTTCTATTTCAAATTATTACAAAACAAAAACCCTCTACATTTTTAAAAGATATAGAAATAAATACTTGAAAATAAATATTTTCAAAAATTTTAATAAAAGTTTTCGTTAGAATTCAATTATTTTCAAAAATTTTAATAATATTCTTCGCAAGAATTCAATGATTTTTAAAACATTAATTTTCAATGATTTGAAAAATATTAGTTTTAGAAATTAAAACATTTAAACGCAGAAAACTTCTTCAAAACAAAAGAATTGCATTATTAAAAAATAAATTCAAGTAAATTTACTGAAAACAATTATTTTAAAAAATTTAAATAATAGTCTTCGATAGATTTTAATTTTTCAAAAATTTTTATAAAATTCTTGTCAAGAATTCAATGATTTGAAAAAATTAATTTTAGAATTTAAAATATTTAAAAAGAAAAGTTATTAAACAAAAGAATTCCATTATTAAAAAAAAAAAATTCAAATAAATTCTTGAAATCAATTATTTTCCAAAATTTAAATAATAGTATTCGTTAGATTTTAATTATTTTCAAAAATTTCTATAAAATTCTTGTCAATTATTTTCAAAAATTTAAATAATAGTCTTCGATAGATTTTAATTACCTATTTTCAAAAATTTTTATAAAATTCTTGTCAAGAATTCAATGATTTGAAAAAATTAATTTCACAATTTTAAATATTTAAAAAGAAAAGTTATTAAACAAAAGAATTTTTCAATGTTTCGTGAAAAACTCTGGGAAAATTTGAAAAGAATTCCATTATTTGAAAAAAAATTCAAATAAATTCTTGAAATCAATTATTTTCAAAAATTTAAATAATAGTCTTCAATAGATATTAATGACCTATTTTCAAAAATTTTAATAAAATTCTTGTCAAGAATTCAATGATTTTTAAAACATTAATTGTGGAAATTGAAACATTTGAAACCAACTATTATTAAATAAAATTACATTATTCGAAAAAAATTCAAATAAATTCTCAAAGATAATTATATTTAAAAACTTTAATTAAAGTCTTCCTTTGTTAGAATTCAAATTATTTTCAAAAATTTTGAAAAAAACTTCTTCCTAAGAATTGAATGATTTTCAAAGCTACATTATTTTTAAAATTCAAAATATTTAAAAAAAAATTGTCAAGTAACTTGAGAAATAAGCAAGCATACCAACTAATTTTAAAATGCGCATAAACAACCGGAAAACAATTATTAAAATAGAAATTTAAAATTACTTATTCACTAATATTAATAATTAGAATTATTTAAAATTTTACTATAGACTAATTTACTTCTATTTAATAAACATTATTTTTAATATATATATATACGAAAGGAAAAGTAAAAATGACATCGACATGTCTATTTTGTATATGTACAATTTTTTATGGTACAATAAAAAACCATAGTCATATTGTAATTGTATGTTTAATAATAAGTATAATAATAACGATAATAATAATAATAATATTAATAATAATAATAATAATAATAATAATAATAATAATAATAATAATAATAATAATAATAATAATAATAATAATAATAATAATAATAATAATAATAATAATAATAATAATAATAATAATAATAATAATAATAATAATAATCATAATAATAATGATATTAATAAAAATAATAATCATACTAATAATGATAATAATAATAATAATAATAATAATAATAATAATAATAATTTGAATTTATTTACATTTTCAGACCTTATAGTCTGTATTTCAATTAAATTTAACTATTTAACACCAGAATGCTTTACATACACGAGATACATTAATATAAACAAATATCAAGATTGGTTATATAATTCTCTACTTACACTCTACATACAGTACATACAATACGTACATTATTAATTTCACAATTAAAAAAAACTTAAAAAAAAAATTAAAAATCATTTAGAAAGAAACGAACCTGGACACATTAGATTTTTTTTTGTTACTGTATCTTATACTGAAAAAATAGACAGTATGTACATAGAACTGCACGTTGGTTTTTTTTTCTTTTCTTTTCTTTTCTTTTGTTACGGTTAAAAAGAAAACCATTTGATCGCACGCACAGATACAAATCTCAATCACAATTTCATTTAACTTTTTTTTTCTTTTGTACAATTGTTTTTATTATTATTATTATTATTATTATTATTATTTGTTTTTAAAATACATAAAAATCTTTTTTTTTCTTTATCTTTCTCTGAATTAAAAGCAAAAAAAAAAGAAAAGAGAAAAGAACTATCTGTACGTGCGTTCGTTAATTACAATTACATCGAAAATACACATAAATTTCCCTGAGACTGATTATAACGATTAAAAAAAAAATATATTTATATATAATATTAATAATAATAAATGTACGACACAGTACTATAAAGAATTTTTTTTTTAGGTAAACTTATAAAAGAGTTTCTCGGTGTATGTTAAACAGGCTCGCGAATATTTTTCACGGGGCGATAATCAATTGCCTATTGTTTATTAAAATTTTATAATTTCAATTAATTCGATTAATTCAATTAATTCATTTCATTCAATGAATTCATTTCATTCAATTAATTCATTTCTTTAATCAATTCATTTCATTTAATTAATTTATTTAATTCAATTAATTCATTTCTTTAATTAATTCATTTCATTTAATTAATTTATTTCATTTAATTACATTTATCAGTGGAAATTGTATTCAATTTCTAATTATTTTTGTTGGAAAAAATTTTTTTTTAGAAAATTACTTTTATTAGGGAAAGAAATTTTAGAAATTCACCTTCATTAGAAGGAGAAATTTTACTTTTTCTAAAAAGCAATTTTGTTTTTTTAGAGAAAGTATAGAAAAATCCAGTTTATAAATAAAATTTAATAATTTTATTTTTTATTTTTCTTGATGCATATTTTCTTTTCGGCAAATTGCGAGGCAAATTTTTACCGCCCCATTTTTCTCTTATAATTGCAATTAGAATATTGCGAATAAAATTTTCTTCATTATTCTTCTTTCGATAGTTTTTCTATTTTATTTGAAAATCGTAGTTCGCGAAAGAATTAAGTACGTAAGACTTGTTTTAGTTTATACAGAAATGTATTTTTTTCCTTATAATATTAAAAATTTATTATTTCTAAATTGTTTCGGTTAAAATATTTTTTCCCCATTTTTTCCTTAATTTTATTTATTTATTTATTTATTTATTAATTTTTTTGTATATTTAGCTTCGCTGCTATAGATTCTCACTGCTTTTTCAATTTTTAATCACCATCCCGCCTTTTTTATTTTTTTGATTCAATGATCGTCATTCAAGGCGTTCTCATTAGAGCTTAGAAAATAATAAATTTATCAGAGATCGAATACGCGTATTGCACACAGAGAGTATAACCAAATAAAACATTTCTCCGTGAGAAAAAAAGAATTCCTTTCCTACATATTTATAAATCTCAGTCGACTAAAGAGTATTTTTTTTCCACTAAATAATAAAAGAAAAGAAAAAAAAAATTGCGTATTCTTTCCAAAAAAATTGCACTTCCCAAAACATTTGTAAATGCTATTTTTCAGCGCACGTGAAAGACTTTTGTTTTTTGTTTTTTTTTCGGGGAGGTTATCGGAAGAAAAAAGCCGTATAATAAAAACTAACTGGTAACGTTTTAGATTTAGGAAAAAAAAGAAATTAATTACTAATTTAATTAATTTAACTAAATAGAAATGACTCAAGCAGAACGTCTTTGAATTGAATTGTGGAATAAAATTTTACATATTGATTCTAGAGTTAAAAATTTTTTTCTTCGATTTGAAGAAGAAAAAAATGTTTTTTTTTCTTTCCAAGACGCTCGGCATATTCCTATTGTCGTAGGCGGCAGTTTTCTCTCTCTAAAAAGCATTAGTTTTTAAAATCCGCATTTTAAACCAGCCTTCAGGCGCGATAATAAAATATCATTCTACGGATATATTCATATATATATTTAATATATTTATATATGCATATCTCCAGTAAATACTCTAATGTAATGTCACAGATGGCTGCTTTGTGTTATCGTCACTCTTACTTTCTAGATAACATTTTTTTTTCTATTTTACTCCTGTAATCCGAATTGCACTCTCTATCGAATAATATTGCGAGACATTTTTCTCTCTCTTACAAACTAAAAACAACCACCACAAAAAAAAAATTATTTCTAAAAAAAATTCTCTCATTCAATTTTTTTCCTTGAATTTCGTTTAAATATAACAATAAAAAAGCAGATTAGTTAATCAAAAAAGAATTTTTCATAAAAAACAGATTTTTCCCAATCGTTCAATGAATAAAAAACAATCATATTTAATCGTCAAAAATGTTCAACAAAATAAAATACTCACATGCTTAAACTTGGCGCAATCTAGTTTTTCTCTCTCGCTTAATAATGGGCTTAATATTGGAAATATTATTCTCTAATTTAACAACAATTTGTTTAAGAGTCTTTTTCCGGGGTGAATTTGAAGTTGAGGGCTTATCCTTAATGGAGGATTCCTCCCCACTCACCTGATGTCACCTTGTGCTTATTAAAATTCGTTCAACATTCAATAATGATTTAACTTTATCGTTGTACTTGATTAATGTGACTTTTGAGCCTCGGACATTAATTTTTTCACCACCACTCAATAAATGACAGCATCGCGATTGCTCCAAAAAATCGCCAAGTTTCATGTCCTTCATAACGTCGCGATGCGCAACATTGGGCGGTCCACTCGGTGCTTTTGGATTAATTTGTCGTAATAGTGCATCACGACTTTTAACTTTCACTGCAGTCATCAAGTCTTGAAGGAGAATCCATTTATCGGGATCGTTATTTAATGTGAAGAGAGCCGGTAAATTAATGTCACTTACTTCCATTTCAATTTCTTCCAATTCTAACTTTGGTGCTTCAACGGGAATATTCTCCAGTGGATTGTAGCCCGATTCTTCGGGATCTGTGAATAAAAATTAAGGAGTTTTAGAGAAAATTGAAATTTACAATTTTTTTTTTTTTATATAAAATAATTTTGTTTGAATTTAATTTATAAATATTTATTGGAATATTTAGGAAATTTTTTTTTAAATTGGCTGATTTATATTGACTTGTACTACTTATTATAAAAATTTAAACATTTGTCTGGCTAATACAGGAATTTACTACTAATAACAATTTGAAAAAATATTTTCTATGTCCAACTATTACTGAAAAATTTCTAAAATAACAAAGTCTGACTAAAAAGTGCCTTTACTACTGATACCAATTATTTCAAGATTTTAACAAAATCCTAATGTTTTGTCTGATTTATAATAACTTAGACTACAGATTATAATTTTTTTAATTTGTCTGACTATTACTGCATATTACTACTGACAAAATTAAAAAAAGGTTTTTTTGGCTGACTACTACCCATTTTTACTACTTCAACAATTCTAAAATATCAAAGTTTGTATAAAGATTGCCTTCACTGCTGCTACTAAATATTTCAAAATTTTCCATTATTTTATTCAGTTAATACTAACTTACACTACTGATTACAAAATTAATAATTAATTAATTAATTAATTACCTAATTAATTAACTTATTGACCAATTAAGCAATGTCTGACAAAAAATTGCCTTTACTACTTATACCAATTATTTTAAGATTCTCTAATGTTTTTTTTTAATCTATATTAATAAAATCAGACTTCTGTCTGTACATTGCTCTAAACTTGAAAATTTTTATATATTTTTTCGTTTTGAGACATTAGAATTCGAAAAATGTAAAAAAAAAATTCTGTCTGTCTGTCTGTATGCAAAACTTTGTTCGCGCATCAATTGAAAACGGTATAACGAATTAAAGTGAAATTTGGCAGTCTATTAGGTATTAACGTAACTTAAAATCATAGTCTTATCCGATTAAAAAATATTAACTTGAACGAAAGTTATGACATTTTTCCAAAAAATTCGAAAAATCAAAAAATATACAAATTTTTTATTTTTTGTAAAATGAATGCAAAACTATCCTTAGCTAACTTTTTCAGATAAATACAACCCATTTCTAACAATAAAGTTTTTAAAAAAGACGTATTTTGAATTTTTTTCTCCTTTTGTTAGATCAAATTTTTTCTAAAAAAAATAGTGATTTTTAACCCCTTCGCTGTGAGGAGAAAAATTTATAAAGTGGGTCCAAAATGTTAAGAAATTTTTTGGTGACCAAAATTTGTGAGATTGGGTACAGTTAGGTTTTGGGGGCCGCTGATGACGAATCTGAAGTCAAATTTTCAAAATTCAAAATGGCGGATCCAAAATGGTGGACGTATTTTTTTGAATTCATCGGATTTGCTTGAAACTTGTTACTCGGGGGTTTTCGAGGTCGCTGATTCCGAATATGAAGTCAGCTTTTTAAAATTCAAAATGGCAGATCCAATATGGCGGACAACATTTTCAAAAATTCATCGGATTCACTTAAAACTTGTTACTTAGGGGTTTTGGGGGCCGCTGATGACGAATCTAAAGTCAGATTTTCAAAATTCAAAATGGCGGACGTATTTTTTGAATTTATCGGATTTGCTTGAAACTTGTTACTCGGGCGTTTTCGAGGTCGCTGATTCTAGATATGAAGTTAGATTTTCGAAATTCAAAATGGCAGATCCAAAATGGCGGACATATTTTTTTGAATTAATCGGATTCGCTTAAAACTTGTTACTCGGGGGTTTTCGAGGTCGCTGATTTGGATCCGCAATTTTGAATGTTTAAAAATGCACTTCAGATTCGTTATCAGCGACCCTGAAAACCCCCGAGTAACAAGTTTCAAGCGAATACGATGAATTCAAAAAAATACGTCCGCCATTTTGAATTTTGAAAATCTGACTTCAGATTCGTCATCAGCGACCTCAAAAACCCCCGAGTAACAAGTTTCAATCGAATCCGAGAAATTAAAAAAATATGTCCGCCATATTGGATCCGCCATTTTTAATTTTTAAAATCTGAGCTTAGATTCGTTATCAGCGACCCTGAAAACCCCCGAGTAACAAGTTTCAAGCGATTACAATGAATTCAAAAAATACGTCCGCCATTTTGGATCCGCCATTTTGAATTTCGAAAATCTAACTTCATATTCCGAATCAGCGACCTCGAAAACCCCCGAGTAACAAGTTTTAGGCAAATCCAATGAATATTAAAAAGTATGTCCGCCATTTTGGATCCGCCATATTGAATTTCGAAAATCTAACTTCATATTCGGAATCAGCGACCTCGAAAACCCCCGAGTAACAAGTTTCAAGCGAATTCAATGAATTTAAAAAAATTAGTCCATCATCGAAATTCAAAATGGCGGATCCAAATCCGCCATTTTGAATTTCGAAATTCTAACTTCATATTTGTAACCAGCGACGTCGACAACATTTTGATATAATTGTGTGAGATATTATTTTGATATAATAATGTATGCTGCCTGAGATTTAATATAATAAAAGTATAATTAAAAACAGTCTACTTTTGAGCAGCCATATTGGATTTTGGTTTTCGAATTTTCAAAATTTGACTTCAGTTTCGAATTTAGCGTCGAAAATACCATAAGTAACGTATGTGTGACGTAAATTTACTTGTTTTTTCTGCCTTTTATCAATTTTTTTGTATGTACGTCTATAGACGTACCTCACACTGGAAGCCCACTTTCAAATGTACGTCTATAGACGTACCCTCACAGTCAAGGGGTTAATCTTTAAGCAAGCTTTTCAGGAAAAGTTATTAAAGTTTTTTATTTAAAGATCAGTATGTAAAGTAAGAAATTTGCTACATTAGACAAAAATAATAAAGCTAAATGCCATAAAAGAGAAGAAAAAATGTTGAATTTTAAGAAATTCGGTTTTTTGAATTTTTGCTAATATTCCATAATTTTTGATTTTTTACCAAAGGGTGGAGACTATTAAATAAGTAAAGTATTTTTGAAAAGCACAAAAATAATGAAGCTAAATGCCATAAAAAAGAAGGAAATATGTTGAATTTTAAGAAATTCAGTTTTTCGAAATTTTCATAATTTTTGACTTTTTACCAAAAGGTGGAGACTATTAAATAAGTAAAGTATTTTTGAAAAGCACAAAAATAATGAAGCTAAATGCCATAAAAAAGAAGGAAAAATGTTGAATTTTAAGAAATTCAGTTTTTCGAAATTTTCATAATTTTTGATTTTTTACCAAAGGGTGGAGACTATTAAGTAAGTAAAGTATTTTTGAAAAGTACAAAAATAATGAAGCTAAATGCCATAAAAAAGAAGAAAAAATGTTGAATTTTAAGAAATTCAGTTTTTCGAAATTTTCATAATTTTTGATTTTTTACCAAAGGGTGGAGACTATTAAATAAGTAAAGCATTTTTGAAAAGCACAAAAATAATGAAGCTAAATGCCATAAAAGAGAAGGAAAAATGTTGAATTTTTAAGAAATTCGGTTTTTTGAATTTTTGCTAATTTTGGATAATTTTAGATTTTTTACCAAAGGGTGGAGACTATTAAATAAGTAAAGTATTTTTGAAAAGCACAAAAATAATGAAGCTAAATTCCATAAAAGAGAAGAAAAAATGTTGAATTTTAAGAAAATCGGATTTTTGAATTTTTTCGAATTTTTGATAATTTTAGATTTTTTACCAAAGAGTCGAGACTATTAAATAAGTAAAGTATTTTCCAAAAGCACAAAAATAATGAAGCTAAATCCCATAAAAGAGAAGAAAAAATGTTGAATTTTAAGAAAATCGGATTTTTGAATTTTTTCGAATTTTTGATAATTTTAGTTTTTTACCAAAGAGTCGAGACTATTAAATAAGTAAAGTATTTTCCAAAAGCACAAAAATAATAAAGCTAAATGCCATAAAAAAGAAGAAAAAATGTTGAATTTTAAGAAATTCGGATTTTTGAATTTTTTCGAATTTTTGATAATTTTAGATTTTTTACCAATGATTCGAGACAATTTAATAAGTAAAGTATTTTCCAAAAGCACAAAAATAATGAAGCTAAATGCCATAAAAGAGAAGGAAAAATGTTGAATTTTTAAGAAATTCGGTTTTTTGAATTTTTGCTAATTTTGGATAATTTTAGATTTTTTACCAAAGGGTGGAGACTATTAAATAAGTAAAGTATTTTTGAAAAGCACAAAAATAATGAAGCTAAATGCCATAAAAAAAAAGAAAAAATGTTGAATTTTAAGAAATTCGGTTTTTTGAATTTTTGCTAATTTTCATAATTTTTTATTTTTTACCAAAGGGTGGAGACTATTAAATAAGTAAAGTATTTTCGAAAAGTACAAAAATAATGAAGCTAAATGCCATAAAAAAGAAGGAAAAATGTTGAATTTTAAGAAATTCAGTTTTTCGAAATTTTCATAATTTTTGATTTTTTACCAAAGGGTGGAGACTATTAAATAAGTAAAGTATTTTTGAAAAGCACAAAAATAATGAAGCTAAATGCCATAAAAGAGAAGGAAAAATGTTGAATTTTAAGAAATTCTGTTTTTCGACGGGTATGACAGCTAGTTAAAAATAATTTATAATAGTTATGTCTGACTACAACTTGTTAATGCTACTGTAAAAATTTTGAAATGTACCAAAGTTTGACTACATATGTTATTTACTACTTATAACAATTTTGGTTAGTTTTTTAAAAGCTTCGTCTGATTTATAATAACTTATATAATACTGATTAAAATTTTTTTTAATTTGTCTGATTTTAACTGCATTGAACTACTTATAATAAATTAAAAATGTTTGTGTGTGACTAAAAATAGTTTTCACTACTGATACCAATTAATTTGAGATATTCTAATGTTTTGTCTGATTAATATTAACTTATACCACTGATTAAAACAAGTTTAAGATTGTCTGACTTTAACTGAATTTTACTACTAATAACAAATTGATAAAAGTTTTTATGTCTGACTACTACCACTATTTAGTACACAAAATTTTCTAAAATATCAAAGTCTGACTAAAAATTATTTTTACTACTGATATTAATTATTTTCCGATGTTTTGTGTGATTAATATTGATATTTACTACTGATTATAAAGCTTCTAAATTGTCTGACTAAAGCTGTTTGTACTACTAACAATAAAATTGAAAGAATGTTTTTGTGTTTGACTGCTACGACTTTTTACTACTGCAAACAGTTTCTAAAATAGCAATGTCTGACTAAACATTGTCTTTACTACTGATACCAATTGTTTCAAGAGTTTTTAATGTTTCATCTGATTAATATTTAAAGTGAAAAGTCTAACTAAAACTGGTCTTTACTACTTATGTTAATTTTGGTTAATTTTTTCTATGATTTCCCTGATGAAAGGGAATTGAGTAAAAATGAAAATTTAATTTTTATTTAATTATTAAAATATATGAGAAAATTAAAATAAAACTTTAATTAAGGGAAAAATAGTAGAAGAAAAATTTACCAAAGACTGATGATGGTCCACCGAAAGACCAGGGTTCACAGTCTCGTCCTTGAATGTCATTCAAATGTTGTTGGAGTATTGTGTGCGCATCAGTGTCTGATGCCAACATCAGAGGTGTTTGTCCGGCGTAAGTCGCCAACAATGGATCAGCTCCGTATGATAATAATAATCGTACAAGTTCCGCTGATCCGTTTTCTGCTGCTTCGTGCAATGGCCTAGAAAAAGATTTCATTTTATTCCTCTTCTTTTTAAGGTCTCTTAAATAAGAGACAATTTCAACTTTTAAAAAAAACACTAAATTATAATTTTTCGCGCTTAGCGCAAGCACTAACTTTAAAGACATTTTTATTAAATTAATTTATTGAAAATACAACTCTTTATATTGAATTTTCGAATTTGATAGATTCAAATAAAAATTGAAATTTATTTCTTTTTTCTTACCTAATCCCACCGTTAGCACTTTCACTGACATTTGCGCCATAAGCCAATAGAAGTTTAGCAATTTCAAGGTGACCTTTGGCACAAGCTTCATGAAGTGGAGTATATCCGGCATTGTCTTTCGGACTAGGAATATTATTCAGCTTTTCCAAACAGAAGGCAGCCACGTCCTGCATATCAAAAACGAATTAATTTGTAAATTAAATTTTAACACTTTCAAATATGTAATGAATAAAATAATTTAAAAATTAAATTCAAATAATTAAAAGTAAAATCATTAAATAATTTCACGTAAAGTAATTAAATTTCAAGAATTAAAAAGTAAATGATTAAATTTCAATAAATAAAAAGAAATTAATTAAATTTCAATAATTAAAAAGTAAATGATTAAATTTAAATAATTAAAAAGAAATTAATTAAATTTAAATAAAAGAATGTATATTCTTACCGTGTAACCTAATCTTGCTGCCCGATGTAAAATAGTTTCGCCAACTCCTTTCTTTATAACCCAAGTTCTTATCTCATTTTGAATATCAGCCACGCATTCTGGATTTGATTTTGTAATAGTTGGCTGAAATTTAAATTGATAATGTCAATAATTTGAGTGATAAATAAACAAATTAAGTAAACAATTTATCACAGAATTTATAATTTTGTTTTATTTTGTCTGACATATAATAGTCATTTACTACTTATTATAACTTTTTACTATTCGGAAAATAGAGGCATTAAAAATAGTTTTGCCTGACCAACATTGATATTTACTACTTAAAAACTAAAATGTGACGAATTATTTATTTTTGTCGGATAAATTATCGACCTGAACTACTTAACACTTAAATAAAAATTGTACCATTTTTCGTCTGACTAATAAAGGACTGTTACTGAATTTATCATGTTTTTAGTGTCTGACAAATACTAGTGCTTACTAGTAATAAAACAATGAGAAGGAATTTAAGCACTTTCGCCAGACTGATGTCATTTTTTACTACTGATTTAGAAATTTTTTTACGAATCGCAAACTTCTTATTAAAACTGTCTTTTACTACTAGTACTATACAATTCGTATAAATAAAATTATTGCAAATTTAAAATAACTAATTAAATATTGATTTTATTTACTAATAACTTTATTGGAAACATTAAAATGTCTGACGAGAAGTATTCTTAACTACTAATATGAAATTTTTTTTCATGCACTGTCTGACTAATATTGTATTATACTACTACTATATCGACAAATTTTGACTGATTTTTTTAATCAATATTATTACGTCCATTTTTACTATACTGACAAAAATATAACGAAAGTCTAACTAAAAACTGCCTTAACTACTGATATTAATTTCGGTTAGTTTTTCAGTGTTTAGTCTGATTTATATCCACTTATACTACTGATTAAAAAAATTTCAGACTGTCTGACTATTACAGCATTTTACTACTAATGAAATTAAAAAAAGTCCTTTATGTCTGACTACTACCACTTTTTACTACTGCAAATAGTTCTAAAAACTTAAAAAGTCTGACTAAAAATTGCCTTTACTACTGATATTAATTTCGGTTCGTTTTTCAGTGTTCCGTCTGATTTATATTGACTTATACTACTTAAAGTTATACTACTTATACTACTTCAAAGTTTTCAAAATATCAAAGTCTGACTAAAAATTGCCTTTACTACTGATATTAATTTCGGTTAGTTTTTCAGTGTTTCGTCTGATTTATATTGACTTATACTACTGATTTAAAAACGTTTCAGACTGTCTAACTATTACAGCATTTTACTACTAATAAAATTGAAAAAAGTCCTTTATGTCTGACTACTAACACTTTTTACTACTGAAAGCAGTTCCCAAAACTTAAAAAGTTTCCCTTTACTAATGTTTTCAATTATTTCAAAATTTTCCAATGTTTTGTCTGATGAATGTTGATCTAAACTACTGATTAAAAAAGTTTAAAATTGTCTGACTATAATTGCAGTTTATTACTAACTAACTAACTAACTACTGTCAATTTGTCCAATAGTTTCCAATCTTTTGTCTGATTACTAATTATTTTTACTACTGATTTAAAAAAGTAGAATATTGTCTGACTATTACAGCATTTTACTACTCATAAATTGAAAAAACTTTCTTTGTAACCTAATTAAAAATATTTTTTTGTATTTTTCACTACTACCACTTTTTACTATTTGAAGCAGTTTTCAAATAAGTAAAGTCTGACTAAAAATTGTCTTTACTACTGATACAAATTATTTAAAGATTTCCCAATGTTTGTATGATGAATGTTGACCTATCCTACTGATTATAATTATAAATTTGGCTTCTAGTATTACTATTAATATTTCCAAAATATCAAAGTCTGATTAAAAATATCCTTTACTACTGATATTAATTTTGATTGGTTTTTCAGTGTTTCGTCTGATTTTTATTGACTTATACTAATGATTAAAAAATTTTCAGACTGTCTGACTATTACAGCATTTTACTACTAATTTTTTTTTAAAGTTCTTTATGTCTAACTATTACATCATTTTACTACTGCAAACAGTTCACAAACTTGAAATGTCTGACTAAAATCTTCCTTTACTACTGATATCAATTATTTCAACATTTTATAATACTTTATCTGGATAATATTCACTCATACTACTAACTACAAAAATTAATGATTGTCTGACTATAATTGTATGTTACTACTAATAACAAAATAAAAAATTTGTTTTTAAAAATTTGACAAATTGCTTTTTGGGTTTGACTTGTTACCACTTTTTACTACTTTCAAGTTTCCAAAATATCAAAGTCTGACTAAAAATATCCTTTACTACTGATATTATTTTTCATTAGCTTTTTAGTGTTTCGTCTGATTTAAATTGACTTATACTACTGATTAAAAAATTAATTATTGTCTGAGTATAACTGCATTTTTCTACTAATATCAAAAGTGAAAAAAGTTCTTTATGTCTGACTACAATCACTTTTTACTACTGCAATGTTTCCAAAATATTGAAGTCTGACTAAAATAGACTTTACTACTACCGTTAATTTGTCCAAAAGTTTCCAATGTTTTGTCTGATTACTTATTATTTTTACTACTTATTTAAAAAAGTAGAGTATTGTCTGACTATTACAGCATTTTACTACTCATTATAAATTGAAAAAACTTTTCTTGTGTTTAACTACTGCCAACAGTGGCTAAATTTAAAAAGTCTGACTAAAAATTTTCTTTACTACTTACACCAATTATTTCGAGTTTTCCCCATGATTTGTCTGATTAATATTAATTTGTACTACTGATTTGGAAAAATTTAAGATTGTCTGACTATAACTGCATTTTACTACTTATAACCTAATTAAAAATATGTTTTTTCTATTTTTCACTACTACCACTTTTTACTATTTAAAGCAGTTTTCAAATAAACAAAGTCTGACTAAAAATTGTCTTTACTACTGATACAAATTATTTAAAGATTTACCAATGTTTGTCTGATTAATGTTGACCTATACTACTGATTATAAATATAAATTTTGCTACTAATATTACTACAATTTACTACTACTAACAAAATAGAAAAATGTTTATTATGTCTGAATACAACAGCTTTTTTACTAATACTAATATTATATATTAATACTAATACTACTTCTAATTTTCGAACATTTTGTCTGATTAATATTGATTACTACTGATTATGATGAAATATTTCACGAATACAATTTTTATTATTTCGTTAAATACTTTAATGAAATATTTCAAAAATGTAAATAATATATTTATTATATTTCATGTAAAAAAGAATTAAAAAATTTTCAACTTACCCTTTTTCTCTCTTTCGGCAAAATATCGTCCTTCTTCATCGGTTTCTTTTTCTTTCGAATATAATCGAAACCAGAACGGAATTTTCTGCGTCCAGTTCTAAATTTCTTTTTATTCAACGACTCATCATTGTTATCAGTTCCAGGCTCATTTATCTCCCTCTCCTGTATTTCATCACGATTTTGCTCCTCCTCCTCATCATCCTCCTCTTCGTCGTCCTCATCATCATCCTCAATTTCCTTCTTCACCTCCTTCACTGTCTTATCAATAAAATCCTTCTTCCTCTTAGCAATTAAAAGATGTCTCCTCGAATTTATAATCGCCTTATTATTACTGCCAAGAATACCAACATTTCTCAATCGTGAGACAACTTTTTGTTTTAATGTCATTGACCTCTCAATTGTTCCACTCTGCGATTCATTCTGTGAATCATCATCCTGCGATGTATCGCCATGATTTCTAATCGGTGGCGCCGATGCTGGACGATCCTCACCAAACACCTCTCTAATTGTCGCCTGTTTCTTCAGTACTCTCGTCTCCGTACGTGTACGACTTTTAAGAACAACGGTCGAAAATTCATTAGGCAGTGCATGATTGTTCTTGAATGTACTACGAAAATTGTTGACAGTCTCTTTACGGAAGTAGCCAAGGAGAAAAGAATCGGAAACTTTTATCGGTTTTGGTGATTTATTGTTCTTGATGGGAGTCTTGCCGGTTTTTGATTTTGATGATTCTTCCGGTAATAGAGGAGTGAGACTTGGCGTTGGTAACAGTTCCGGTTCATTATTACTTCGACGATTCAATTTAAAGGGACTTTTGTCAACTTTTTCCTTGTTTGACTTTTTCGTTGTTTTGGTTGTGCCGACTTTTTGGGCGAGAACATCGACTATTGAGTTTGTTTCCATTTTGATGAAACGTGTTTTTGGGGGACATGATATTGTCGTTGAGGATGTGGCCTCTTCGTCGTCAATTTTACTGCCAAGGAGACCAAAACTACAGTTTGATTCTAAATCGCTGTCGACTAGGCGCTTTCGATTGAGACACACGTCGGTGGAGTCCATCGAGACGGAAAGTGCTGGTGAGCCGGGATCCAAGTCCGGCAGGGAAGTGGATAATCGATGGAATCGCGTTGGTTTCGAGACGGTAATTAATCGCGGTGGCATTCTTAGGGATTTTTTGTAGACATAAACCTCTTCTTCCCAGCCGGGGCGGAAATCGCTGCCATCGCCGAATAATGGTTTTGGTTTTGTTTTATTAGGCGTTCCTTTTGGGGATTTTGTCGTTTCCTTTTCCTGTTTTCCCTTGTGCGGTGTATTGCCACGTGAACGTAATTTCATACCCTCATTGCTTTTACTTTTTCCCGAACGTTTTCTTGCTCGGAGGCGATCGGCTACCGATGAACCTTGTCCAAATTCGGTGCTTGCGTCACTTTCCTCGCTTGACGATTCACTGCCACTTGATGATTCCAACTTTATTCTACTTCCTCGTCGAACTCGATTCTTTCTGCAGACAATTTCCTCGTCTTGATCGCTGTCTTCTTTCTTCAATTTTTTCTTCTTTTTCGCACGTCTTATTAGCGGTACTTCATCGGAATCATCACCGGAATTCTTCTCCTTTGTCTTCTCGATTTCTATTCTGGGGAATTTTTCCTCAACTTTTTCATCGACTTCTTCTTCTTCTTCTTCTTTTTGCTCCTTTTTCTCTTCCTTCTCCTTTTGTTCTTCTTTTGGTTCAGTCTTTATTTCCACCGGTGAAAGGATTTCTTTTTTGGATTCTTGAATTTCTTTTACTTCCAATTCGGGAGCTTCTTGCTTGATATCCTCTGGTTTGATGATGGGCGCCAATGGTTCAATACTCTCTTCGGTAGTGACTTCCGCTTTTAATGTGGCAGTACATTCAGTCTTCTTCTTGCGTCCTCGTTTCTTCACCGAGTCACCATTTCGCAATTGTTCCATAAATTTATCACAGGTTGCTGTCCAAAATGGATCCATTTCGGTTATTTTGTCGTTCTCCTACAGAAAAAAAGAAAACAGTCATTAAATAATTTATTCTTCTAAATGAAACGCGCCTAGGAAGCAAAATATTTTAAGGTTCTTTTTGTCCTATTTTTAGTTAAGTATAAGTTTCCATGTTTAATTTAAAAATTTGAAAAGGAGAGAAAAGAAAAAAAGGAGAAAATTAAAAATCAGTTTAAATCGAAATAATATTTTGGATCTAATGATTTTTTACCTTCAATTCAATTTTAACGAGATCCGTTGAAGAGGTCATTCCCAGCATAACATCGTTTAGGGGAACAGGTGGTTGTACTTTAGAGAGTTGCTTCCGGTCCCTCCGCATCTCCTCGAGAGTTTGACGCTCGAGAACAGGCATTTCGCCCTCGGAATCGCTCTCACGAAAATCGAATACCGAAGTCTCGGATGAACTTCTAAATCCACTGGCTCTTGGCGATACAGTTGAGGCTGTGGCAATTACAGGTACATTCGCGATAATCATATTCTCATCATCGGTTCGTGAGAAGAGTCTTCTTCTCGGTGGTAGGCACGCGGACTTTTCACGAGTCAATTTCGGAGGACTGCCTACCGAAGATCCAGATGTTTGCAGCGTTGACGTCGAAGCTGCACCTTCCAGTTCTAAATGTCATTGGAAATTAGTACTTACAAATGAATTACCAAATAAATTTAATTTACAAATGATTACCAATAACAAATTTTCAATTGTTTCAAAAAATTTGTTTTTAAATAATCCTCATTAAATTTTTACAAGATTATCAATAACGGATTGATAATCATTGTCAATATGTGAGTAGTTCTACAAAAAAGGGAATTTTTGATGTCCAAGGTGTAATTGAACTGAAAATATTTTTAAAAAAAATTTTTTTATTTATCTTTTTCTAATATGTGACAATATCCAAAAGGAATTTTTGCAATAACTATAATACATTTTTTACGATAAGAGTTTAAAAAAGTGTTTTTTACTAATTCTGCACCAGATTTAAGTAGATTTAGAATTTTTCCGCCATATTGGATCCGCCATTTTGAATTTTGAAAAATTGATACTGGATTCGTAATCAGCGACCTCGAAAACCCCCGAGTAACGAGTTTCATGTCAATTTAATGCGATTTTTTAAAATTGGTCAGCCATATTGGATCCGCCATTTTGAATTTTGAAAAACTGATACTGGATTCGTAATCAGCGACCTCGAAAACCCCCGAGTAACAAAAGTCACAGAAATCCATACATTATTTTGTGAGTTATTGTTATTGTTACTAAATTGAGCTATTAAGCATACTTAATTTGTTATAAACAAATGTTATAAACAAATTATTAATTTAGACGTTAATATTCATGAATCTTTATAAAATTTGTTACTCGGGGGTTTTCGGGTATGAGAATTTCGAATCTGATGTCAGTTTTTCGAAATTTAAAATGGCGGATCCAATATGGCGCTCAAATATTCAAAAATTGAATGAAATTTAAATGAAACTAGTTACTTAGGGGGTTTTCAGGGTCGCTGATTTCAAATCCGATGTCAGTTTAATGATATTTTAAATGTCTGATGTTAGGAATTATTTTTTCCGCCATATTGGAGCAGTCATTTTGAATTTTGAAAGGCTGACTTCGGATTCGTAATCAGCGACCCTAAAAACCTCAGAATAGCTATAAAATTTGCAATTTGTAATTTTTCTATGATTTAACATACTTTTTAAGACCTAAACACAAAAAAATGTTCCGATTTTCTTCCTTTGTTTGTAGAAGAACCCATTTTACAAATTGGTAACCATTACCAATTTTAAATCAATGATACACTGAGAGAATCATGGGACTTCAGACTCCCCAAAAAAATATTAATTACGGTTTTCATATGAACCCAAGTTTTGGGAACGTGAGATCCCTTAAGGGACGTCTGATCCTCCGTTTAAAGAAATCTGGACGTCCTTTTGGTGATAACCAAAAGGACGTCCAGATTTCTTTAAACGAATGATCTACAGTTTGAGACGTTACATTCAGTACTTGAATTCACCAGAATTAGAGACAGCTGTAGCCCCACTATCAGAAAATCACAAAGAGCAACGTCTATCACAAGTTCTAAAGTCCCAAAATTCTCTCAACGTCCATATAAATTTCGAACCCAAAATACTTTACCTTTAGGAGTTGATGGAGCATCGTGGATCATCAGTACAGGCGGTTTCGAAACAAACTGTCCAGTACCCACTTGTTTCAATTCAGCCTTTGTTCGTATCTTCGCCGCCAAACCATCGTCCTTATCCCTGATCATATTCTCAAGTCCCCTAGGACTGAGCGAAGTCTCCTTAATCGCTGTCGAATTCATTTTGGATCCATACAATCTTGTCCCGTCCTGAGTAATAGAATCGACGGCTTTCGGCACGTGGAACTTGTAATGCGGCGGAGTGTTACTGTTCCGTTCAAGCAGACTCGCGGCAGTAAATGGCGAGAGATTATGTCGTCCAATGTTCGTCTTCGGCTCGACCGGTGTGACTACCTTATTCTGAAAACTCTGCTGACTGTGATTGACCATCTGTTGACTGTTGAGCTGTTCCTCCCGTTGTTGTTTACTCTCCAAACTGTTGCGAAGCAGACTCAATACCCGTTTATCAGCGCCGGTGTTACTCGGCGGTTCGGGATTGTACGGCATTCGCTGATTGTGACGATAGAGATAATCGATTTGACTCCCGGATGGTTGGGGTAATGAGTGGAGGTTCGATGGTCTTGGAGTTGATTGTGAATAGGAGGATGATGAACTACGTGGGACTTTGGTGTCTTGATAGTTCCTTTTATCACAGAACGCTTGATATCGCGCCGATTCGGACGAATAGGGATTATTCTCGGGTCGAGGATCGTATGTTCCATTTGGGACGACATTCATTTCTTGACGCTTTTGTTCCTCGTGGCGGGCGGCCATGAATTTCTGTTGTATCTGCTCGTCGATTGCCAATCGCCAGGCGTCGACACGAGGTTGTTTGTTTGGACTCGGACCACCGTAGATGGTATCTGCGGGTCTTTTGGTGGGTAGTTTGTCTGATAATTGACTGCTGAAGAACTTCCCTCTGCTGTCGAGGTAATACTTGCTGGACTCGGACGGAACTTCCTGTCGGGGGAATTCCCGATCGGGAATTGATCGCGAGGGATCTAGTGCTGGTGGATAGCGGGAGGATCTGGCTAGGGCGGGATCGCTTGAGTGATAGGGAGATGGTTTGTTGTCGTAGGGAGTGGTTTTGTCGTATAGAGGAGTCTTTGGGTCGTATTGCGCTGACGGGAGGGAAGATTTCTTGAAGGTCGACATATGAGGCAGTGGGACTGTATTTTGTTGGGGGGGAACGTAGATTTGTTGGGAGAGACTTCTTCGGAGGGAATTATCGCTTTTGGGTTGAGCGTGCCTTAGGGGGGTTGAGTTGAAGTCGGGGTAGAATTCCACCTTTGGGGCACAGACAGTGTGGGGTGTTGAGGGTCTGATGTTGTTTCTGGTTCCGTTTGTGTTTCTTGCGTCGAATCCGAATGGTTGGGCAGGTGGTAACATGCTTCTGACGTTTCTGGAAGACACTGCATTGCTGCTACTCACGTGCTTGTCCATACTGGCCTCGTCGTCCTGGGCTGTTGAGTCAGCGGATGTTTTCACCGTTTTGACAGACAAGTCCAAAGGGGACTCTCGTTTTCGGACCGGTAGACCATTGCTCTGGGGTTGTGCCGTAATCGGAAGAGTCGTCGAATAGCGGGACGAATTCGGATAGTAGTCTTTGTAGATATTTTCCTGCGTTCTGGGTACTCCGGAATAGTTAGCAGTCCTGGCAGTAGTGTCCGACGATGGATATTGATTGGCTGAGTGAGTCGGTGCAGAAGGTCTTGAATTCGACATTCCGACCGAGGTGACGGTTGTACTGGAAGAATTACTGCCGTAGTGGCTCGGGGCGACGGTTGTGGCGTAAGTTGGATACGCTCCTTGATTGCCTTGATACCTACTGTAACTGGTCGTTACATTCGTGGTTCTTCCATTGATTGGCAGAACGTGGTTCATTGACGAAGAACCCACTGGATACTCCGCGACGCGTCTAGGAGCCGGCATTGTCGAATTTGGTGGTACCATCGGTTTACTCACTTGCGGTCTTTGTCTTGGTACCGCTTGCGACTTACTGATCGGATCCCTTGAATTTCGGTTCTGAAACGATAGATTTCCGATCGGTGGGAGATTGTGCGTGTTGCCGGGCCTTTGAACAGGAGTCGGGGCCCTGTACGATCCGTAGTTGGCGACTTCGGCAGGGTTTCTTTTGACATCAGCTCCGTTGTACGTTGTTGGTTTGATTAGCGAATTTTGATACGCCCCATTGCTGCCTGTTGTCGAGCCGCTTTGTATCGATTCCACCTGCTGTGGATACACCCGTCCAGTTTGTGAATAATAGTTTGAATGTTGCGTTGGGAGAGTTTTTTGAAAGGAATGGTATGAAGATTGATAGGGATTGGGATAATTTGAGGCTGTTTGATAATGTTGCGAGGTAGGCGGATAGGACTGCGGTGTGGATCTCGAGGGTGGTGGATACGGCGGTGAATGTGGTTGAAAATTGTTAGGCGATGGTGTTGCCTGAAGAACGGGGACCTGTGGTGAATGTCTCGATGCTGACGTATGGTGACCAATTTCGTGTGATGATTGTGGATTGTAGTTAGTTGCATTTTGAATCGGTCGAGCAGAATATGTTTGCGGCACATTTCGACTAGAAAGCTGATGAGCTGACGGCGAAATTGATGGTGGATGTGGTGACGGAATGTGCGCCGGAATATTATGTGGCGAAGGAATGTGACTTGTACTACCAGTAGCTATGGGATTACTAGTAAATTGTGGATTTACCAACGAGTTTGCAGTGTTTGCCGAAGAGGAATGTCCATCGGTGGAACGTCGTTGGGTATTGGTGTAATGATTCTGTGGTGACGCTCCATAAACAGAAGGGCCTCCCACTAGAGTCTGAGTTTGGGAATACGGGGGAACTCGATGCTGATCCTGTTGAGAGTGACTCGAGGTTGGAACAGACATGGGACCTTGCTCATTGGAACTTCTGATGCACTGAACAGTATTTGTGGGAGCAGTGTTCGTCGGTTGGTACATTGAATTCTGTGAGAACGGTACCGGGGCGCTTTTCCGTATATCCGGATGATGATATCTTGGGTAGTACTGAACCGTATTGCGTTGAGCAATTGAAGAACTGGACGTTGATCGATCGTTCTGATAGGACGTGTGCGGATCTGCAGAGGGATATGAATTTCTAGCAACGCTGTTTAGTTGCTGATAAATGGGAGCTGGCGATTGTGACTTGGGGGGTTGCATTTGGTGCAACTGGGAATCGGTGGCAGGAACTGTCGATGATGGTTCCTGTTTTTGTTCCGTCGAGCGTGGTTTGGACGGTAGCATTTCCGTTAATGTGGAAGATCCTGGTTCCATGGAGGCTTCCTCAGGCCTGGTGTCTGGTACCTCAACCTTGGTTGGTTGAGGGGGATAAGGTTCAACTGGTCGCAGTTCATTTGACCCGGATGGATTCCAATAAGAGGTTGAAGACTCCTCAGCTTTTGTTTCGGAGTACACCTGTTGATCTCGATTATTGCTAGTGGTGACCATCGATGCCACCGCAGGTGTCGTGATGGAGGAGGTAGTTGTCGATGTTCCATTTTCAAAGGACGTTGATGTCGTCGTCGTTAAATTCTCCGTCAAGGTAATAGCACCTGCCGTACTTGGCACTGGCAGTCCTTGGAAGTACTGGCGAGACACCTCCAATACGTTCGTGTAGCTCACATCCATGTCACACTCACTGCTAATCTGAAATCAGAAAAAAGAAACTTGTCAGACAGGATGCGATAAAATTTAAACTATGAACTAACATTCTCGCAAACTCGAGTCGTTTATGTACAATTATAAATTAATATAATAATCTGCGCCCGGTTATGAATGAGTTATTAACCTCTTAGTGGCGGTTATCCTACATTTTGCTCTCGTGGTAAGATCGCTTCGTCTCCCAACCTTTGCGCTTAGGCGCCGACTTATATAGCCTCCGGATCGCGACCTGGAGGGGGTCTGACTTTTGGAGGGGCGACGCATGCTCCGTAGCGTCTCGGACGTTACGCCAGGACCGTACCTACAATTTTCGTGCCCACTACCACTAATAAATTTTAAAATTAACCAAAATTGTTTCTAACAATAACTACAAAACAAAATTTACAATAAAAATAGTTAATTTCATAAATTTAACTAACTATTCTTTCTCATTGCGGGATCGCTTCAAAAAATAGAAATTCTCTTCAAAGGCAGAATTTAATGACAATGTCTAGGTTATTACATCTCTAATTTCTCTAATTAGATTCCTTATTCAACAATCTGCAAAGACTGTTGATCTTATTTCTCTTCCTGCAAAATCTTTGTAATTTAATCTCGTTTACTCCATTTGGTAAAACTACATCATCTTCTCTCTAATTTAGATCAAAACCCAAATTAATTATAAGCAAAGAAAAGAAAATTGCCAAGAAATGAAAAATTAAATAAATACAAATTACAGCGAAAGTGTCATAAAATTTCCACCGGGGAATGAGGAGGGAAGGGAGAGAAAGTCTAAAAAAAATTGTAAGCCTACAACACGCGAAGCCATACTATGGTTTTGTAAAAGAAGACTGTATGTCGGCAAAGAGGTAGGAATCGATATGGCGCACCCCCCTTGACTAACTTGTCAGAGTTGCTTTTCTACTCTTTCCCCTCTTGAAAAGCCCCAGTTCTTGTCACCCTAAAGCAGAAAGTTCCATTTTTCTTCCTCATTCATCAAAATAGTTTTTCCAACTACAAAATCCTTTATTTTAAACCCTCTCGACCTTCAAACATCCACCCCCTTTAATCTACTCTTTCTATGATTCTTGAAAAAGAATTATTTCGCAAGTTTTTTTTTTAATATTTCACAACTTTTGACAAGCAATTGATAATAATATTTCATTTATGAGAAAATATTTATTGCGTACGAAAAAATATTTAAAATAATAAAAGAAATTTATCGTATTTTCTTATCCTTCAGTTTCAATTAAGTCTCGTGGAATTTTCAAGTTCGTTAATCACTTTTTAAATCAAATAAGAAGCGGGTAATAAAGTTGAAGAAAAGAGAGCAATAATAATAGTTCGAAAGTTATTACAATGACATTAAAGTTATATTTATTAGGAGGCAGTATAATGACTCGATGGAAATAATATTTGAAATAACAATGACCTCAAAATTTTAATAACAGCTGAACAATTTTGTGACAATTAAAAATAATGACTGAAAAAGTATAACCGATAAGACGTAATAACTAAAAAGATAAAACAAGGACTACAAAGTTAAATTACAGTGCGACTAGAAAGGTTTAATAATGTTAAGGAAGGATAAAACGATAATGAGAAAAATTGATAATGATCAAATAAAGTGGTTAGAAAGTTTTTTAATTATCGATTAAACTACTTCAGTTAATAATTAAGAAATATGTGCGAAAATCGTGGTTATGAACATATATTTTTCGAAAAAATATGTTTTTATATTTATAGTAAAAACAAATCTGCTCTGTAATGTTAAAATTTAATTATGAAATTCTAATCGTTTTAATTGATTATAATTTCTTCTTATTATTTGAATACTTAAAAATAAAAAAAAAATTTCAGGAGGGCTTCTTTTAATCGACATTTTTCGAGGGTAATAAATTGAAGTACGATCTACTTTATAAAGGTAATGGCTCATTTTTATCTTTTATTTCCTCGTCCATCTGATTCTCATCAAGTCGCCATCGACTTTTACTCGGTTATATACTTTTCTGCGAGTCGGGCTTCCCTGACCTCATTATATGTTTCAGCTTAGATCTCTATATAGTACATATGGTTCGTATCAAAACAGTAAAGTTTCAATTTTATCGATGCAATAAAAAAAAATTCTCTTATTTATTAATTAATTAATTTAAAGAGAAAATTACACTTTTAATTAATATTATTTTCACTAACTAGTTTACAATTTATATTATTGTAATACGATTATTTTTATATAATAATCTAATATTATTATTATAGAGAAATTAATTATTAAAAAATAAATAATTACGAATTTAATTAAAAACTGGATAGGTACATATAATTAACTGAGAATTTTTTTTTTTAAACATCAAGTATCAATATTTATATAAAAGTTAGTTTTGCTTTTATTTATTTAATTGGATATAAAACCACAAATTTGAAAACAAGAAAGGAAAGACAGAGAGAGAGAGAGACTGGGTTTGAAAAAAAGTTGTGTTTGCTTCAAGTATTTAATTACCTGATAAATTTCTGCCTTGGAGGGTTGAAAGATTACAAGTTCACTTTCAGAGGTAGTAGAGATTGTAAGGGACGTGGATCAAGCTTTGCTGAGTTGGCGGTTAAAAGAACTTTCCCATCAACAAAATCGACGTCATAAAAAAGTCTAATTTAGACTGGCTTGTTACCTCATTATTTTTTATCCTTTTCCCAGCCAACTGAGCCATACTGATCAAACGAATTAGTAGCAAAATTCTTCATTTGTTAAAATTTATTAAAAAAAAAACTCGTTCCTTTTTTTAATTTCAATACTTTTTAATTAATGGAAACTTGTGCAACATTTTTTTTACCACAAATTGAGAATGTTCTCGATAATTTTGCTCTAAAATACCTTCTCTCTGTTTTTTTAAATAATTTTTTTGTATTTAAATAAATATCTCCTTATTTATAAATAGTTTTTCGTAATTATTATGTTTTTAATTTTGCAGATAAGATTTTTTATGATTGACAACATTTTTTAATTTTTATGAATAATTTTTAAAGTTAGTAAATTAATAACCATATAATCAAGTTAATTTTTTTTTACTTTTCCCTTTAGTTATAATTAGATTCTTAGAGTTTATACACTAACAATTAAAACAGGATATTATGACACTTTCTAAACTCCTTTTTTCCAGTCCCATAATTGTTCTATTTACAGTGCGATATTATTTGTCAAGAGTTAGATAGAGGTAAAAAAAAAATGAGAAACAAGACACAGGTGCAATTTAATTGCCATAGTAATGAGTCTCAATAAACTTTACCTTCGGTAAAATTAGAAAAAAAAGAAATACACTTCAATGAATAGAAGCATTATTTTTATTGCTAATGGAAGGATTTTCTTTAACAATTCTTTCTCGATTTCTTGTCAAGTTTTTTTTTCTTCTTTTCAAGAGTGTGCAGTGGAATTCACATCGAATAAGGAATGCTTAACAGACAAGTCCTTGAATGATAATGATTCATTTATACAGGTAGCACGTGAACCGTGCAAGGACAAGTTCGAAGTCTCACGTTTTCACTAATAAATCGTTTATGTTTTTTTTTTATAAATATAGAAACATATTTGTAACGTTACAAAAATGTATTAAAATTAGCAACAACAAAAAATAGAAAAAAATTCTAGATCGATTAACAAAGAATTAAAGGGGCGGTACTGTTATTGGCCACGCCTATTTTTGGGCGGGACTAAAACAGACCAGGTTCTTTCTGGGTGGGACTATGATTAAGCACGCCTAGTTGTGGGCGTGGCAAAGACTGACCACGCCTATTACTGGGTGGGTCCATGGCTAACCACGCCCAGTCGTGGGCGGGACAAAGATTGATCACGCCTATTACTGGGTGGGTCCATGGCTAACCACGCCCAGTCGTGGGCGGGACAAAGATTGATCACACCTATTACTGGGTGGGTCCATGATTAAACACGCCCAGTTATGGGCGGGACAAATATTAACCACGCCAAAGGGGGTGGTACTATTATTGACACTGTCCATTTGTGGGCGGGACAAAGATTGACCACGCCCATCCCTGGGTGGGTCTATGATTAACCACGCCTAGTTATGGGCGGGACAAATATTAACCACGCCAAAGGGGGTGGTACTATTATTGACACTGTCCATTTGTGGGTGGGACAAAGATTGACCACGCCCATCCCTGGGTGGGTCTATGATTAACCACGCCCACAAATAGGCGTGGTTAATTTATGAATTTATATATGGGTTAATTTTTTAAAACAGAAAAGAAGGTGGAGCCAAAATAGATGATTCCAACAGGAGGCGGGGCTTATTAACCACGTTGAAAATTTGTCTAAACCACTTTTTGTAGTCTCATTATAATAAAAAAGTACTTTGGAATAAAATTATGAAAAATATCAACTTTTAAATTGAACTAAAATCAAAGTGGTGATTTAAAAAACGCAAGAGAGAGGAAGTAGATTACTATTCATCTTCATTAGGGGAAAATTGGACAAAATAACGGATATCAAATAAAAAAATTGTTGACTTTTAAGGAAAAATGTTGAATTATTGTAAACGAAGGAATGATTACTTTGCAATTTTAGAGGCATTAAAGTGATAAAGATGGGAAGCTCTGAGAAGATTTGCGTTCAGGTTTTTGCTTGTCGACCGCAGCTGACAGACCGTGCAAAGTCTCAATTTCTCGGTTAGAAGAGAGAGAAAGAGAGAGAGGGAGAAAAGGAGAGAAAAAGATAAAGAGAGGGAAAGAGAGAGAGAAAAGGAGAGAAATGTGGAATGAGAAGAGCAGAAAATAGCGAGCACAGACTGTCGGCCTGTTTCAGTCATAACGGTTCGTTATTTCTTACACAACCTAGAGTAATCTTGCAGCACCGTTTCATCCAATGGTTTTGACAGCAAATTCTCCATTGTATGTACTTCACAAAAGACAAAATGCGCTTTTCAAACTATCAGCTTAAGTTATTTTCTTACATTCACTGCTTTTTACAGGGAAGTAAAAAACATTTTCTTCGTTTCATA